TATGGTATTGTTGAGGATTAGATATTATTGTATTATTGTTCTCATAAGATTCGTAAATTCAGAATCTTTTGCTTTCGGTTTTGCAATGCACCGCCATTTTTCAGTGGATGATGACTCATATATTTTGCTATTCACTTAGAGAGGTTATTATTTTATTTGATAACTTTTTGCGTATATGTGTCTTGATAGAATGATGTAATTGATACAGATAATCTCTCTCATCTTCGACGAGCTTTCTTGACATGTAGAAGTAGTCAACATGCGTTGCATCCGAAAAAATGTTTTTATAAGATGTCCAAAGGAATGTTGTCATTAAGGTTATTTTATGTGAAGTCCATTGAAGCTATTGGAGCACTCTCACAAGGTTTTTTTTTAAATCAAGTAACATCAGGCCATGTTACATCAACTTAATAAAGAGCTTGTGACTGCACTAATGTTGATATCCCGAATTTGGAGAAGCTATTTCATCTCAATCTCGACATCTCCAGAGGATTGACGAGGAGTATGTTGTTTCAAGAATTTTCTCTTACGATGCACACAAATGAAGTAAAACACCAAAAAAATTATGACTTACTCTGTAATTTTTTGGCGCCTGCAATGAATGATGAATTATTGGATGAAAAGAATTTCCAACTAACAGATTATTGAAATAAAAAATATTCAGATTTTTATTGACATCTTATCTTAAATCCATAAAATTTCCAAAATGTTTGTCCATGGAGAAGCGAACAGTATTTTTTGTTCACTTGGAGAAAGAAATACTGTCCAAGATGGGGACAAAGAAGTTACTCAAAGTATGTTTACAGCAGGTCAAAGTCCCAATGACGTTTAGGGTTATGCATGAACACACATGATATTGCTGGCCATTGATGTTCAAAGATAGATACAAGTATATTTAGTCAGAAGTGTGATGCGAGTCAAAAAATCAGTGAGCCCACTTTGGAGTGGGCTCACTGATTTTTTGTTACATATTAACAATGTTACATATAAATGTGTACTTATGGATAAATTAAAAAGTTAATCCAATGATAAAACTATAATTTCACATGTGGAGTCAAAGTTTTATGTGAGCTATGCTTTTTAATACTTTATGAGCTTAATGTCTAAAGATTTTAAAATATGGATTGATTTTAATCTAGACAAAACAAGATATTACATATATATAGTAAATTTTACCTGCTCTTTATGTGAAACTTGCAAAGTAGTTAAATATTATTTTTTTTAAATTTTTGATCAGTGCCAGATTAAATTCACTATAAATTTTGATAAATTCAAAATTCTTAATAAAATATTGTATAATAAATAAATATTCAATAAAATAATATGATATTGGCATGCTTCATCCATCTATACATCACTTGAATTGTTGGAAATAACCCATTTTGACTATCATATTGAAGATTAACAATAGTCTATTTCAATATTGATTCAAATAGATGCTTTTTTTACTTTTACTGCCATGTCATGAGCAACTTTATTGTTGACTGAATTATGCATTTCTGCAAAGTAAATCTTCTACGAATGCATATATCATCCATTATAAACACATTTTCAATTATGCTTTTTTTCTTGTTCAAATTTTATTCATAATCAACATTGATGTAGACTAACAAAAAATTGATATTGTTTATTAATATTCATCTTGCTCATAGCTAAAGCAATATTAAGTCTAATGTATATGATTAAATACATGAAATTATGATTGTCTTGTTATGGAAAATTGATGATAGTTTTTTTCTTCTCAATAGCATAGATTGGAAATTGAGATGCAAAAACTTTGAAATGTGTTGCCACAAATACATTTTTCTTCTTAAACTTGTCAAGTACGCATTGAATGTTATTATTTTAACTTAATTATAACTTTTACTTTTTCAAATCTCAAATAACGACTATATTAGCATGTTATACACATAGAATATATCATTAAACACACGCTAGATGTAGATTTTTTTTTATCTAAATCATACTCGTAATCAACATCAACATAGCCTAGCAAAAATTTGACATTATTTAATAGATTATTAAAGTATATTTCATAAACTTCAAGACTTTTCAAATATTTGAAATGTCAATTTTCTGTTTCTCAATGTACCTTCTATGGATTTGACATGTTTAGAAAGAGTAACCTTGCTCATAGCTGAAGTAATATCAAATCTTGTGTATAACATCAAACATATGAAATTGATCATTTTTTTGGTACAAGTTATTGATAACATCTTTCATTTCTAATGACATCGGTTGAACATTGAATTGCGAAAATATGAAGCGTATTTCCAAAGTAATACATAATTTTTCAAAAATATCGTATTAATCTATCAAACACATGTTCAACTTATTTTACTTGATTCAATTATAGTTTTTTTTCTCCAAATTATTATGAATATGCATACCTATATATTTTTTTGAATTTATCTAAATTTTTTATCTTGGATGCATAGTTCAATTATTGTATTTTTTGAAGTCAAAATGAGCATGTCATTCACGTATAAAATTACAATAATAGCATTGAAGATGTCATTGTTATTTTTTGCATGTATCACATGGATGATATAGATTATGTGAAAATCTTTTTGCATTCGTAAATTCATTAAAACTCGCATTTCATTGTCTAAGAACTTGCCTCAATTCATGTAATAATTTCAATATCTACAATCCAATTTATCTTGAAATTTTTTTCCAAAATCAATTGATTGTCTTGTGTAGATTTTATTTTCTAAAGATTGATAAAAAAAAAAATTCTAACTGCAATCATCTAATCCATAATCAGAGCATATATTGCGAAAATTGCACACTAATCAAATTGGAGCATATTTGTTAAAGGTGAAAGAAATTGTTATAGTTCACATCTATCTCTTGTGTAACCTCTCATCACAAATTTAATTTTGAAGTTTCACATCTAGTCATTTATTATATTGTACTCTAATTCCATTAATTATCAAGTTTTGTTATCAATCAACAAATGCATTTCACGTTCTATAATATTAAATCTTATGAAAAAAAGATGGAGTATCATTGATCTTTCCAAGATCAATGTAATATTATCATTATCTTTATATCAATATTACAATCTTGATGTATATTTTATAATTATCAAATTAATAGATAAGAACTAGTTATAATAATTTTGATTGATATATATCTTTTAATATATATATTATAAGATAGATAAATAATAACATATTATTTTAATTTTTGCTCTAAAACATTGATTTCATTTGTATAAAAAAAAACTTAGTTGTATCTAGTAATCATGAAATAATCAATGAACATAGTCAAATCCTTAATATACATTTGAAATAATGAATTTGCATACATCAATTCATTTGAACAATAACACTACAAACTTCATCCAATCTTTTTATCTTATTAAAAAAAAAAAAATTTATATTTCAAGATCTTTAATATTTCTCAATCATATTCGGTAAAAAATATCAATTTCTGAACTAATAAAAAAATTGTGTTATATTTTGATTCAATATTTTCAAAATATAAATATACACTTTTATTATGATGTTTGATTATGCACTATATATCTTGATGTTATTGAAGGATAGAAAATATTTATAAATTCATAATATAATATTTACTCCAAATATTTCTTGTAAGTATAAATTTTAATATTTGTGAAGTTAAATAATAAATAAATCTAAAATAAACAATATATGACAATGTCTATATATAGTATCAGTAAATAAATTTAGTCAAAATATAATAATTAATGGAAAAATTTGAAATTGAATGAATTTGATGATTGGTAAATCAAATATATATAACATAATTTATTTCAGAATGATAAATAAATTTTAGTTATCTTGAATTAAAAATTATTATAAGAGTCAAATGTCCACAAGTAGATTCCAATGATTCACTACATCATAACAAATTGAATTGATTGTACAAATAATAATTTCTATAATCCCCAATTTTAGAAATTTACTAATTTAAATACATAAATAAATAAAAAAAGTACAAAAAATTTCGTTTAACATTTAATGTTTTCACTTTTTGTAATTATATTTTTATTTATTCATAAATCTAATCAAATTTCTTCATTTCTATTTCTTCTAGAATTTCAATTCTAATTCCAATAGATTAAAATAATACATCCATATTGTAACATAGATTCTTACCCAAGATATATAGTCCAAATTTAAATTAGACCAAAAAATTGATGTAGTCAAGTTCAGACTCAGACATCGAATAACGTCACAACATGTAACAAACATGTTCCGAAAACAAAATGATTCATGAAGAATTCCTGAAACTAACAAGGTTGAAAAACTTTTATAAGCCTCATTGACAAGGACTTACTGAGGTTTGAAGAATGCAATTGTTAGTGAAATATTCGTAACAGTACTTACCATCACACGCAATTTGAACTCAATCTTTACTAGCATCAGGGTACTCAACATTTGCATCTAAAATTTGTAGTCTGGCACATGAAATAGACACATTTGCTTTCGATCCGTTTTCAAGACGAAGAAGAGAACCTGATAATCAAAGCCTCAAATTGTTGTGACCTCGTAACCTTCTGTTTGTTGCGTTTACAGTGTAAACTATGTAGATAGAGTGTAAGGTTCGTACACAATATTGTCTGTAATACCGAAATTAAAAATTTTCCATTAGATTGATTGATCGTCTTCAAACTTTCATCAATGATAGATTCTAAAATTTTTGCCATGTGATTTTAAGCTGCTCCCCTATTGGTCTATGTTTCAAGCTATCACCTTGGTAGTATTTAATTCTAAGCAATTCTAGAATTCAAATTCAATAGCCTCACAACTAAGGTTGAACTCACATGCACTTTGAAAGAATGTCCAGAATCTCAAGACCAATCAGTCCAATAGATAGAGATACACAGCATTTGAAGAGACTCAGTATTTGAGGTATGTTCACGAATGAATTAAATATGATACACGTAAACAGTACCTGTGTCCGGGATGTATTGCAAGAAATGACGTCCAAAGACAAAATACCGCTATCCACATGTAGACAGCTTTTGAGACTTAAAAATATTCTCTTCCCAATCATGATACAAGGGTACAGTAGTGGACCAACCATAAATTATGGAGGGCGGAGTTTTGAGTTTCGTATTGGAACTTTATCAAAGGAGATCTACATTTTTGATCTACCTCTGATAAAAGCCCAATACAGCTCAGAAAATAAGATTAACTCTGCAAGGCAGGTCCACATTGGAAAAATGCATGAATAAGAAGAGGCGAGAATGCGATTCTATGGCAGAATTCAGCCTCAGATCATCAGCTCTCTCCAGGAAACTAACCAGAGCAGCATCTTTCACCGATTTGGTGACTTACCCCCGGAGAACCAAAACTGTTGCAAACCGAACTTCAGTGTGATAAGATAAGCTCTTCAAATATTTCTTCTGCCACGAACATGCACACCCTTAAATCTCCCCGATTGTCTCATCCAGACGATATAATTACAGTCATGCAGCTTCCCTGGAGTAAGCAGCCAAAAGAGATTAGACAATTCACTTGCAAGTGAGCTTCCAGCACGTGATGATAAATATGATGAATCCTATCAAAAACGATCTGTACTAATCAGAGAGTAAGACGTAAAGGCCACTCCTGGGAAAAGCTCCCGATAACAAGAGAAGCCAAAGCTTTTCGGTGATAAAAGAGGCCAACCATGTAAGTTTTAGCACCTGGGTGCCGTCGCAGATCCCAAAGAAATCGACGTAAAGGATGAACAATGAACGAATGATTACCCAAGGCATAAATAAGCAAAGTCGTACTCATACATGCCTATTCGTTATTCAAGCGGATCACAGACGAACAAAACGTGTATAAACCGAGTGCGGTGTGTGCGTGCAGGCACTGTGACGGAACCCAGGCATGGTGATCTTCTTTACGTCTAAACAGCGAGCATAACTTTGCAATCACGCAGCTTCGCGGTGTCATCAGTGTGCATCAGATCCGTAGGTTTCTGCCCAATTTTGAACGCGATAGAAGTAAAGTTCCTACACACAAATGTATCTGTAAACTGCCTGGCGGAACACAGCGAGTGACATGGAGCAGGTTTGTCTGCTATAAAGGATTCGCAGAGTTCTGCGAGGTAAAACATGGAGACGGGCTAGCGAGGGAGACAAGCAAGAGCGTGAGCTTTCCCTCACCATTCCCGCTATCCTCAGCTCTTTTGAGTTTCCTCAAATATTTAACAAAACGTTTATACATACTAGTCCACCGCAACAATTTGCTAGTTCAGGGGCCATTTTGTGACCTTCCGGTGACACTATTACTCGACATTGATGATACCGTAGACTGGCCACGCGAGACAGATCTGGATGGAAAGGACAATCTCTACTTTACACAAGATTTACACCGTAACAGACCAAGAGGCCGCTACTACCTGCCCCTTCTAAAATTTACAGACAGACACAGGACATAAGAAGGAAACGGGACAACCTCGGAGGAACAACAGAGAGGTAGCCCAGGGACTGATTAAATACGTTTGTCGTCGACTAGTTCAAAGAGGAGGTGATAAATCTGAAAAGAGTTCACTCCCTCATCTGCTCAACGTATCCATCTATGTGAAGTAAAAGGAACTGAACTATACTACATTTGCAGATATAGGAGTAAATGGCAGAGAAACAATTCCAAGCCAAGGACGGTCTTGTTAATGGGCAGAAGCATTGTCGTGATAAACTTACGTCAGTTGTTTGAGTGCTGATTGATTCCAATAACAGTTCTATCAGCCGACCACAGCAACAATGTCCCTGCTTTTAGAGTTAAGCACAAAACAGCATCGGTAAAAATCAACCCACGAACATGAGGTTAAAAAGTATGAAAAGTACCGAAACTGAGAATCTACGTACTAATAAGAGCAAAGCTGGACAGAAATAAAACTTGTATCTCTGCCCATGAAATAAAGCATACCGAAAACAAGGGAGAGATGAAACTACCTGTTCGAATCTCCACAGAAGATACGCCATTGAGCTCAGCTGGATTGCTGGAAAAATTGGGGCTTCACCGAGCTTCAACTGCTACCCACAGCAGTCTTTCAACTGTAACCAAGCTTCGAACACTTGACTTGGAATCCAAGAAAAGAGAGGCCTTCAACTATAGAAGGATGATGACTAGGCTTCAAAATTGGACAATTCACTGGCGTGCATGCGCTCGCAGCTTCAGTGAACTAGACTCGTCAAAACATTGATGACGCTACTCGAGCTAAGAGCTACTCCGAAAACTTGCTCCGCTCGCCTTCATTATTGCCGAGAGCACGAAGTGCCTCGAAAAAATTGGCTAATTCATCTCACATGCCTCTAGGTTTACGATCTTCGAGGCAGCTCCTGAAAATCTCAAGGGACAATGAGGTGAGAGAAATGTACTGTGTCCACGGTTACGGGAAGGGCAGATTCTCAGTCGAAAATATCAACTGTTGAGACGGTTAACGAACTGGCCCATGTTGTACTCCTCCGTGTATTGAGACTGGTCCCACAACTCTTCAAGACCATTCAACATTGCCTTCATACCCCTGCCACCGCCTGCCGCATTGGCAGCTGCAGCTCCATCTGCTTCTTCATCTCCACTCTTCTTCGAAGCACTAGCCTGCTGATTAAGAGAAGAACAATGATACTCTGAGAACTCAAATGAATCCACTTCACGGGTGTACGAACTTGATAAGTCTTAGCTGTCAGACAGTTGACAAAGTCATACAAAACACGAAATCTTACCTTTCCAGAGTTGGCAGAAACTGTGAACAGATCAAGTAACTGCGTGGTGTCCATAGAGTTTAGGCTGGCATTTTCTGCAGTTATGATAGTGTTGGCCACTGAAAGCTTAAATCGCTGCAAACTCATTACTTTCTCCTCCAATGTTCCTCGCATAATAAGTCGATGTACATTAACAACACGCCGTTGACCCAACCTATGTGCCCGATCCATAGCCTGAAAAGGATATACTTGTTACAAAATGGTAAAAAATCCTTTTAAACTACACAAGGCAAGAACCCATCCAGTTTTGAGCTGATCCCGTACATAACGGAGTAACAATCTACAGCGTCATAAGTACATGATAACGTTTTGGTCTTACATGATGCTTATATACACGTACAAAGCGGACGACTTCAAACAAAATTCTCTGAACGAACCGTTTTGATGAAGCACAAGGACTACACTGAATATCAAATAGCTCAGTTAAGACTACACTATATGTCCTCACCTGTAGATCTCGCATAGGATTCCAATCATGCTCCATAAATACAACGGTGTCTGCTGCTGTCAGATTTAATCCCAATCCACCAACTGCATACGTCCATTTGTACGTGTTTTAAAATGTGAACCTCTCCACAACAAATGAAACATAGCACACATAGAGATTGACTGAAGTTACTCACCATGTGTCGTAAGAAGGAGAACATCGATTGTGGGGTCGGAGTTGAAGGCTTTGACAATGCCAAACCTTTTATCTGTTTCCACCGACCCATCCAACCGTAGATACGTAACACTGCACATAACATAAGCTGTTTAATATCATACCGATAAAAAGGCCTTCCATCCATCATGTACCAGAGTTCTTCCTAGTCTTGTGTAATAAAGAGCGAACAGGGTCTTCTCAACACTTCAGGTATCAATTTTTTCCAAGATGATACAAAGCTAGTAAAACTAGCTTAAAGGCATCAACATCGAGACTCATTCACCTTTTCATGTGTGCTTCAAAAAGGTCCTTCTCGATTATGTCCAAAAAGCTCTGAATTTCAAAAAGATTGTCAATATGAAAATCGTTCAATTGGTCAGCGAAAATTGCAGAAAAACTAAGTCGAAAAGGAAATGACTTCGCGTTTCTAGAATGACATTTTCAAGAGTATGACTGATTGCCCTCCAGGTCATTCTTATGCTTCATCCATTACCTTGAGTTGAGCAAAGATTAGAACTCGATGCTGGCCACCCTCTATACCTGTGTCCCCAGATGAATCTTGAACACCTATGCCGCACTCCTCCAAAATCTCTTTCAGAGCTAATAACTTTGGTGCATGTTGCAGATCATGAAGTCCTGCCTTTGAGTCTTTACCACTGCTTGAAGCAGTTTCGGCCTGGAATGCTGCGACAGTCTCGTTGGACATCTCGTTTACGACCAGGAGAGGGTGGCTGCACAGCCTTCGCAAATACTGCAATGCCTGATATATAGAGACAAATTTCTCCATTGAGAAAGAGATCCTCCGGAACTTGAATGGACAACAATATATTGCACTGCACAGCAAATGACATTAGGGGAAAATTTTGACTCAATACCTGGAATACATGTGCGGAAGCACCACCCGATCCACTCGAGGCTTCGGTAACTTCTGGTCCACCGTAAGCCTGCACTAAACTAGAAACTTCTTTCTTTGCTTGTGAGCGTGAGAAATCCTCATAAAGCCGTAACTGGAGGGGACTTAAATCGCAGTATCTGTCTTGTATGATTTTCGGGGGAAGGTCAGCCAGCACCTCATCTTTCGTCCGGCGCAGTAAAAACGGCATAACCTGGATTCAACAAAAGTAAACCCTCTAAGCCATCATATAACGGAATGATATCCAATAGCAGTCTCTCCCCAGTATACCAACAACTAATCCTCACCTGCTTATGTAAAGCTTCCATGGCTAAAACTCCTGCTTCAGCTTCCTTAGCTGAGCATTTAGCATCTCTTGCAGCGGTGAGAGGCCTTCCATAATTGGATTGGAACTGCAGAAACCACGCAATAAAAGGTTCTCTTATGAACTTTGTGATCATGCTGAAGGCAAGCAGATATGAAGTGAGAGAAGAGGGCAAGGTCCAATGTCAACATTTTAAGACGAGGCCCGCACTGTCGTTAGGTTGTAGTCGCATATAGTAATGCAGAATGATTCCAAAAGGAGACTAGACGAAATATGGAATGGGGTGGATCGAATGCAATGATTCCATGTGGAGTACCACTAATGAAAAACAATCTTGCCTCTGCTATGCAACACATGCGCCAAGTGTGATGGAATACAGCAACTGGACAGAAAACTTTTGTGATGATAAGCATCAAGACACGTGTACTTTGAGCGCCTATAGAGCATTCCGAAGAGTTCAGTGATAAGAGCCTACAATACTTCTTCCTTTACACACATATGAGTAAAATGCGTCGATGCATTGTAGGCCCAAGAACACAAGCATTCACTCACCATACACATTGCACCAGCGATAGATCGAGAGACCCGAGAGTGAGTGGACCGAGAAGTCATCTGGTTACATGGGGCTTAATTGTCATGTAAAATCAAATCATACCTGTCTCTCACTTCCCAAAAAGCCCGGCATTAAGAAGTCAAACAGGGACCAAAGCTCCAGCACGTTGTTCTGCAACTCGGAAACAATCAGGAGAGAAATGTAGAAGTCAGAGTTGTATCAGATCATGTGAAAGAACACAACTGGGGAGCCATCTACTCTTGAAGACATCTAAAGTAGACAAGACTCAAAACAGGCTGGAAAGCGAAGAAGACTTTAGTGTAATCGATGATTATCGCCGCGTGATTGAGCTGTTTATAAATTTACTAGGCATCCAACAACTAGTAAACACAGGAAACATGCAGGATTCTTCGTCATGTTTTAGAACACACTACGAAGAATGCGAAGGAGTTGAGAACTCAATACTTAGACAAGTGGAAAACATCCTGAATGAAAGCATTCTAGACCTGGGCAACAGAAAAATTAGTAATCTGATGTACTGCTGCCACCAAATGAAACTCATCACTAATCAAAAGCAGTCGTGCCCACCTGAATAGGGGTACCACTCAATATCAGACGGTGTTCGGCTTGAATCCGTTTAGCTGCCAGAGTAATCTTCGATTTCGAATTTTTGATGGCATGGCCCTCATCCAACACACAATAGTTCCACACCTTCTGCCCGAGAAAGTCTATATCTTTCCGCAGCACATCATACGAGGTGACAACAACATTATGTTTGTGGAATTGAGAGCGCAAAGCAGTACGATCTTGAGGTGTTCCACTGTACTGCAATGGATTCAGCACATCCGGGGATATAAATTTCTCAATCTCGAAAGCCCAATGCCCCACTAATGTGGAAGGACAGACAATCAAAGATGGCAGAGGACACATGTCTGGACTTTTTGTAGCCGTATATGCTGCCAAACGTTCAGCTGTATCTGAAGCGACTATGGCTGATGCTTGCAAAGTTTTCCCCAGACCCATATCATCGCAGAGTATTCCGTGAAGCTTGAATCTCTTAAGAAATGCAAGCCAGTTGATTCCTTCCTGTTGATATCTGCAATGCCGAGACTTCCACACATCATTTTACAACGCGCAATATACAAATATGTGACTATTCTCGTAGTTTCAATTTCCCAGGGAAAGAATAAAGGATCTAGCTAACGTGGGTGTCTCAATCTTTCTATACCTTCAAATGAACCTCAAAGCATAAGATATCGTATAACCTTCGTAAAAATCTGACAATCGCATTTCAGCTTTGAAAGATGTACTTGCCTAAATATACCAGTTTGTCAACAGGAGATCTAAATTTCAACAATTGATCACATGACTAGTCAACTAGTATGCAAACATACTGACCTGCGCAATGTCGCTGCTATAGGTACTGCCACCTTGTAGTCATCTACCTGCGTATTATCCAAAAGCTGCTCAAGAAACCTTGTATCTTCGGCACTCTTTGATGCTTGGCATTCACTAAGTCCAGGCGGTGATGGCACTCCTCGAGATAAGGGGAGGAGGGGCACAAGGGCAGCAAAACTGTGAGTCACACTTTGCCTGACATTGCTGTTAATATCGCTCATACAGCCAAGCAATGGAACAATAAGGTGTGGCGCGTATGCGACTAGCTCAGGTCCAAGACCTTCAACTAGGTAGGACACAAGTATGCCAGCTCCTTGCCGGGCCTCCACTGATGTTGTATTTCCAAGCATAGGAACAGCCTTCGTCAGAACGGCAGCCATGACAGGATCTGTTATTGATTTCGCCATGGCAGTGATGCATTTGGCAGCACTGACTCGCACCAATGCATGCTCATGGCAAACACAAGCAAATATGGCTGGAAGTAGACTCAGTATCTGGGGATGCAGCGTTTTATCCAAAACTGGTGCAAGAGAGCGCACGACCTGTTGAGAAGGGGAAAACACACACACACGTGTGAATGATAACATGGTAAATGGCGAATTTTCATGTTCCGATGCATGCGTCTTTGACTTTTCCACTGTAGAATGACTTGTAAACATTGCGACTTGGCCCTTGATATGTGTTGTAAGTACCTATCATCAAGACTTAAATCACCAAGAGAAACGATAACAGAATAGAAGGCAGTGCCTCACCTGAAGATTGTTAACCAAAGCTTGTGCATCTGCTTTGAGGTCTGGTAGAACAACTTCATTCCAAGTAAAAGAAGATGCTACACTAACTGGAATGCCCTGCCCAAGGGACTCAGTAAGGCAGTCCCAGAGTTTGGAAAGCTGCTCAAACAAAGAACCTCTAAACTTGTCACAAAGCGATTTAAGAGCAAGCTCGGCACCACGTCTGGCTATAGCACCCTCAATCCTAGACCTCTCCTCACTCGAAGAGCCACCCTGTGGTTTCACCTTCACTCCGGTGTTAATCTTCCCTGAAACTCCAATGTCCGTATCTTCAGAAACTGCATTGGCAGCAGTGGCTACAGGCGTCTCTAAAGGATCAGCACATGTCAACACAGACAAGTTCTTTATGAGCTTGTCATTTGGACTTGGCTTCCTTCCGACACATTGACTGATAACCTCAGCCAGTGCATCTGCCGCCGGACGTTGCAAAACCTCCTCCTGTAAAAACATTTCCAAGATTCGTGAGTACACATGGAAACGAGAAAGATGAATTAAGACGGGGAGGTAAACGAGGAACAGGGTAGACAGAAGTCTTACCTGCTCACGCTTCACAGCTTGCATTAACGGTTGGATTATAGGATTCAATTTGCTTGTGAGCTCGCCCATCCAAACCACAGCTCCAGCAAGTGAAGCGAGTACACTAATATGCAAGTTAATCTGCATAAATAAATCGAGATCAGGTTTCTGAGAAGAATAATAAGCAAACAAACCGGTTTTTTAGGCCTGGAACGATCTAGAAATTGGAAAGAGCCCTCCATTATCCAATACCAAAGCCAAAGCGAGGCAAGGAAAAGTTCGTTTAGGAAGCGATGGACAGAGAAGAACGCACTACACGAAGCATATGGTCAAGAAGGTGATTACCTTCCAAAATAACTAAGAACCCTGGTACTGCGTGATACACTAGACAGTTCTCTCTAGTTTCTAGTATGTTTTACAGCCATGAGTGTCCGATGAACAACCTACTGTAGTAAGTAAGCACAATGACAAGCTAAAACGACTTCCTACCCACACATATTCAGCCCACCGACTCTTTACTGTACTTGCCTGCAAGCTAGTCAGATAACCTGCAGTCGCCAGCAGTCGTTGTCGAGTGGATTCGTACATGTCGGAAGAGGAGACTATTTTATCATCTAAAGGTGGATCTCCTGCAGGCCTAATATCCAAGGGAGATCCAGGGCGCGTAGCTAGTTCTATGGCGGCATCTGCATTCAGTCCCTCCGTCGACGGTATCCCATCTGGAAAGAGAATCTTGGAGTACCCTGACGCCTCCGCATGCTTGATGAGAGCCCCTGCTTCTCCTCTCATCTTGGTGTATATACGGGAGAGCTCGGAATACGGAGCATTAGAACCCGGTGTTGGTAATGCTGGATCAGTCGCTGAGAGCAATTGCAGCAAGCGCATGCGCAGTGGTTGCGCAGCCGCTACAGCTTGGCCTACCCTCTCTTGATCCAGATTAGTTCGAAACTCTTTGAACCATGACACGAGAACCATGGAGGCCACCTGTCAGTCAAAAAATATATCAGCGAACCATGATTTAGAATCTCTGGTTCCAACGTCACGATTTTCGCTTCAAGATAGACAGGACAAGGCATGTAAACGAAAAATCAATGGGCATGAACTTGGTGAAAGGTTTATAGTGGCTCATGAAAGCACCTGTCGCTGGACACCAGAGGTAGAATTTAAAAGCTCTAACAAGGCAATCACAGCTGTTCCCAGCATAGAATCCGAAAGGCTCGCAGCCAGAATGCCTAGTGCTGAAGCTGTAGCGACCCGCATTTGTACAACAGACTTCTCGCCCTCGGCTCCTACAATTACTTTCGAGGATTGATTGGTAAAGTTGTCCACATTTCTGCTCCTTGATGAGGCTTCTCTTTGGCTTTGCCACCTGGACTCACCAGCACTCATGTTCCCTCCTTTCCCACCTCTTAGCTTCTCAACGACCTTCACTCGACTTCTTCGTGGCAAAGAGTTAGGAGAAAACATCTTCGACGTTTCCAAGGGAGATCCCAGTGCAGTGCTTGATAATTTCAGCCAAGATGCAAAGTATGCCCCAGCTGCAGATGCCAAATGTTTTTGTGGACACTGCATGGCAAAGATGATGTAAGTCAATCCATCAAACAAAGGACAACATAAAGAAGATTGCTCATACAAGTTGAACTGTCGAATTTGCCAGACGTATTCAAATGTTCAATTTGAAGGAGATACCTGCAAAAGTAGCCGCCAAACACGCTGAGAACACAATAGTATTGAGTCGTCTGTTTCCAGCAGCAGATTCTGGAAAACAAGCCGTAATGCATCGCCAAGAATAGGAACAGCCCAGAAAGTTCCACTCTGAGAGATACCAAGATTGCCTTGATTTCCGGCCTCTAGGAGGCGTTCCTGTGGAATGCGGTGAGAGTGTGTCACTCGTCAGTTCATACAGAAACACTTCACGATCATGAATAAGTGAGGCTTGAGCAGACGGGCAGCTTCGGTAACGATGAAGGCAGTATAAAAGTAAAGGGACTTCTTAAGAGAGAAATGCCCTTAAATAAGTGTATAACGAACATATGCCGAAAGAGTAAGCAGCCTATGGTCAAGAGAAGAAGAAGGCATACCAGAGTTCTTATGGCTGCATGACGAACAGATGTGATGTTGTGCCTCATAAATGGCCACAATCTAGGGGCCAGAGATGCAAGTAAGAAGGGATCGTCCCGAGGACCATCCCTGAGATCTCCACCGTTCTCATCGGCTGAAACCATCTCATTCAAGTCTATGAGTTTCCGCTTCTCCATAACAGTTCTAGGGAGCACTCCTGGTTGTGAATAAAGCTCTGATAATAAATGCATAACACTGCATTTTTCAAGAAAAGAAACCGATTGAGAGAGGTGAATATGTATGTAACTTTCTACCAGCACAACAGTTGATAAAACTTAAATCAAAATGTGAGTACAAATAGCAGAACAATACCTGCTAGTGGAGGGGCTAAGATCATCCAGGTCAAGCAATATATCCCAAAGCGAGAGAAGAATAGCTGAAACTGCCTCACTATTTGAAGTAACAAGAGCAGCTGCTGCCGGTGTCAAAGCTTCGGCTGCAACTGCCCTAACGTCGTCATCAGGATCTTCAAGTCCAACCATACATGCTGGTAGAACTCTGGGAAGCAATTCTCGCATCATATCCTGAATTCAATAAGGTTCTCAGAAGTAGTCCTACAATTTGCTGCCCCGGTGTGACATTCAACTCTCCAAAAATCTTTCGACATGAAATTAATTCTGAACATAAGCACTTATCAAGAAAAGCAGATTGAAACAAGAAAAACTTGCACACCTGCCGCACAGCAACAAGATATTTGATCCCAAGTAGACTTCCATGTCTAACCTCCCATTCGTGGCGGCCCTGAAAACGTATATTTGTCAGACTTTGGCTTGTATGACGGAAACTCGGGCTACTATTTCCATAAAATCCACATGACGACCATCGCCGTTTTCATGGCAAGGTGATGACATGTGCGACATAGCTTAAATTAATATTGAAGACCAGGGCATCAAGTCACCTGCATCTGCAGAAGTATATTAAAAGTAGCGTGAACCAGTTCTTTGGACATGTGTTTCAAAGCTGCCCCTAAAACTTGGGCACATGTTTCTCGAACCGGCGCAACCACTTGATCAGAGACATAATCTCCAAATCTGCAAACAAGGACATAGATCATTCGCCACTCTTAATCATGATCATCAGCTTCAATGAATCCTATCTTGATCCAACCGTTAGAATGAAAAAAGACATCAACCGCAGTATGTGAGTTTCCGAAAATAATAGGTGAGAATGCACTTCACAACTCTACATAAAATAAGTATCTCATTCAAACAGCAAAGCCTAGTTGGGAACTCCAACAGTAGTCTGTGACATTTAAAGAAGACAAGTAGGCCTTCCGGCAAGGAGAAACTAGTGCCAAATATAGTGAGGCATACATACCGGTCTAGAGAGAAAACACAAAGAAGTCGGATTGTGCAGTCCTGAAGGAACTCCAGGTTTGCAGCCCATGATTCCCTCGCAGAAAGTAAAAGCTTAGAGGCTCTACTGTCTTTTGGTATGTTTAGAAAAGGCCGAATTGCGTTTGAGCAATTCTCCACTTTAACACTAGTATCTATCCTCCGTTCCACGTTCTCCGCGTACGGTATTTCTCTGGGTTCAAGTTTCACCATTTTCGGTTCTTCTCTGAAAGGTTCATCCCTCACCTCTAGGTTCAAATCCAGCTGATTCAGGTCTAACTCTGGCTTGACTACAACAGTACCGGCCTCTATATTGATATCAGCTCCCTGTGAAGCAATCCAACTCGGCTTGATATCAGGTGTACTTTGACAGCCATTCCAATTATTAGCATGTGTCCCATTCCGAGTATCAGGGACTTCTTCCTTCACGCTCTGAAAGTCCAAGGTTTCCTCTTCTAACCCGGCATTCAAATCAAGATCAAATCCTCTTCCTTTACTTGAACTTGTTAAGTTAAGATCACCAACGGCATCACACGCCGGTGGTACCTCCTCCACGTCTAGCGCGGGGGTGACAACAGCTGCTGATGCTGCTTGTGTGCTCAAGATTTCTCTTAATGCCATGATGCTACCGTGTCGGATCTCCCATACTGTGCGAAACAAATCACCACGACGTCCATTCAGAAAAAGCCGTGAGCCACTCAAGTCTTCAACAGACTAACGTAGCCGATAATACCGAAAGTACCATAATACCGAAAGTATACTGTACACTAATATCGACTAGCAAGGGGAAATGTCAGGGAAAATCAGGGGAAATGTCTCCGTGCTGGTTGTCTTTTAACTTACTTTGTACATAGATCGCAACTTAGAAAGATGAGTACATGAGCAGCGGCTTAGCAAGTAAGACACCGAAACAACGCAAATCTAGGCGTTAGGTCTCAAAGGTACTGACAATTTACATAACATAGAAAGAAGCAAGAAGACAAGCATGTACGTGGGACCGGTCATGACTGGACTGAAACTGTAAGAGAAGGAAGACAAATCGGGGCATGAATACGAAGAGGCCACAGGTAGTAACATGGTGGAATACACGGAAGAGCCCCGCTGGCGAAGGTAAGTATGAGCGCGGTAAGAGGTAAGAGTCAAGAGCGCGGTACAGAGGATCCAGTCAGACAGAAGACAGTGCTACAGCATCAACAATACTTGGAAGGAAAAACACATTCCCGTCACATTAGCTCGGCTGCTTCATCAGTAGAAACTGAGGTGCGTAGGTTTCTCCGCTGGACTGCGCGGGTGCTGAAAAGAACTCAGAGCCCAACGAACCAAAGAAAATAATGTGGATATTTGTAATACAGAGTGCTCTAAGCAGATATGAATGGAAGTAGGACAGACCAGGACGATAAAGGACTAGTCTATGACGCATGAACGGAGAGTAGACCCAACATAGATATATGTTGATTGCCAATAGGTCCTGCAGCTAGAGCAAAATCATGAGATCCCTATCAAGCATAGTCAGTGTACAAAGCTGAACACAAGTTAGGGGGTTTGGTTTTAAAATCTAGGACCACTCCCGCTATATTGCAGAAACATTAGTAACAGATTTGAGAACTGAGTTGGAGAAAGCGTAGACAAGAAACTACTCTCGGTTATAGTAAGGTTTTCACATATTGTGTAATAAACGATAGCCTCGATGATATTGCTGTTACAATCTCACCCAAATGTTGTAGTAGACAGCCAGTGAGATGTGCTGAAATAGTTATTGAGGTAGAGAATGTCTAATAAATCCAGGAATCTTTTACAATTCCAGAAACAAATATAGAAAAGGAACAAAATGCATGTATCTCCATCTCAAACCAAGGCCCCAAAAATATCTCTGCGGCCTTTGAAAGCCAATTATTCAAGAACGTTTGGATCCGAAAAGTGCAGATATTTCATGCGGGAATCACCAAGCATATATCCAGGAACAAACACAAGAACATTTTGATCGCAGATACAAACGATGTCCGAATACCCAGATAACCATCAACACCCATTCTGTTGTCGAAGTAGCTCGCTAAGAGCCAGTAACCTCGTCAAGAGTTTTTCAGATACTTAATGCAAGGCAAACTTGTTAACTGTTACCAGCACTTTTTGCGATGATATCCATGTCCAAACTCAAGCAACATAACTATAAAATCCGAACAGTTACCTTGCATGCATGCATTATGAGAACAATCACTTTGACGGCAACGAGTTTTGAATCTACAGTAGACAACTTATAGATACGAAGTGTTTACCTGTGTCGAACATGTCATGAATTAGTAACTCTACGAAGTGACCAAAAGGCCAACGTCCATCTCCCTCTGGTTCTGGGCTATCATCATCAAGTACTGCTTCCATCACGAGCTGCAAGAAAAAGACAACTTCTTGTATAATTATTCGTCAACATTCAATCTTGGGTTCCACAATGGTACAACAAAGGACAACATTCTAACTCAATGACCTCCAGCATTCAAAACATGTTAGTCGTTGATAACCTAAATTCCTGTCGTTTGAGAGGTATTTCGACAAACCAAGGTTTCCAAATTTCAAAACAGTGCGACAAGCGCGTGCCAGTTCAATCATCATATTTATAACTTCCCCTTAAAAGGAAAATTTCTGAAATCCACACACATTCAAACGCTAATGAGAAAATTGTTTTCTACGTTGGTCACCTGAACAAAAAGACCCTTCACAACATTGATCAAGTTACACTTAGTTTAAATAATGAGATTTCTCTGCTATAGTTGGTCAAGAGAAGGAAGACATTCGGATCTCCCTAGACTTCGTCTATAGCACTTAATAACCCATCCAAACTTCAAGTCAAAACTTTTGCCATAAGGTTACCATAGTCTTCCTTTACCTTGTCTCCAGCTTGCGGCTGCTCAGTGATGACGGCTTTGGTGTTCTTGGTACGCTTAGCAGTTGGTTCCTCGGCATCTTCCTCCTCTTGCCACTCCTTGCTGTTGCCATCCTTAACTATGACCTTAGCCTTGCGTTTCAACATATTCCGTTCTCTAGCACTAAGAGACCTGGCCAGAGGCATCATGTTTGCTACCAAGTCCTGCACTTCTTGCTTAGCACCTACTTGGCCATAATATCCATGAGATGGCCCATCTCCATTAGTATATGCTCCTCGATGCGACATAAGATCTTCATCTCGTATCATGTCGTTAACATCCATGAATTGCTCGCAGCCATCCAGCCCTAAGAGAAGACACAGTACGCGTCAGTGATACACGGATATGAATGAAAGGCGGAAAGTCTTATCAAATGCATCTCATTCTAGGATAAACTGTTTTGCAACCTAAGAACAAGATCGTCAGCTGAAAACACGTGAATCGAAAATGTGTACCTTCTAATAGTTCTCTAAATTATTTCATCAGTGAAAAATCTATCCAGAAAATTTTCTGCATACTTTGTCAAAGACATGAGTTGTGAATATAAATGCTAACCGAGTCTCCGACGGAGATTCTTCTTTTGACGAGCAAGCCTTTCCGCGGAAGTCTTGGTATTGTCGACGCTGATATCGTACTCCTGAATTTGGTTGGGTACATCCATTGGATTGTGTTCTCATCAAAAAATCTCATCACTTTCTCAGTACTGTGATTCAATCTAGTATTATAAAAATTGATGGGACCATCGATGACATCAAGAATAAGGAAAGTATGGGCGATCTTACAATAGAGCATAAACAAGGAACGGAAAAAGAGCTGAATAGGACATTGAGTAGGGTACGTAATATTAGAACTTGAGTTGTTTTCACGCTTCTTCCACTAATGACACAATAGGCAATCCCTTACGACCGACATACCTGACCACCTGAAGCTAGCAGCGAGGCACCAAATTCCAAAACTCGCTGGATGTCAAAGCTGAGCCACATGCCAAGCAACTTCTAAGATTATCTTCGAAAGCAATTTAGATAATTTTCAGATCATATGATGCAGCCAAGTGCCTGTGTCTCTTCAACGCAGATCCCACTCACTTTGAACTCTTGTGAACGCTGTAACGGAAGATACACTTCACCGCAAGCTAGACACAGTATTACTTGAAAGTTAACCTTGTGTCATTACCTGCTAAATGTCAAGGAATTTGAAGACTGAGATGTTCCGAGAGCACACAAGTCAAGGTAAACTGAGAAGTTTAATGGGTGACCGAGGGCTGCAAGCTCGGCCTCTGCCTTCGAAATAATCTCTTTCACGGTAGGATGACTGACATTCTCGGCAATGGCACCAATGGCCTGAGCAGCTGCTACTCGCGTATCCCAACTCTTGCTTCTCAGGAACTGACGGACCTGCAAAAGTTCCGAGACAGATAATGAGTCGACCGAGGGCATGAAGGGCAAACTTGGTGTTTTATCCATGAGAGTTAAATGGCAAGCACAATGATTCAGATATAAAATGGACACAAATCTCCGAGAAATTCATCTGAATACAGAGCGAGACCTGCCCAAAAACAGTGGACACAAAATCTGAAAACCAAGAGACTGTGAGAGATATTAGACCCGTCTTAATAAGGGGCGGAGTTCTGTGGGATGAAGCTTTGCTATCTCTCCAATCTGCCGTGCTGCTGTACGTCTCGTTGTAGACGTAGATCCAGCTAAAACCCTTGTTAAGGAAATATGACGAAAACAAAATTCATGCCAGAATCAATCTTTACTATACGAAAACGCAGTGATAACAAAGCCTATTTGCACCAACGGAGATAGAAGAGTGTAAAATGCTACTGTCAATTGGATAATCATCATGCCAAATCATGAGAAGCAATCGAAAACCATGTCGGCGGAAACCCGTCCGATTATGTGACACATGAGGTGCCAGAAATCTGATGCCAATGCAGATGGAGAACCACAGTGAAACCTATTTCAGACGCAATTGCTGGAACATATGCTGATCAGAATGCCACAGCTAACGTTTCGCTCTCGATCAGTGAAAACATGGGGCTATCAAGAGAAACCCCAGCAGAACGCATCCGGTTTATGACTCGCTGCAGGTTGTCAGTAAGAAGAGCTCTTCAAATGACAGCGAGTAGACATGATTCAGACTAAGTGCTTCCTAGTTCAATATATAATATGTTCCTAGATTAAGTGCACTTGACACTATTAGGCAGCACACAACTACAAACAATACGAATGAACCAGGCGTATGAAGGATACTATCCAGAAGAGTGAGGAGGCGGTGGAGGCGGGAAGTTTGATGCGCCATAGTAAGTGACGGAAGAAGGTAACGCTGCTATTCACCTCCCTCCTTCATCAGGACTCTTGCATGCAAATCCGCAAACAATTCGAACAACCTAAAAAGACCAAAAATGTTGGTGTCATTCAATCTCTAATGGAAACCGGCCCCTCACAAACGGCGTGCTCTCCTCCCCGATCTCTTTCTCCATTCCCACTCTCCATACGAAATGTAAGTATATTGTGGCACGTCAACAAGCTAAAAATTGCTCAGACACCCTTTGGTCTATGCTCGGCGGCCTGCAGTCGCCCACAATCTCTTACTCCACATACAACACCTTTCAATTCACCGGACTCCAATCTCAATCGACATTCGCCCCACGACATGGAAAGCTCGGCACTTCCTCGACGTCGCCGCACGACTCTAACAAAATCACTTCCGCCATAGCTAAAATCGTACGCAGAGGTCGAACGGGTGTGAGGAGTTACAGGCAGATCATAATCGAACACGAACCAATCTGCTCACAAACCAAGTCAAAAATCTGCAGAAACCTCGAAATATAAAACTGATCGCGAATGCTCTCGGCGCCCCTCCGAAGTCGCATAAATAAACGCACAATTTAGGCGTTGGCGGAAGTGCAGGATCTTTGCATTTTCTCCGAATTAGGCTAAGTTGACACTAATTACCCATTAGTGAGCACATTAACGAACTAATACTACTTAGTAGCCGTCCGATGATCTCCTCCACGCATTTCCCGGGTATCACTTCCATACAAACACATGGACCCGTTAAGAAAACCATGTGGCGGACGATGTAGCTGCCATTTTAGTTGGCAGCCTACTGCAGTAAACTGGCGCTTCTCCTTCTGCTTAGCTTAAAGTTCTAAGGTCATTTGCTAGAACGCCCCCAATTGGAAAGCACGATCTGAGTATAGTACAGGCAAAGCCATTGCTTACGTGTTGATGGACAGTAACTGCGACTTGAAAGGCTACAGTTGTCACTTCAAGTCGGTTGAGTTTGCTTAAGATGAAGCAGGGCCAAGTGGATAGGAAAAAGATGGAAATACCTTATAAACTAGTAAAAGGAAAAGTAAGTAGTATGTTGACAATATACTCGAAACCGTATACTCATACCGTATGAGCATCAGTACATCATCAACTTATGTTATATTCTCTTTATGTATAGCGTCAACAAGTGCTCTTACTATAGAAATTAGAGCGCTAGAAGAAAAGAAAAAACACACAAAAGGCCAGATACATTCGCCTGGTATGATAGTTTGTTGCAAATTCTTTCACTAACATGTCAAAATCTTCATACTGTACATAGCTCCATATGACTCAAATGCCATACCTTGCTTGTTGCTCCCGCACTCACCGCCAATTATCCAAATAATGAGTAATTTCGTCATACCCAATCACGTGTATGATTTGTAAGCACCGTTGATGAAAAGGTGTGTTCTTGTTATATTCTTCTTTCAATCTCTAACATGTGCTAATGGAAAAAAGGCTATTTGTGAGAAGGTAATACAGGAAATGACTCGCTAGTTGTTATGTTGTCTGGTATAGAAGGCTTTTCAGGTTTGATAAATTTTTGGCATTCATAACATGCTCTTAACTAATAAATTCATAGTGCTCGAAAGTGCTCTTGAGAGATCATTCGCTATTAGTTCTATTTTCATTCGACATCCTTTGAATGATACTGATTAAGCTTATAACTACAAATTTAAGTTTGAATAAAGTAAAGGTTTTCAAATTAAATAAAATTTAACATAAATAAAAAAATTTATGATATTTATGGTACATTTAAAATTGAATAATTTATAATTTATAATATCATTTTTTAATTAGTGAATATAAAATTATGATCTCGATAAAGTAAATTTAATATTTTGAAATTTCTAACTCAATATTTATAATGTAGAAATTTCTATCAAGTTAAAAATTTATTATGTTTATTAGTATTAGAAAAAGTTAGAGAATAAATTTTCTGAAGTCGACGTTTTAATGATAAAAAATTAATTGAGATAAAAATCAAACTATGTGATGATTATTTTAATCATATCATCTGATTTTTTATATTAAATTATTATAAATTAAAATTCAAACATTTTGGTAAAAGCTAAAACTTCAAAATTTTTTAGATCCATGGAGAAAATCAAATCTAATGCACATAAAATTTTTAAAAAAAAACTAAGTGATGACAAAGACTTTATTTTATACTAATATTTAGCTTCTAATCATGATTCATGGAGTATCAAACTTTTGTAAACAGATATCGCTTAATACGGACTTAAAATATTTATGTCAAATTATTAAATTTGATAACTTTCAATTTTTATCCTGACTATTAAATCAATCACATGTAAATTTTGTTAAACATCTTAAAATCAAGAATTTTGATGATTTCAAATGCATGAAAAAATATAATAGAATCATTTGGAGCTTATAAAAATTCAATTATTTATATATAATTTAGACTATGCAAAATTGAGTCTTTAAATTTGCTTTCAGATTTGAAGATATTCATAAAGTGATTGCCCTAAAAAATCTGATCCTATCAATATGAATTTGAATACTCCTTTCATATTATTATTATATTTAATAAATCAAATACTAATATAGTTCTTGAAAATTTTATTATTGATGATATGATCAAATAAATCATGTTCTAATTATTTTTTAAAGTTTTTTTATTGCTAAAAGTATAAATTCAAGATTTTATATTTTTAAATATTTTTTAAAAAACAAGTAATCATAAACATAATTTTAGAAATCTGGGGATTGTACAATATATAAGAGAGGAAAAAAATCACCTAACATCATCCTTTGATAGCATCATCAAACGTTCAGTGAAACATAATTAGATTACAATCATTGCATGTGATGATGTTCTGATATTTATTCGATACGGATTCATGGATTATTGAATAGACATTCATGGAAGCATTCTATTTTTGAATTATCATTCATATATATCAATAAAAATATGATGTTTGCAAGAGTGAAAATTATCAAATAAATTTATATAAATCATTTTATAGACACACATGTTCCATCAAATGAATAAATCAAATAATGATCGTATGGCATTTAGTCCATTAAATCTGTTTGGCTTGATTTTAAGTGTTGATAAAATAAGAAAACTTTAATTAAGATGACATGATGTATCTAACAATGATATGATCCAATTAAAAAAGCAATGTTCAAAGTAAAGTGTTCGTAAAAGTATAAATTATTTTTTAAATAGAAATGTTTATAGGATATAATTATTAAATCAGTGCACTCAATTTTTTAAATTTATATTCAAATTATAGCAATATACATAAGACTACAAAAGTTCCGATTTTATAAAGAAATTTGTTGCCTCTTGATGATGAATTTAACAGGATATATTTGAGAAAATTTTGTTATTTGTGTTTTTTTGATACATATAATTGAATAAAAAATTAATTATTTAGAGCATTATTTTTTTTCTGAATGTGATGAAGATGAAAAGAATACTTAAATTCATTGATATAAAAATTGGGTTAAAATCTATATCTTCAAATATTTAGAAAATCTTAATTTTCATCATTTAGGTTTAATATTTTATATTTTTAGACTCAAATTATTAGAAAGTGTGGCACAGGTTAATGAGATATAGATTTATTTTATAAATATTAATAAAAATTAAAAACATTTGTACACAAAAACAGAAATACTGTCTATTTATGTCTAATTGTATGATTTAGATATAGTAAGAGAAATATTGATAATTTATTGATAGCTAATTATTGATAATATTGATACTATTTAAAAAAAAGGTAAAATAAAGTAGAAGAAAAATCAATTTATTTATCTTCTCATGGTGTGAACATTGTAATTACTCGCGAAGAAGTAATATAATATTTAATATATATTGGCAGCAGATTACCTAGAGTCTTTAACATGGGAAAATCAAATTCACTAAAAACAATCAAAGTTGAAAGAATACCATTCAAAAAGTTTGTTTAGAAGTGAAAAGGTGTGCATTGAATTCAAGACTTGACTTTCACACCACAAACCACGAACCACCACCGCGTCTGCGAGCTTTCTAGTTAACCTGACCTACTACACTTCTGAGCAATTTCCACTTGAAATTGTTGCTACAATCAAATACGCACAGGTCACATGTCTCCATCTTGTTGTCGGCTTTGGTTTGGTCATTACGGTAGGTACCTCGATCAATCTGCACTGACTCATAGTGAATTATGTTCGCCATCCTTTGTTCTCAAGTGCGTCTCAGATTTCTCAGAGATTACAAAAAAATGTTCATACTAGTATATTTACGGACCATGCTTCAAACTATCAAACTGCTTTAAGCTGACAACAAAAACCTCATCGAGAGTCATCATAAAACGGAAGAAGATTCATATGAAATAACTGTGGAGAAGAATATTTAGTTTTAAACAAATGTGAATAATAAACTAAATAGATTGCCAACTATCTCCATTAACCAATTGATATACCCAGGAAAATCAACAAGACAATAGATGTAAACATTAATATCTGAAGAAAATAAATTCTTTTACTTTTAGAAATTAACCTACTAGGTTTCAATGGGACTTGAGCAAGAAATATGAAAGTAACAAGAGGAAAAATTATATTTTCCAATATATATCTACAGTCTTAATAAAATAATTCAAAACCCAAAAAAATTACTTCACTAATAAAGAATTTATATTTGGGGGGGGGGGGGGGTTTAATTCTAAATATCAAGAGACAATTCATTCTCCATGAATTATTTGGCTTTCAAGACTTGACCCTGCTTTTGTAGAGGTGAAGAGGAAAAGTTACAAGTCATATCTGGCCTTGGGCCTTCAGAACCGAAACGTGCGAGCACTTCTATCTATGGCATCACGCCATTTGGAACATAGAGTTCGGGCTTTAGCCGATACCAGAGCACACTTTGCCGTGACGGGCCGGGAAAGGAATGAAAACAAAGAACTTATTAATTTATGGCTAGCTCTAGCTTTATGCTCCAGGGGTCTGCGGCTAAACGGCTGGACCGTCTGAGGCTGGACGGTTACCTTCGGCTCTCAAATATAAAAGAGCTTCGATTTTTTCGTTCGCGGACTTCAGTCTATTTAACCATCTAGGGTTAAAGTCTAAGGACTAGAAGCAAAATTAATCATTTTGTTCTCTTCACTCTTAAGCAATAACTGTGTTCTAAGTATATCATGAAAATGAGTAAGAGGGGTGCTGCTCAGTCTGAAGGTCTCGATAAGCCAAAAAATATTTTGTTTATAATATTTGTCCATGAACTGAAAAGAGTGCCAATCACCAAGCAAGCAAGGTTTCCTTTTAGAATCGGAGAATTGTAAGTGTTTGGTGAACTGAAGATGCTTTTGCTTAAACCACAAAAAAACCACTAATTAGTTTGGACTGAACTAACCAAGATTTGGCAAAGTGAAAAAAATAATTGTTCAATAGATTTTGAGTTCATTGAAATGGGGTTATTCTGGAGCATTTCAGGTTAAGTGACCCTTATTCCCAAGAATCTTCTCAAAGGTAGAAAAGTATCACTGACTAAACTTCCTCACTTCCGCATCGAATCGATCCTGAACCTTAATGTAGTAGGTGAAGCATACCAGCAATGCATGAGGAGCAAGCCGAAGTGTCTTCATGTTATGCAGTACCTCCTTGTACAAGGTGGTAAATCTGCTTTTGCCACATGGAAATTAGTACCTTTCCCTTTCCAGCAGAGAACAAGCCCTACTACGACATAGAACTACAATCTGCCTAAAAGAAACACTTCGGGCAGACGAGGCAGGGCTTTCGTGACGAAATGCTTAAAAATTTCCCATTTTTAACGGTTCGATAGTCTAGGAAGACGTAGACTTCGGGGAAGATCTCAAAAGTGAACCCATTGTGGGCATTTTCCTCCCATTTGTGTTCGTGATTAGAAATCTAATCTACAATAAGGTCTTTATGATATTCGAGTCCTGTTCTGAAGATCAAATCTGATTCAATACGACGGTGAAGGACTCATGAAATGAAATAGGTCTTTATGTATGTCTGCCATATTTATATAGGCTCGAGTTCAGGCAGTTCGTTGTCGCCTGCGTGATTGGGAAGTCATTCAAAGCCAGATTATACTGGTCATTCACAGAAACCAGTTCCAACCGCTCTTACTTCTGCATCGTGCATTGCAGTACGGGCTGCAACTCCGATAAGGTACCTTTGATTGGCAAATTCATGAAAATACGAGTGATTCTGATGGAAGAAATTTCATAAGCTTCCGCAATTCTTCATGGGTAAGGTGTAACATAAATGGAGCGTCTTGCCTAATAAGTCTACTACTTTACACTCTCCCTAGGGCGAGGCACCCTCAATTAACACGATTGAAAAGGGTCCAGCACTCCACCATCCCGTGGGTTTTGAGGTAGTTCAGACTACGATCAATGGTTTGGCATGCCACAGACAATCAATCTTGTCCGCTTAAGCGTCTAGGTAGAAAGGGGAGGACTCTGAGAACATGTTAATTGAAATGAATAGATTCAATATACAACCTTCCTCTCTTCTAGACTGCTCATTACAATCTCAACTTTTGAAATGTAGATGACTAGATCGAGGGGACTAAACTCCAGGGTAGGGGTTTCTCGGATTCGAGATTCAAAGAATATCGTCCTCCAAGTCATCTCCGAGTTCAAAAACAGCATTGCTTTCCGTAAGAGCCACGTATTTGTGGTTCCCAACACGGTTGCTTGATCCGTGTTCGCCTGAATCACCTTGAGCCAACTTTTGATATCTGGAAAAGTTCGTAATGTAGGATGTGAGAAATTACTTGCAATGGGGCTCTTGATCCAAGCACCTTCGTAATCAAAGAATTCTTAAAATAAAACATGTGAATATAGGTCAGTAGAAGACAACTACAATAACAAGACACCAGAAGAACAAAAAGAACAAAAACAAAAGCACAATGGTAGAGAGGACACAGTACCTCAACCAGTTGAAGAGACTAACGCCTACAATAATGATGGTAAGACCAACTCCCTTCAATACTGTGAATTCTTCATGTAGGAATATCACTGCGACCTGAAATATGTCAAAAAGTAGTTAAGCATTCTTGCAAAGATTATCGAACTTTTTAAGGTGGTGTATATACAGCAGTCACACCGCATATTTCCATTTTCCATTCATTTCCAGAACAAAAAACGCCAATCCACTTGACTCTATTGGTGCTTACCAATACCATCACGACCTCCTTGAATACTCCGGCCACAGTAAACGCAACAGCACTAGTTTCAGAAATCAACAGATACTCTGCCGAAACCTGAAAGAACATCAACAGTAAAACAATTTCCTGGTATGTTAACAACAAAATTCAGCCTTAACTTTGCAGACCTGGCAATTCATGTAAACCAGTCCAAAAAATATATGAAGACAATCAGCACATACTGGAAACGTCGTGCTGGATTTCTGCAAGTAGAGTGCAATCAGTAAAGATTCTACGTGTACTTACCATGCAAAATGCTAAGGCACCACCAAGTAACATAAGAGCACAACTTGACATCACGTGCCTTGGAGTATCAAAGTAATGGCTTTCTCCAAACTTACTCCAAGGCTCTAGTATCAATGACAGTATCAAGGACAAAGCTGTCATAACTGGTGTCAGATAACTCATGACGGCAAACGGATTGTTTAGACCTGCAAAACGTAACAAAGACATTATCAGCACACAACATCCCAACTATACAGATCACAATGTTTTGGTCTGCGTATCCAATGAGAATATATAAATGTGAGCAACATGTATGACATAGCTCTTCACCTCCAGACACCTTCTCAAATCATACGACTATATTAGGTGACGTTAAACATGACTAAATTCACAAACCCCAAATATATATAGAAGTCTCATGTTTCAGTGTCATACAACAGAGACAAGACAAGAGGTATTACCGTATTCTTCTTTCTGTAGACAACTCAATATTTCATTTTTCCGCATCCAAGACGTACCCACAGCACAATCAAAAGTCCAATAACATACATCGGTTAGTCCAAGGCTTGTTTCCATAAACAGGGCTGAAAGGACGAACCGCAAAAGATAATCCAGGGAGGCCAGGTGCAAAACATGAATGCCAAATTCAGTCATTACCTGAAGCAAGAGCTGCGTAACCGTCCAGCGGAATCCCGTCATGATAGAAGCCGCCATGACAAATATGAAGCCCACAACATTCAACTGCGTTTCTTTAACGACTGCAACCCTACCAGGATGTGTGCGTCAGTGGAAGGAAAGGTCTTCGACACTCCGACTTTCTAGTAACTTGCGAGGAATATCACCTTGACACCGAAATTCAAACAACATAATCGAATGTTCAGCTGTCCTCACCAAAAAAGACTTACATTTCTCCGACGAATTTATGATCCAATTCTCTGATTAGAAAATAAACGCAGTTCTGTGGCGGTTTCAAACTTGACTGCTAAGAAAGGAGTGCAGAAATATACCAGTCAGCATGACTCCAGATGCTATGATCAACATGACTCCCAGCAACTTGTAGCTAGGTACCTCCAGCCTGTAATGTGGTTCCATTATTAAATAAACACACCAAAATTGATTGATACAAGAGCCACTATCTTACCCAGAATATTTGCAAATCCAGAGTATGAAACACGAAACAAATGTCCAAGCTAAAGCGACCAGAATAATTTGACTTTATAGACAACAAGCATGTCGATTTTACTTAAAATCAGAACTTATTGTCACTTAATGACAGGATTCACCAACATACATACTCACTTGAATGCGAACGCGAAAAGGAGCAGGAAAACTGGGGCACCCGACTTGCACTGCACCGAATGGTACCAGTTTGCTAATTAGCCGTAACCAACTTAATACTAAAAGCATCTAGCAGAAGAGTTAGTTCTAACACCTTTGACACAAGTATAGAAATTAGGAAAGTGAGAAACTTTTACGTCACTATTCGCTAGATGCAAAATGTATCCATTTACATATTGGATGTCTGTAGCACAATCTTTCAGCTCCATAAATACGGTCGATTCTTGCAAAAACGCAAGGATAGATAGTACTATGTGCAAAACAAATTTTGTTCACGGACTCACCATCGTTTCGAAGGTAACTGATATGAACACTAGAGACATATTGGTGAGGTTGATATCAAGGGCTGTGGCTACGGCTGTGGGTACCACTGTTACCAACAAAAAAATGTAGAAAAAAAACATCAATACACACATAACACAGAGAAAGAAATGGTAGTTTGGATTCAAGATGCAAAAGGTGTTGATAACTGAAGTGCAATGACCATTCCAATTCTTAGGCTCACATTACCGCGCAAAAAGTAGTCCTTCCATGACATGTTGAATGTAGGGAGCAACGAAGGTTTGATAAACCGAATGATGACGGTTGAAATAACAGCTTGCATCAAAAAATGAATGGTGTTCATTAAAAGTGGAGCTGGAAAATGCCCCTTGTCGATTCCCAGTAGTAACTTGTTATACCTGTAAACAGATGAAAAAGCCATATTCAGAACACAGTCTGCCACAGTTGCGAGACCTAGAACTCAAAATGTCGAAGTGTTGAGAGAGAGAGAGAGAGTACTCACAATGTCAAAAAAGTGCTAAATATGTACCACACAAGTATAAGAATCAACGTTTTCAAGATGAACGATGTCAAGGATCTGCTGGCAGGTGATACGTTTTCTTCCACTGGCGAAATCTCGTCATCGTAGTACTTATGAGCTTGTGAATCTGTTAAAGGATCAACTTTGCTTCTTAAAGGAATGTCCTCTAGCGAACCGTTCTCCCTGTGATCTTTAATCAAATCGTCGGCTGCAGTCATCACTTGCATCCGTCTTTCAGCTTCTGCTCTTCGATTGAGTAGATCCTCAAAATTGTCCCGGGAAGGCAGCTCTATTGGCGAACCAAATCCGTTGGCTGCTACCTCTGGTGAAAACACACTGCTCCTGTCGGACTCCTCTTCTTCTTGACCGGAATCGGCTGAGAGTTCTTGCAGATCTAATGGATACAAAGGAGTATTGCCAGCTATGGACTCAAGATATAGAGCCTTTCTGCGTTGCTCTTCTTCTTTGGGAGAGGTCACCATAATTTTCAGGGCCTTTCCTCCTCTCTTTGTACGCAGAGTGCCCTCTTTCTTGCTTTTACTTCTTGCTAGACCGCTTGAACCCTCGCTACTGGAGTTAGCTCCTGGAGATGCTCCAGGCGATCCTCCGCTAGATAAAGATACTTCTTCCAGATCGAGCTGATGAGAATACCTGTTCTCCAGCCCTGCATAAGATCGGGACCTGTGGTTTGTTTCATCCATACTGTCGCCTGATTTACTCAAAAAGTTCACAAATTGCTCAGAACCAGAGATGCTCCCTCGTAATTCGATGAAGCCATCCGGCTCCATCGCGAGTCATATAACCAGTCCGGTGGAATAGACAGATTATCACTAGGCCTACATCCTCCACAATTCAGCACAACTCCGGTATGGAGAGTGTAAAAGTCAAAGATTTAAGATCAAAAGCCGCCAAAACACAAGCACCTGAAAACTGTCTTCACGCCGCAAACGCATCAAGGATGCAGAGCTGAATCAGCCCGAATACGAGACAGGATATTTCCTCACATAACACAACTCCACCTCTTTCTCAATACACTGATCTAAAATCGACAATGCACTTCAGAGCTGCAAACGGAGTCCCCAGCGTACAGGTCATATTGCGCGATATGCTCATTGGCTGGTCTCCTCCTTCATCAAATCATTTCCAGCGAGATTGCCTGCTGTCCCTGACACATGAATAGCCTCTACCACCGTCACTACGGAAGAATCAGTCCATCCCTACCTTGAATCGGCGGCTGGCTGTAAGAACTTCGACGAGCTCTCCATCACTCAGACGAACATACTAATCTGCTCCAACATCGTAGACACATCCAGAACTCAACGCGCGTGATGGAAGCACCAACGATCCAGTTCAAGTGCCACTTTCGAGCTGCCTCCGCAAGCAGCCCAAACAAAGGGGCAGAAAGGGTCCACTAGGTCCGACTCTCGAGCCTCACCTCGCGTCCACTAAACTGACACCATCATCCATCACCAATTGCAGCAACAAGGGCGGCCACGAGAGCAACCGACACAAACAGAGAGAGCGAGCGAGAACGAGCCAAGGCTTTCCCTGGGTGCGAAGAGCCTGTCACCCTTGCATCCCCCGCCCGCTATTGCTCAGACAGCGTAGGCAGGACGGGTGAGAAAACGTCGGAGACTCGGGCCCCATGACCATGACGGGATCTGCGAATGAAGCTTCCCACGACAGCCTGCGATCCGATTCAGTGGGGCGCGCCACTGAAAGGGGGCCGATTCCATTACTTTGCTATTTCTTGAGCTCTCGAGGCCAAATGTTTCCAATTTGTGGTCCCTTTGTCTTTTCCCGTCAAAGGTTGACTTCTTGTGTCCGCGACTCGACAGTCCGGCCTGACCCAGTCACATGGTGAAACGACCTAAAGTTCCCGGTGAATCGTGAAAGAATTTACTTCTCTGGTGACTGTGGAGCGGTCTATTATTGCGATTAGCAGAGGAGGAAGGGTTTAATATAAGCAAAAATACGTCCACCTACCAACCCTTCAATTGTTGCCCTGCACCTTTGCTAACCTGCACATGACGAAGACTGCGACTCTTTTGCCCTCCTCTCTCTACTTTATGATTTCTTGTGGAGTTGTGGGCATCATTCTTGCTTTATAGCAAGTCATGTGTGAGGTATGGTGCTCATTCTTCTAGTTAAATACTTATTACTGCTTGAGTTATGAGGTGCTTCTAGGTTTATATGGCGAGAATCATTTTCAATTTATTGACGTTTCCGTGCATACATTTTATCTCTACAATTAAGATATTGAGGTATTTCAATACAATTATGTTGCTTATGTTTGACATGCCATAATGAGCACAATCATATTCGTTTCATGTCACGTAAAACGTAACGGCTGCACAGCTACAATAATTATAATTATTCTGAAAACCATTTCACACAATATTGCACAGACAGATATTATTCAAGATAATCTGATCAGTAATGAAATGGAAAATCTAACATAGTAAAGACTGTAAGTTATAGTAAAAAATGTACCGTTTTCCGTGAGGTAGTTAAATGCATTTCAACTGTGTGCTACTGTATTTTCATTTAAATTCAAACACACACTTGTGTAAGTATGTATACATCCATAATTTTATGTACAGTAACCGATTTGCAGCTCCCAGAACTATTTGCTTCCCTGACAGTCTCATGTATCTACTTAATATTAGAGTATACAAGACACACTTGTCATAAACATATGAAAGTTTCTTAGCCCACCAAAGATGTATTCACTCCATGAATTGAATTGTTCCACCAAATCTTGCCAAAATGCACTTGTGTCACCTATTAACTAATGTAATATTTGTGTTAGCTGGAAAAATAATAAAAAATGGAAAATATCAAGGAATGAATTATCTGGGAAATAATTATAACACATTTTCGCTTGCTTGCGTATCAAACAATTGCCCTTTATATCTACAGTACCTGTAAATCTGCTATTTAGATTATGTAAAAGTTATAAGATTTTCTGTCTTATCCTGTCCCTTTGATATGTATCTTGTATTCTTTGTTGTCGAGAGCTTTGCATCTTTTGGCTCTACCTCAAAAGATTTCATACAAAACAAATGATATATCGATATGTGATAAAAACCTATTATCATCACATCGATGAGCATATATATTTGAGTAATGTATTCAGAAATTGACTTATACTTAAATTATAATATTCAACTTTACGTACAAATGAATTTTAAGATTATCAAATTTTTTTTATCATGTGCTATATCAAATATATTCTTCAAAATTTTTTTATAACGCTAATTTTTAAAATTTTTCTCATTTTAGTTATAATAAAGATATGAACATGTAGTTTTTCTATATATATATATATATATATATTTATCAATTCCAAAATTATATGACTATGTTTTTCTATCGCATGTTACTTAAATTATGTAATCTATTTAGATTACCAAGTAAAGTAAAAATTAATAGTCATGTCATTTCTGTTGAATTATTTACAATTATTAATTTGAAAAAATTTAGAAAATTTATTTACAAGCACCACGCAAACTTGATTTTTTGGTTCAAATCTATTGTATGATATAAATTTGTTGAATATCGAGAGACTTATAATAATTGTATATATCTGTTTATTATTTATTTTAGATTATCTAGCAAATGATGTAACATGACAATATCCACAATTCTACATAAAAATATTGTCAGATGTGAGAGTAAAACATTAGTATTGACATATTATGTTTAAAATTTTGGATTGTTTTTAATGTATTTCTTTAATTTTATTGTGATGCATGTATCGTCTGTTGTAAAATAATTAAATATCAGAAATTATTCTCCATCTTTATTTTGTGCATTCTTGTTTCATCTGATATGTATATCAATTGCAGGTGTATGCAAATCTATGATAATCATCTGTAATTTTTGCTATAATAATTTCTTTATACAAATATCGTCTTCACTTTTTGCATAAATTCAATGAAGGATTCAAACATGTAATGGTAAGGTGATTGTTTAGCTTATTACTTTTATACAATATGAATAAATCTATATTTTGCACATAGCATGAGGTTATGTACGGGCTAAGCGGAGACTCTTTCGGTCCTTGTCAGCCCACAACTAACCATTTAGCAACTGACCTCTGCAAGTGGCGAAGCTCATGAGCGGAACTATTTCTCTGATAGTCCTGTGGCTCCGGAAAGTAAAAGACTTGTCGTAGGGGGAGTAGTTAAAGATGACAGACTGTATGCATGCTGAAGGTATATTACGTAGGATCAAATCCTGCCCCTCCCAAAATAACATATTATGAGCGGAATTTTCTCAATTATGATGTGACTGATGAATTCCTCTCATATAATGATAAATTTTATGTTTGAAGAATATATTACTAATTATTGTATATCTCTTCGAGAACTTTAGATTTAATCATATTGGATGTTGATGGATCAAAATTTAAAAGATTCATGAATTCAATGCTTGATATGCATTTTATGACTTAAAATATCTATTTTAATCCGAATAGTTCTTATATTGAACTGATTATATTTCTTAACTGAATTTTAGTATTTGATAAACATATGAAATTATAATATATAATTATGAAATCTACGTTTTATAAATAAAAAATTCCAGGTCAATTCTTTTTTATGTTCGTGTATGCTACATGTTCAATGGAAGTTTTTTACTCAGATTGTAATATTAAATTATATATTCAAAGAAGCATATGGAAAAAAATGAATGAAATGAATTTGTCATATGAATATCATATCATATTATTCGACAGGTAGACATATTAACTTGTTGTTTGAGACGCACATCTTAATCTGTAAAATATCCCAGGCTTAAACAAGAAAGAATCTGAATATAAAAACTAAGAGTAAAGATTGTGATTATACATACTTATTGGTAATTCCGAATAAACGTTCGTACCAGACCACAACATTGTGTTGTGACAGCCAAAATAGTATCTTCTTCTAGTAAGAATGATGTCATAATATTTTATTGGGGAGATTTGCAAAAAGAGAAATGCTAGCTCGAATTTCGAAGCAAAGGACAAGGTTTTGCCATAGGGCTCATGCCCAAAATGTAATATATTAGCATTGAAAGGCGAAAAAAATATTGTTGATAAAACATCACAGGATTATTTTAAACTTGAAGAAACGGATGCTGACGTCCAAGGTGCAGCACTTGTCGCCTTGAAGGGAATCTTCTGCTCATACGCCGTGCAAACTACTGCTGAATCAGTGCTATTGTGTTTTTTCAACATAACCCAATAGTTGATGCAGCGGACTGGGAGTTGGTCTGGTCAATAACCGCACGACTCCACTTCAGTCACAGTGTGCAGAACAGAAATGATGTCAGAGCTGAAGGGGCATCACTCAGGCTAAAGCACAGTGTCGAATAGGGACAACGAAGAAGCCAGCAAATACAACAGAAATGTCCACTATTGAGCATACATATATTTTCTGGAGCAGAGACGTTTCAACAGATCTGAGTTTCCAAAACATTCCTGAGTTTCCAAAACATTCCTGCCGGCGAAGCATGTGAGCTACTCGGAGACCATTTTAAGCAGCTATCCCTGAAGTGCCAACTAAAATTTTCACTTACTGGAATTCTTTCCCGATGTCCTCTTAAAAGGTCTAGGATCAAATTTATTCTTGCCTTCTGGTACGCTCAACCTCGTCCCGCGGTTACAAAGGTACCATGACGGGCACGAAATGGATTACGCAGGTGTTTTGAGGGCAAATTTGGGTGTGCAACGTGAACACGTTTGTGTTGTGAGACTTTTACTTTTTCTTGCCACGGACACCCACCGTTTGACGAGGTAGTAGCGGAGTGCCCTTGCCGCTGCGCCGCGAGTCGACCTCACTTTGTCGACAACTTCACCTTGATTACACTGAATTCATTTTTACCATTCCTAAACAATGTTTGGCAAGAGACAAGTGTGTCCTTACAGGTCTCGGCTGTTGTCTATCTGTCACCCTTATGAGACCTTCACGCCTTCTAGGGAGACAGTGATCTCGACTAGGGGTCAAGGTTGTGCACTTTGTTCTCTCTAGTAACACCTCTCGACCACTCTCTGGAAAGCCTGATAATAACGCCTTTTCTCTCTTGTGATTGATGAGAGAAGCTATCGAGCATGATTTGCACTGAGAGAAGAGAGCGAAGGATAATACAAGGAAGAGACGGGCAAAGAGTTCAAGGTTTCGCTCCACTCAAATGTGCAAATCTGCGACCTATGCAACATGCGTAATCCATTGAAAGTTCATCTAAGTGAAGAGCAAGGACAGGTGATCCAGATGGAAGCGCAAAGAGGGGAGAAGAAGACTGACGAGGACCAGTCTAATAGATGAAAATGAATCCCGTCGGATCCACTGATTCTGGTTCACGGCTTTGAGAGCTTCAAACGGAAGCCTTTCAATATGACTCCAGGAGCAACTAAGAAGATTAGACTGAGATTGGTTTGAGCAAAATTGCTCAACTTTACGAGGACAATATGAGTACTTGTATACTTATCCAGTACACCAGTCACAGAAGGGAGAGACTCCAGTCTAGAGCCTTGGATTACTGATATGGACAATCAGAGCCATGATAACTCACTTTCTCCAGAAGGGAAGAAAAGTAAAAAACAGAAGGATTGGAAACACTTTCATTCCTTCGGGCAGGATTGGCTGCCTTCTTAGACTCACAAGCTTCTTCAAGAACTCGATGCGTCTCATGAACATAACTGCAGCACCAGCTTATTAGTACATCCAACTCAACAGAACAAAAATGGTCTCAAAGTAAAGGCAATTCAAGTCGGATATGTAGATTTCTGCTTTGCAAACTTCTATCATGGTACAGCTACATTTGATGTAGGGTTAAACGTCAGTCCTCAGGTAGTTAAACCTTGAAAATTGATGGGCTGTAGGTACGCTGTTGGCTCTTGAATAGAGCCCATCTAATTAAAAAACGGAGCACTATCATCGAAATGCCTGCTTCCTCACGTATGGAACTCCTAAATAGCTCCACAGCAATTCTTCTTATACAAAAGGCAGCTCAAGCAATAAGATACAAATGAAGGAAGGGTTTCAGAACGAGCTGCCTAACTTGTTGGATTCAATTCAAGCGATTTACAATCGAAGGGAATGTTGTTGGCCTCACAGACTCGCAAAACTGCCTCGTAAGCATACGTCGGAGGCTTGAGATTCAACTCCTGCATGGTCCTGTAGGCTGCGGTGGCTGGTTCCCACCTGCCCTCATTTGCCATAGCCTCGATGAGTTTCGAGTAAGTGATAGCATCCGGTTGCATCTTTGCAGCTGTCATCTGCTGAATCACGTCCAGTGCTCTTTCACCATCGCCAGCCTTGGCACAAGCAGTGATGAGCGCGTTGTAAGTTATCAAGGAAGGTTGGATTCCGTTTGCTCGCATCTCCTCTACCAACTGCAAGGCCTCCGGATAGGAACCGCCTCTTCCGCAAGCGGAAATCATTGTTGTGTATGCCACAATATTAGGCTCCACTCCCATATCCTGCATGTGCTTCCAAACCATTTTTGCTCCAGTGAGATGGTTACTTTTCTCTAGAGCGCTAAGAAGTGCTCCATAGCTCAAAACCCCAGGTTTCTGACCCCGTTCTATCATCTTATGAAACACCGAGACAGCTGAATCTGTCTCTCCTGCCTTGGCACAGGCGATGAGGGCGGCATTCCAAGAAAATCTGTCGGGCTCTACGCCTCTCTGTATCATCTTTTCGAGCAGTTGCAGGGCCCACTTCCATATTCTCCTACTTTTGGCCGAGTTCAGCAGCACTTGGAAGTGGGACAGCATAAGTTTGCGAGTGTATGAATTCGGCTGCGGTCCAAGTTGCACCATGTGCTCAAATACCTCTAGAGCAGCCCACCACTTTTTACCCCAGCCCAAAGATTGAATCACATGGTTGCACAGACTAACGCTCATGGGCAGCTGTTGTTTTCTCATATCCATGTACAGCAATTTCACAAACTTGTGATCTTCTTCACCGTCTCCACATGCTCGTATCAGCTTCTCGAAGATATTCCTGCTCAGCTGGACTTGCTTACTCTTCATTTTTGTCCACAGTCGTATCACCTCCTCCCGATTGATCTGGTGGGCGAGCAAGTAAGTGATCCTCTCGTAGCACATTTGCCTTACCAGAGTCTCCAGTTGCTGTTTCTGCTCGGCATCTCTCTTCATTTCGACTGCCTGACTCCCTTTCTTGCCTCTGCCTTCTTCTAGCCTCCGGCATTGCTGCTTGAATTCTCCAAATACGTCTAGAGCAGTTTCCACATCCCCTTTTCTTTCGAGAATCTGGATTACGTTTCTAACAGTGAACAGAGAGGGTTGCAAACCCTGAGATTTTAAACTCCTAAAAATTTTCAAAGCGTAAGTATACGCCCCCTGTTGCTCATACATGCTAATCAGCGTATTTTGGGTCACAATATCAGGAGCGATCCCACTTTCCTGCATCTTCCCGTAAACCATCTCTGCAATCTCCCACCGTCCATTGGCTTTGAGTGCTCCTAGCAAACTGTTGTACGTATACACATTGGGCTGTTTATCTTCTGTAACTTGTAACCATTCGAAAACAGCCAAGGCTGCTATTGGATTCCCCTCAAAACCCAGTTTCTGAACTGTAGTTGTAAATACAGGAAGGGGGAGATCGAGACCAGCTACGAGAGCATCCACATCGTCAGGCACTTTGACCTGCCGAAAGGCCCACGTCAAGGCTCTTACTACTGGAGTCGATTCTCTGTCGGAAGGTCTTTTATTCCGGACTTCATAAGCTATTCTCTCCAGAAGATCTGCCTGAGTCTTTTTGCTGACAATTGCGCCATTCCGCGAGCCCGCCTGCTGATGTTGCATTTCCCTGTCATCTTGGAAGGAAGTGATGGTGCTCGGTCTGAGCTGTACTAAACCCTTGGTCACCGATGTGAATTTACCACCTGTGTGGGTGACGAGCAAACCCGCAGTACATAACTGTGTCGAAATTACAGACGTATGAGAAGTGTGAGCGAGTGATGAAGGAGTGCGAGAAGTGCCAAAAGCAAGAGACGAGTGCGCGAGAGGAGACAAGCACGTCATTGGTTGTCCACAGCTGAAAACGAAGCTCGGTCGGAACCCCAGATTTCCTATCAAATGCAGCTCCAAAGCTCTGAAACGCATTCAAATCTCTGAGGCAAGATCGCGTGGCTTCTGTCCGGTAAATGATATTCCCACCGCCGTGACTCGTCGTCGCAAGGTCCCGGAAGAAAATACTACCTCATCTGCTCGAGCGGTTCTGAACGATTTGATCATCCTTGATTGTGGAATTCTGTCACAATTTCGTCCGTTCTCATCACAAATTCCTTCATAGCGCGCCTACGATCTCCTGAAATTCAGAGGTATTCAGCGTACCATGGAAGCAGAAACAGAGCTGTAGCTAAAAAGGAGCAAGCACTACCTTCATCCACAAGTCAGACCTCCTCAAACCAATTATCTGGAAGATGTTCAAAATTGCGCAGGACTCCTGATCGTCTCCACCCGAAGAATGCTTTGTGCTGTTCCCGGCAGAGCTCAGCGAAGCAACCGCCAGACTGTTAATGGAGGTTTTACACTGACCACAGCTTCATCGCTCCGGTTCCACTGGAATGGCTTTCGTTGCAGCGCCCGGGCCCACCATCGCGTGCCTTCGATTTCCTGGTTCGGGATTCGGGGCTCGACTCCAATGGCGACGTCTCATTTGCTCCCTCATCTCTATCCCCAAGTCCTGACTTCCGACGTACCACGGTGGAAGACTGCAGTTCATATTGGAACTCTGCTGCTGTCCCTGCGTCCCCTGTGACTATGGTAGAGTATACTCGCGCTTTGCGTCAAGTCGGAAAATTCACATTCTCACATTTCGCCGCAACGCAAACGCAGCATGAGGAGGATGAAGGAAAGAGCCCTAAATTATGAATATTCACACATTAAATGCAAGACTATCACAATAATCACAAATCTAAATTCCTATTCCTTAGCCCTCTACTTGTTACTAAGAGTAGATCTTCCCACTCCTAACTTACAACTCAGTCATCATCTCATAATAAAAAAATTTTGTGGAATCATTTTTTTACAATATAAACTCAGAAGCTATTTCTGGCGTTCTATCTAATTCAGTAGATTATTTTGATACACATCAAGAAAGTATTCATATGATTTTGAATGCCACATAATTTTCATTGTGATCAAAAATTAAAGTAACTATACATTTGTCGCAAAAAATTATTTTAAGTTTGTGAAAAGTCCGCATTGAATTGATACATTTCTCACATATTAATATCTAGTATAGATCCATGTACTATCATGAAGATCACCACTCTTATAACATTACCATTCCATCTACCATTCCAGAACATTATGAACTTGTTTATTCCTTTACGATAAAGCAATCAAATTAATATAAGATACCTACATTTCTGAAAATGTATGATCAAGCTACTTTGGCTTTTTATCAGATTTTTTGAACAAGAATTCATAGAGAATTTGTATGTTTTGTGTTTCTTAATTGATAGATTCTATGATTTGTCGTACAAGAAAATAAGTGGGTGAAACATCAAAGGTGTGCTTTGGAGCGATGACTAAACCAATAAATGTTATAAGTGACTCGTGAGGATGGAGTCCATTGCAAGGAAATGTGTTCAGATTGGGCTCTAGTTTTTCCAATTCGATCTAACAGTAGGTACTTAGCCGTCGCAAAATTCGATATGAGGTCCAGCTGATTAAAACGTCGTTCTATGCAAAGCTAAACCCGGAATCTCAGTCTCAAACTGGAACACACCAACTCACTTAGCAAACTCTGAAGCATCACGCTTCAGCGAGAAGCGTGATACTCACGAGCAAAACCTCACGACACTGATGTAAATTCAAGCACCTGGTGTACCAGCAGCTACTGGGACTACACTGTAGCTTTTAACGGGAAACAAAAGGATTGATAAAAATTCGCAGCACCTTTTCATATACAGAGATATATACCACTCATGTACAAGATACACTCCGACCGAGATTGTAAGTTCTTTTAAAAGGAAGAAGCTTTATCCAGAATCTTCACCATCGCAGGCACTTTTCTTCTGAACGTGCTGTTGGTGCATGTCTTTTACACAGTAAACTGGACACTTATTTCCCAGGTAAACATATGGATAACTAAGCCTACCAAGATCGCTTCTGATGAAGCAATCTGAAAGATACCCACTCGAGCTTTATGGTTTGTGAAACCACAGTAGCACAAAAAACAGTCTTTCTACAAAAGATGCACAGAACTTCCACTCTTTACATGTGGTTACCTTGAATTGGTAACGAACAAACCACAACTTTCTCACAACCGCACAGCGACTCAAAAAAATGCAAACCCATTTCGAGTCTGAATGAGTCGGAAGTCATACAGTCGTCTTGGCGGCCTCTTCAGCCCGCGCAGCACTTCTAGCTTCCACTCGCCAGTAGATCTCATACACAGAACCTGTTAAAGGAAAGACCACAATTAAAGATTCGACATCAATGAACAACACGCTGTAATTGTTACAGTCAAATCGACTATATGACGGCACGATGTTCGCAGTAAAAGCTCACTTTTACAATTGAGCAAAAGATTAAATCGCTTCTTTCAACTTTTCATATCATGAACTGACAATTAGCACTCTTCTTTAGTTTCAAGCTTGGTTCAGCCAAGTCAACATCCGAGTAGAATAGATGATCCTATGTGGCCAGCCCTTGTCCTACAAAACGCATGTTCTCGTAATTTATCCAGCACCTTCTGTGATGGGAATTGGAGGTTCGCTAAACGGACCAAAATAACACCGGAACTGTAGTAATTCTTCTATTTTCTTCTGGCCTACAGACAAGATCATGCTTCCACTGAATTTTCTTTCTAAAAAATACACTAGAAACAAAATTAAAGTATCCCCCCAGCAGGCAAAAGCTCCTGCATTTTTTTAACAGTACTGAAACTAAACCGTGCGGGAGCAACTTCAAAACAGGGTCAAATCCATTACAGATAATAGCATGACTATTAGATCCCCGCGCAGTGCATTTCATAATCATGCGATACTCTCTGTTAGAAATCGATTCAACCACTGTCAAGCTAACTTAGCCCTAAGTCATTCATGATACTGACGGCAGTAAGAATCCAGCATACTACCGTGTTTGATTATAGTAATATAGCGTGTCGGAATTTGATCATTTCATTGACTGCTATGAGTCTGCTATATCAATATCTAGCTTCAGGGTAGACCTGTACTGTGGATCAATGATACCGTCAAATCGTTCTAAAAACTACTCGATCATTTGTTTTAGATACAAATATATGATGGATAGAACGTTGTAATAATCTCAGTTCATCATGACTCTGTGATCTAGGTTACGATTTCTGTGAGCCCAGTCCCAATTGCTTCCTATTTAAAGGCAACCTCCTATTCACGTTTCGCAGAGCCGATGTTGGAACAAAAATTAAACCGTAGATTTAGGGTTCATTGCGATCACGCAGTACCAGACGGAAAGATATTACGCGTTCAAACTGGTCTTCTGCTTAAATCAGTGTGAAAACATAGGTTATCAGATTTTGGCCAAAGATCTTTGAGATTCTCAAATCCTCTACTGGCACAGAAAACCATACCAGCTACGACGGCCATTACAAGCACGTCTCCGAACCTCTTGATCATCTGGATGGTACCCTTCGTAGATTGGAACTCCTTCAAGGCAGGATCCTCAGCTAACAGCTGCATATGCGAGAAAAGAAAAACAAGAATCTTATTTCAGTTTGTTATATCAGCCAATGATAAGGCTTCGTCTGCTCCAACAGAAAATATAGAGTTAAGCTACAATGAACATTATAATCTCTTAACAGAGCTCACAAGCACCACAAATCGAAGCATCGATTCAAAGTACTATGAGAGCCGCACGGAAGATGAACTGAATCTCCGTTCCTGTGTTTACTACATGAAAGTAAAGAAAACGGGCCGATGAGTGAATCGGATACACACAAGATGAGAGATCAAAGGTGCAGACACGAACCGCTTTTTCTCGAGCACCAGGCTCTCCTGCCATCCTGCGAACCTGCACGGATGGGAAGCGCGGGACAGCAACCACGCGCTTAGCGAAAGCTCTCAAACCCCCCTGCATTGTTGCCCAAGCACGATCGCTGCGAAATCGATCAGGGAAAAGACCAGAGTGCACTGACAGCAGCTACGCAATCGATGTTTCTGTGATCGAACAGACAGGAGTGTGATCGGCCCAGTAGTCACAAGGATCGCGTCTGCAGAAGCAGAATGCGACGAAGTGGGGATCTCACGAGAGAGAGAGAAACGCGAGACCGATGGCAGCGACTCTGTTTTAGAAGATCGATGGCTGGCTGGACAAGTGGAGCGCCCTGTGCGCGCCGAGCGTGTGCCCGCCACTTCCTACCATCTCTCGCGAGCCCCTCACGCTCCGGACCGAGCCGCGGACGAAAAAGATTCTGGAAAGAGACCGTGAAAGGCCCACCTCGAGGCCAGCACTACACTCTTGGCTACTAACGTGCCCGGCAGTAAATTCTCAGTTTACGAGCATACGGCAGGATTGAATGAGTGGTAAAAACAGCCTACTTGCACCTTGCTAATTACGATTAACATTAGAGATCTTATTAAGAAGTCACGCTTCACACTGAATTGATAGATCATATGTCACTTCATATATATGGTAACTTGAATTTACACGAGTACTATAGAAAAAAATGGAGTAACTTTTCAAGTGAGGCAAAGATAATATGTAACTAGATACCTCTAGCATATATGTTATGTAGGACCTAGAATAATGATTTATCTTCAATGTAGCCCTATTTGAAATGATTTTTTGCATGTATTATATTATGTAGTGCTGGTTTGTAACACATTGGCAAAACTAAACCGTATAAGAAATAGATGAAAATTATATATCTGTTGTCAAGTAGAATAAAATATAATGGTTTTTTCATAAAACGTCAAAATCTATAGTTGGATAGAACCAAAGTATAACTATACTAATTGTAATTTCATGAATTCTTTTTCAACTTTATCAAAGAAAAGTAGATAAACTTCAACGACAATACTCACTCTCATATTCTTGACCTTGAATTAGCAAGGACCCTTTGTAGTGCTTATTTCCCATACCACATGAAGCAAATACAGCAAAAATGTATTAATTTGTCTTTTTCCTTTTCTTCTTTACTCCATCAACCGAAAGTTGCTAGCTACTTGCAGCTAATCTCTACCAACAATTGTTAGAAAATAATGGGAGTATATCATGACTCTCAAATGAATGAAATGAAAGTGATATAAGCAATGTAAATCCCAATATCATCACTATGAAAACTATATGATAAGATTATCATGATATATACACTCTTGAGAATCAGACTCAATCCAAAGAATTTTATAATGAATTAAATTATTTATTGTTCTTTGCAAGGTCTTAAAATTACACAAACAAAAATTGATGCAAATGTGATATATAATTAACTCACAAATCAATCCACTAATGCTGTTCGAATTGCCATTCATAACTTCATGTTGTGACTAGAGATTGAAAATATGACACCCATTCATGCCTTGAGATGATCAGGCCAAAACAGACATTATAACTTCATGGAAGGTTGCTCACACATGATTAAGTAAGATAAATTGTGAAAATCAAGCCAAAACAGACATTATAACTTCATAGAAGGTTGCTCTCACATGATTAAGTAAGATACATGGTGATTATCAAGCCAAAACATACATTATAACTTCATAGAAGGTTGCTCGCACATTATTAAGTAAGATACATGGTGATTATTGAGCCAAAACATACATTATAACTTCATAGAAGGTTGCAGGTTCGATAAGGAAAATTTGATACACAATCTAGCCAAGATATTCATGCATGCATTGCTAAAGAAAATACTTTGTAAAAGTTCCAATAATAAGAGTAATAACCAACCCCACTAATAGAATGTAAACTCTGTGTATACCTTTTTAAACCCCTAATACTCTCAGTATGCTAAGTAAACACTTGTTGTAACTCTTTATTGTAACTCTCTCACTTGTAAGAGCAATCGGATTGATAAGAATGAAAGAGAGAAATATATCTTCCGTTTCATACATCTCATATGTATTTCTATCTAATATCACAAATCAGGATAATATCTAGAGGTGCAAGACTTGCTAAACATGTTGCAAACATTGTCTGCTATTTTGCATTTATGACAAATATTCTTCATTGATATTAATCTTAGAATATCACACAAGATCAAGAAAGATGTCAAATTGCCATTCGCACTTTCAAAGTTGTTGGGTATGATGATGTCATTAACGTTCTCATTATACTGCATTCACAATAAGTAAACTTTGATAGACTACAAATGAAAGAAGAATTAACACAATAGATAAATATTACTCATCGAACATTGAGTAAAACAAAATAACTTGCTCATCTCTTATATAGATAATACTTGCATACATCCTCGGCAAGCGACTCGTGTAAATATATTATAGAAGGATATTTATCATACTTTATTGCCGTACCAAGAATGTAAAATTCTTTTATCCGTGTCAAATAGTTGAGTTTTCTCTAATTTGGTATATATGATTCACGTTTTATATTATCTGCCGATGAAAGAAACACAGAACTTGACACCATTATACGATAGATATGATGGACAATGGCAAATAGAAGTCTTCCCACAGGTAGGAGTTGATATTAAAACAAGAAGTGTTAAGAATGATACTCACATATTAACAAACAAAAATATTGAATGTAAAAAATTCATCTAGAAGAAAAGAAACTCTACAAATATCCATAGTAATGGTTAGTTATACCTCATTTTACGCTAATTATCCCAACCTTTCATAAAAAATATCTTTGATTGATCGATACCATGCGAAGACACTTGACGCTAATTATCTCAACCTCTCCGAAGAAAGATCTTTGATTGATCCATACCATGCCAGACCGGCGATATAGTCTTCGCGGGCATAGGGAGACATGGAGAAGAAATGCTAAAAATAGGAATATTAGATGAAGGATAACTAGCCGCTCCCATATCCACCATGTTCTATATGATTCTATGAAACTATCCAAAACGTTATAACGTTATGCAAACCGAGCCAATTCTAATAGATGTTTGAAGCCTATGTTGGGATTTGAATGACAAAAAGCACACTCTCAGTACGTGCAATTTTTACACCTACTGTCAACAAGGTGAGAAACCATTTCACAACTTCCACGCTAGTGATTTAAAACTATCATCTTTCAATGAAGAAGAAATCAGCTGACACAAATTTACGGCTTGCTTCAGATGTAGACATAGTCATTGGCTTTCATCCACGACAGCATAGATCATTCAATTATAATGTTATGAAATTTCAACGGAGACTCGGGAAATGTCATGCTCAAGCGAATTTTACTCAAAAGCAAAATTTTTATCACGGCTTTGAGTAATAAAAATTTCTTTCTTGGGAACAATCGTAGTACTCGTAACATCTTATCTCCGCACACCTGCTTTACTGTAAAACCCATAGGACAGTCAATCCTTCCACGGCTCTACACAGACCCATAGTAACTTCCTAACTAGTGTCCAACTAATAAGACTATCTATCTATATGGTCGTTCTTTATCATGAACGCAACCTTCCTACTTAGTGCATGTGCTCAGAAAATCTCATAATCAGCAGAATAATTTTAGGGCTTATATTCGAGGCTACCACTACGTATATCTCTCGGGATTCCTTATGAAGCATATCTCCCATACAAATATGTGCAAGGTAATGATTAGCGCTTTCAAACTCTCATGGCCAATCCTTCCCTAAAAAATCATTGCGTGGCTGCAACCTGGTCTCTTTGAGAAATTGTGAGGTTAAAAGAATGTCTCAGAAGGCTTTTGCTCCTCTCGAACAATCTTATGTTTCAAGGTGAATATTACATCTGTTATACCGCCAAGACAATCCATACCTTAAGGATTCTATGCGACTCATATTCCTTCAATCTGATTGATTCCCGGCCACCCCAAAAAACCAGCTCCCTTCGCTATCATCTCTCATCAGACTCCGACAGATAATTGAGCTTTTGATAGAAGTTTTGACTGGATGGACTCGCCCGTCACTTTCACGTGTCGCTCTTGAAAAATCAAGAGCACTTGCCGTGCATACCCACACGGCAAGTGTTCTTGCCGTGTGGGCACGCCCTGATGTGCATGTTAAGAGATCCAAATTTACTTCTTAACTCAATGAAGAAGTTTTGTCGCTGCTTAGCCTGTCGCCGGGTTTCCTTTCAACTAAATTGCAAGTTAGTTGTTAGTCACCCATGGCGCTTTTTCACACATTTGTTAACTGTACACCTCTTTGCTGACAAAGTTGTCGTGTCGAGAGCAGATATGGATCATTTCTTGTAATCGATGTTGTTGCCTTCTTAAGTAAGGTCATGCACATCTCTCCCACTCTGTTCGCCTGCAACCACATTTCACATACGACATGAAGAAATGCACCTGAAATGAGGATTTAAGTCTGAGCTCTATAAGCAAACCTATAGAGTCAAGGTAGTGTCTGAAGTACTTACATCGAAGACCTGTAGAAGAGCAGTACAAGCATCGAGTGCTTGGAGACCTTGCTGAGCCTGCATGTAAACAACAGTAAAGTTAGAAAACACAAGCTTCTCTAGCCCTTTATAGCACGTGTCAACGAGATGATCCATAGGCGATTGAGTAGGAAGCTTTAGTTGCTTGCAAGTTCCAAACTAACCAACCTTGATTTATCTAACAACAGGTTCATGGATGGAGAATTTTGCGCATAAAATCCCCTACAGTTGTAAGCACTTACAGAGTCAGCACCGTCGTTGGCAGCCGCAGTAATATTCTCCACGAGAATTTCAGTAAGAGATTCGAGCTCTTCGTGATACGAGTCATCTCCGAAAAACATGCCGTCATTGCTATCGACCTTGAAGAACCAGAAAAATTAGAAAAGATTTAAATGCAAGGAATTTGCAATACAGTAACGTGTCTTCTTCAGAATGAAACAGGAATGATGCATGTAAGCACATGGCCATACCTGGCTGTTTTGTATATGATAAGGTAGCCGTTCCTGAGCCAGCGCAGCTAGCATGGCCAGCACACCGCTCAAGACTTGTATTCTCCTCCGGCCTGGCGTCAACCTGAGAATATAAAAAAACCCGGACGTATGCAGATGACATCAATTGCGCGGTTTCAGATCCCAGCATCCGTTTCCTCCTTCGTCCTCTCTCTTTCCTCCCTATTCCCTTTTACTATGTAGCTTCATTGGAGAGGAATGTGAATAAAATTTGGAACATATATGTGAAATAGGAACAAGCAGATAAGGAGCTGATAATTGAATAGAACCTGCACGGTATAGAGGTATGGAGGAAACAAATACCACGGCTGCATTTCTAAAACATTCAAGAGGCCTTTCACAATGTAAAATCCTCCATGTTCCGGATGCCCTGTTGAAAAAATGACAAAGTTACAACTGAGAGTTCGAGACAGCTCAATATGAATTGCAAGAAAGAAGCACCAACCGCCTCAATCAATGAGCCTAGGAGCGCTTAATACGATGGGCATTGAATTTTACAAATATATAAACTGCCAGGGCTCCTTCCCACTCAGAGGGCGAGTGTGGAACCACTTTTACGATCACCAAAATTATCATGTAAGCAAAAAAGTAAGAAAGCTGAGCTCTGGATAGCTGCATACAAAGTGTGTGAAGAATAACAAGCAGGATATATACACATCAGCTTTTCAGGAATTTAATGTCTGACCTGGCATTACAACAAGAAATGCGGAAAGTTTTACTAGGAACATAGAAATTCCTTCCAAGTCTCCGGCCTTGACATCTGCTCAGGTAAAAAGTTTCCCCCATTGACTAAAAATTGTCAGCAACTTGCAACCGTATCAATATAGGTAAGCCTCTTCTTTCTGAACCCTCGCTCTAACGCAATGTAAATTCCTTGGACCCGCTAAAACGGGCGTGAGTACTAGCATCCTTGCATGTTTATTCCATACTCATAAGAGCTTTAACAAAAAATTGTCTCAGAACATACTTTGCATCTTTCCTAGTCAAAAATGGGAGCAAAACAGCTGACCCACCATCTTTGCTGGTGACGTCCTGGAGGCTAGAAAGAGTACTTTTCACCGCGCTCTCTGCGTGCGATGGCAGCGCATTCATCAAAGCCACCTGCAAAAGGAGTCATAACTTCGAAGTATGAACAATGATACAAAAGCACAACAGATTAAGATTACGGAACATTGGTTATATGAAGCAACACTTTCCTATTTTTAGTCCTACATTACTCGGTGTCGTCTAAAATCTACGAATATTGAGCTCTTACCTCTGCAGTTTCTAAAAAGAGATTGATTCGTGTAACTAAACTGTTGATTGAAGGGATAGTTATCTCATTGAATGTGACGCAAGCCTTGACAAAATCTCTCGTTCGCTTGTTGTGAGAACCCTTGACCATCTTTAAAGTCGTCATGGCAAGTCGGTTGCTGGCATGAATAACTGTCACCTGTTGCAAAATTTGGAACCTAAATTAGGTGTCCCCTCAACTTCGCTCCCATCATCTAGAAGAAAAAACCACAGAACTCTCCTTTGCGTGTTTCTACAAGTTCACTGAAGGATGTGACAACTGCTGCCGTCCAAAGCCTGCCTGAGTTCAGAGCATTATCGAAAGTGTCTCTTTAACGAAATCGTCTAACACAGCTAAATGATCATTTTCATGAATACACAAGATACGCATCCGAAATACATTCTGAACATCGACCATCTTGTTCGTGAGAAGAAAGGAGGGTCGAGGAGCAGAATACAATATGTACAACTTCTAGACCAAAAACGGTAACCTACTCGTAAAGGGTCCATGTCTGCAAAAGTTCCTCGGCAATCTACCAAGAAAGCAAGGTGCTGCTCCAAATCGCGATCAAAGTCGACCTGCCACAAATACGACGTGAGCGGGGACATCAATAAGCCTTACAATGCGGGTAGGTAGGGTGTGTGACTGTTACACTGTAAGACTCTCTTCTGCATAGCATGTTCATTACATTATGTGAACTAACCCTTGCAAGCAAAGCACAACTCACATCTTGAACAAAACTTACATCAATGAACCTACAATGTATCCAAACGATCAAAAGTCCTACCAGCTGCACATAGCGCACGATTAGCCGGGTAATTTGGCGTCGATCATCATCACTGCTCAAGCTATCTAGTGAATCGTGCAGTACTCTTGCAGCTTCAAATACTGCATGCCTTGTAACCGGATCACGAACTTGCTTATTGCTCCTGATAAATGACACGTGCTTCAGTTGTCAAGCGACATGTAAGACAAAACACATACAGTAAAGCACCTCAAGCAATCACCTGGCTTTATACCAATATTCGTATCTCTCCACTCTGCAGAGTGGAGAAATACGAAAACGAGAAATGTACTGGTCAAATTGCTACATTCTTATTGCAAAAACCTCGAATGCTTTAACAGGAAGATACCTCAAATTTGGTCATATATGACTTCGACATCTCTTATGTGTACGATATCCAATTAAAGCAGGTTTGGATAAAGTTGGAGATTTACCTTGAAATAGATGACAATATCCTTTTGTAAACTGAAATTCGCGTATCTCCATAAAAAACATCCAGAATATCAACGAAGTGGTCCTGTGACGAAGACAAAGACAGTCCATTCCCTGTTAAGAGTTGACTCGCAAAAGTTATAGATCTATTGTCCCGGAAAAACCCCTGACTCCGTACCTCTTGTCACTATCATGATGCAGCAGTCATGTCCTCGTAGACCAAGAGTCCACGAAACGTAGGCATGAAACCCAAAATATACAATACAAATGAGCTGATCAACACCATGAGCAAGAATTTCTTACAAGTTGTAACACGTGACTAAGGTCGGTATAATGTGTAACGAGCTTGAAGACTATTGACTCCAACGACGCAAGAACTCCATCGTTGACTTCGCCTTTCTTCACATGCCTCATAATGTCCCGTAAAATTATTAAAATTTCTGCTTCCTGTGATTGCAAGCACGATGGTGAGATTTTAAAGCGTTGCCCCTCAATTCTTTGTAATCTGTCCTTGAATCATAACCCAAACTTTTGCAGAAGCCTGCGTTTGACAAGCGTTCCTGTTTACATTTTAGTTTACTTACCGTACAATTCTGTAATATATACTCAACAAACACATCCGCGACTGATATATATTCGCCCAGATTCGTATACTTCATTACTACCTGCACCAACAAACTGAACTCATCAGGACCCACCTGCCATAGTCTGAACAACAGCCCCCAACTCCTGCCTGGTGGTGCTCCTATAACAACAAAGTGAGCCGATGAGATTTCGACGGCTTCGCTAAGAAAGTAAGTGGATTATGCGTATCGTGATTGCGGTTGTGTTAAGGTGATGCAGCTATCGAAGCACTTTACAATAGGACAATAGACAGTTCAAATAACACGAGATCAACCGTAAGGGCTTAATATCTTGGAGGTAAAATCATACGGGCTCTATCTAAGGCATGACCCGATGCACTAGAGCTGTCAAGTTTTAAAACTCGATCGAAGCATGGCATACATCCTGCTGAGGATATCGAGAAATTCACTGGACAAGAGTATCAAGAACAGAAACCTGCATGCGACTTGCGGAAATGGAAAGCAGCCAGACAGTCACAATCCATGGGATGAATCACACATATAAGAGACAGAAATGGAACATGGTAGACAACAACGAGCGCGGCCGCACTGTCTAAACAAAGTGTAGTTAAGTTCCTCAAATTGGATGCGAGAAACGGAACCAGAGAACATCAACATAATCTACCCGACGTGCATCAAAAAATCGTCACATTGTCCCAGCTGCTTCCTTAATGGCTGCCAGGGTCAAGAGGATCTGCACTGGACCGCGCGGTGGTTTCGGATAACTCAAATTCTACAGACCATGCAGAATTCCCATAACTGGTGCCCAGACCTACTATAGAGATTGTATAGCACAGGTGAACCTTTGAATGGTACTAAAAAATTGAAAGCCCTGGAGAGAACGTAGGATGAAGGCAAGTAGTCCATAGAGAAGAGGAAGTCCCTAAACAGACGGAAAAAGAAGACAACCGAGACCTAGTTAACATTTTACAATTGATCAATACGGGCCTTGGGTCTGTGACTGAATTTGAAAGGTGTGGCAGTACATTGAAGGCCTATTAAGTCACATTTAGCTGCATACATACATTCATTTTATGAGTTTGTTCCGGTTATCTTACCCTCCAAACGTCATTCAAGACGGTCAATCGAAACTCACGAGGCGGACTACACTCGCAAAGCTTTAAACCCAGCAAGCGGTAGTTCATGTACTGGGTAGACACAAGACAACGTATTAGTAACAAAGTTCATTTGACCTGAGAGCCATTGAGCTTTACTGATTACATGTTGTCTAGATATACGTAGATAAAGGCCTCGTGAACTGGAAGGAAAACCATCGACAGCAACAGCAATATCACAGAAATTCGTTCTTTAGGCCGAGACGGAATGTGGCGTCCGGAATCTTCATAAGACTTGAGTTAAATTATCATGGTACTATCTTATATCGAACAGTTGTTGGAATACGTGTTTATGAAGAATAGGTCTCACCTGAGGCATGGATAAATCAATTGAAGACTTGACAATCTTTGAAATGTCCAAAGCATGATTACCCACATATGTTGCAGGTAAATTCTTCAGCAGATGATGTACGACCACAGAGACAGGAGCTATAAATCCTGGAGATGGTGCATCAACACTTATATCATCTTCCTGAACTTCTCCAAAAACCTCCAGGAAATACGCCATCTCCTTCTGCACAGAAGAAGCTTGAACTGTCAATTGCATACATCTCCCTAGCTCAATTGATTCCGAACTTAATAAAATTTAAATCTATCACAACGTGTTGATGAACTTGAATCAGGACTTCGTATAATACCAACCAAAAACAAACAAAAACAAAAAAACAAAAGAAAAATCTTTCAGTTCCAAGCAGCATTGTCCTGTAGTTTATTTTGAACCTGTACATTCAACTATAGTCGACATTTATATCCCATGATAAACCCTAGTTCCTTCCAGAGCACGACAACATAAAGTAAAGAAAATCACGTGCTGACCTCATTTGCTTGCTTAAATAAACATTGCATGATCCATTCGAAAACTGGTTCAATCAAAATGATTGAGAGTCTGCGGTCTGCTCCCGCTTTGGTAAGCCTTGAGTCAAAGTCTCCGGCCAGCAGTCTTTGAAACAGAATCAAGTAATCCTTGAGTCCACTTATTAGGTAAACTGCAGACGTGATCGTTTCGATACTAATCAGCAGGTTATTGCTTTTCAGCGAAGTCAACTCCATCAATGGTCACATAATCAATAATTTTCATCATCGAGGATAAAATCATCATGCGTGACCCTAGATGACTGGGGCTAATGATTCCTTTCAGCTCGCATTGTCTGACAAATCAAAAAGCCTCTAGCAGTAAGTCAGAAAGTCTAAACTAGGGATAACTAGTAGATCGTTCAGAATTTAAGCTTAAAAGTCTGATCTGATCAATGCCATCAGCGTCTTAACCCCATGCGTAACATGATTTTCTTGGTCACAGCCCAACTTCATTCCTCTCGTCAGGACACCACCAGCGAAGCTAGCCTACAATTAGCTTTTTGATTCTGGAAACAACCTCGCGGGTTCTGGGGCATCGAAGAAGGTAGTGGCAGCTCCAAAGAATTGATAAGGGCGGCAAAATTATGCAGCGCCCCAGACGAACCTAGACCAGCAGAAAAACATACTGGCGAAGTGAGACCAGATTGAATCCAGAAATATTGATTCCCTAGGATCAAACAGTAACATATTGAAAGATAAATTTAGTGAATCTGTAAAGTACTTGATTTCTTCTGGCAACTTACAAATAAGGATATAAGATATTATGCTTTCAAAATCTCTTAATGTACACCTTAAAAGCAGAAAGGCAAGTACACGCACTTGATTCTAAAGGCATAGTAGCTCGAGATCTGCGCGCCAAATAGAGATGAGCGTAGGCAGATGCTAATGGATCGGAAAGGCCCCTCATCATCTGTGTCACCCGCTGGAACGTTGATATCGGAGGGTCTTTTTCCAGAAACAACATACAACGCACGATTGCTAGTTCCAAGTAGCTGCCGAAACAAGAACAATTTGGATGAAATAATCAGTTTACAAACCGAAAGCTTCCCAAGAGTTTCAAGAGGTTGCAACCAAAACTTTCGTACTTAAGATGGTGCAAAACATATGTCAACTGCATCTGACAAATATACATGTTAACTTTTATGATGAAATGATAGCAAAGTCCAATTCTGAAAAGTTATATAGAGCCTACTGTGACCTTCATGTACAGAGCATGCCATAAAAGAATACAGACGTCTGCATACAGAGTGTGAAGTGCTTTGCAGGTTGTGACTCTACATAAGTGCAGGAGTAGTCAGATTCTCAGACCGAAGAGGAAGAGTAATTCACCCACATGCGAGGAAGTAACTCTCTAATTGATCCGATCTTGTAAAACCAGTTGAAGCATGTATCTTTCGCTTCCTGCCTAACATCTTCCGCAGTGAAATTGACTGCAAAACAGGAAAAATAAAAAGCTTAGAGGGTGGTCTCTTTTCCTTTACAGTCCTTCAGGTAACAGTCCACGAAAGGGAACTAAAATCCGCCTCGGAATCTACGAAGTCGGTGTGCATAACAGTATGATGGGCAAGTACCTGGAAGAGGAGATATCAATTTCCCATCTTCATCACACTCTGCTTTTTTCTTGATACGGTTCCATACTAGATTTCCAACAGTGTCCATCACATCAGTTACCAACACAAAAAGTGTCGGATAAAACTGAGGTACTGATGTATCTGACAACAGCCTGGCCACCTGCCACAAATTAGTGACGGTAAATTGCAGACCCGTAATGAACCATAATATATAGGATATATACACTGTGATGAACAGAACTCAAAGAAAAGTAGAACACTAGGAGGACTTTGACTTCAACGCCAACTCTGGATTTCCTTCCAAATCCAGAAAGTCCTAACAAAAAATAACAGATAAAAAAAAGTGTTGACAATGTGACTTGAAGCCTGTGATGACAAGATGAAATATCGGACAGCACAGTCTACAAATATATAGCGACTTGAATCGTGTCTGCTTACCTTGATAGAAAGACGAAGGGCTGCAACACGTTCACTATTGATCCATGCTTGTGAGATCTCCTCGTTTAATTCTTTGAGACGCGTCACATACTCTTGTTGGGATATTATTTTGGTTTCCTCTCGAGCTTCTTTCTCTGGATTTTCTAGCTCTTCTAGATGAGCGGCACTAACAGACCTCCCACGAACTTCAAAAGTCAAAGACAAAACGCAGAGTCATAAGGCAGTAACATCATTATTACAATGTAACCGCAACAATTTTTCATATGTATTCGAGTTACCCCGTCGATTGATTAACAAAAGCACTAAGGATAAAACCTGTGAATCGCCATCTGTACGAAAACATTTGCTCAACACTCAATGTCATTCCTACCCAGCGTCAATATGCACACATCTCCATAATTCTGAATTTCATCTCCTAGCTGAAAGTATTCTGATTATGAAATGCAAAGAACTATCGTCCACAGGACTGATGGAATGTAATTACCTTTAGGCTCTTTCGACAATATATCGAAGGTCTGCAATTCACAATAAAGAGTTAAGCCAGCGAAGGTAACTCCAGGTATACACATGCAACTCTAAAAGCAGACTCCTCATATGATGTTGGTTCAGAAAATATAAAGCTGAGAATTCTACCCACATTAGGTACTGTAAAACAAACATTCATCAAACAAAGATGTGTCTGAATCTATTGCTACTTCACTCTGCAGCCTCATTGTCGGCTGCTTAGGAGGGAAAGGTCGAACGCGAGGATAAGGACATGTGTAGACTCTTACTGCTGACACCGTTATTGTGCCTGTGGATGTGAATCTCTGCATAATAGATAACTTGTAAGCATCCCATTCGGCCGCGGCAGCTTCTGCGCGCTCGTCTGAGGCACCCTTGGTGATCCGTCGTGATAACCTTGGAATGTATTTCACGGTGTCCTCCGTCGGCAAGGAATCTTGCGAAGACAATACTCCAAGAGGATCCTCGAACGTCACTTCTAGGGGATCCTCAGAAGCTTTTTCATTTTTTTCTTCATCCTAAAAGCCATCAAACACCAAATACGTCAACATTGGAATCCTTCAACTGCCAGCAGAATGTAGTATGCAACTTATTGCCGTAAGAAATTCGAGTTCTTGACTCTACAAAACTTCGATGACGATCGGAGGTAAATCAGAAGAGGAAGCGGACTTCCGAACGTCTCAAAACCCTGTTTAATACTGATAATACATGGATACGAGTCCATCAAATGTTAAGTAAGATTATATGCGCAAACAATGTCACAACACTAAAGTTGCTGATGCCCAAGTGTCTGTTAGTTGCGCTAAGACTGTTTGTAGAAAAAATGGAGAAGTAAAAAATTTTAAAAAAATGTTCGAGATACGAGGAAGGAGAGACACCTTTATCGAGCATAGTTACAGTAGAACCAAGAATTTATATGTTCGACCAATAAGTATATAGAAAAAACAGCTGACATGATAGAGGTTCCGATCGCTGCCAAGAGACATTCATTCTACTGTTTGCAGACACCAGTCAGGAAACTTACAAAGACAGCAGAACTGGGTGACAACCTTTGGAACCATTGCATGAGGACTTAATAAGAGCAACGTTGTAGAATCTATAAGAGCATAAAGTACCGAGAATCCATGGTGGACGAAGGTCGCTATTTATATATACTGCGGTCACCAAGGAAAACTTACAATCCAGCTGAAAGACACCTGATACTCCAAAGGAGAAAGAAGTAAGGGACGAATTAGCAGCATGGCCGATGAGAGTATGCTAATTTCCTTACAAATCGGAAAAGAAGTTGTTAATTTTAGTTCCAGAATGCTTCAGCCTTCGACCTCGCTTTACTTCAACGTAGGCAGAGCAGTCCAACAGTACCAATCAGGAAAAACCAAGATTCATGGAGAACAAACCATGAGAATTGAGTTCTCATGAAGTACGTTGACACAAAAATAGCAGGACAGTACATGAAGAGATAGAAGATTGTTCACTGCGTTTATCAGTCTAGAACATGCTGAGAATCAGGACTTCTGACTGAAACTATGCAGACTTGGATCCCAACATCGACGTGGCTTCAAAGCAGTTCTTCTCATGTATAGACGCGATATTTGCAATACATAAAAATAGTACTACCCAGTAATGATGAGAGATACCGCACTGCATGCATTGCACATAAAGCGAGTGAAGCAGGGAACTACTGAACAATTCTAAGAGATAATTGTTCTCCACCAGAGAGATGGCATTGCTCGGCTATTTCGGGGCGTTAAGACGAGAAAGGATAACCTTTCTGTGGGTCTGTCTTTTGCCCTCAATCTAATCACTCCAAATGTGATGCGTCACATGCACTTGAAGCTTCATCGTTGATGAATCTCTTGCGAGGTAAGCACAAACAAAAACATACTTTTTTTATTCAACTCGTCCTCATGCTCTGGAGTTCATTCATCTACTCGGCATCACTTGAGCTACTAAATACTCAGGAAAATCAGTAAGATATCAGGGCCTGCTTTGTAAGAATATTTTTTTTGTTAACCACTGAAGACGAAAATTGATTGATTGACCAATTGAGAAGCTCAAGCACACAAATTGAACTTATGATGTAAAACATCAATGGAAACAGTATATTCAGAAGATAAATGTAACGGGCAGAAAGCATTCAACACCTCTCCTTCGTTCATTTTCATTTTTATTTTTTTATTTTTCGTTCATCTTCTTCCCCATTTATCATCCACAGTCAGCGTTTCACCGAAAATTCATCAGCTGAACTGAGCAACATGGTAATTGTGATCTACCTCAATTTCAAGAATTTCGAAAATTACATGATCACGTGACCGTGACTTCCAACTTCACTTCGTCGACAATTTTTGATGTGTTATCTTCAAGTTGAGATTAATCATATTATTCATCTGGATAAATCTGAACTGCAATTAGCAATTGTACTACTTTCACAGAGAATCAGGTGTTGTTCTTGAGAATGTAACCACTAACCTCAAAAGAGCCAAAGGTCCTGCTCTTTGTGAGCTGATGGACGCCAGCAAACCCTTTATCTGCATTGATTCTGCCACTGAGAGGAGAAACCTTCTCGACATTGGTCACTGAACTCTTCAATGGATTTTGCGTGGTAGGCTTTCCACGGAGAGCTAAAGAAGCTGCCTCTTGCTCATACTGCCTCACGCGAATCTGCATCTTTCTTCTTTATCTGCTCCTTCTCAAATGCTGCTCGTGCTAATATTCAAGTGCTCTAAATTTCTACATCCGCATGAGACCGATTAAAAAACGCAATCCGAAACTTTGATTTTCGCGGGCGATCGTGTCAAAGCTCGCGCAGCATGCATGATTCCCCTTGTCGATTATTTTGCCAATCCAAATTTAAGATTCAATTCTTACATCAACAGGCTGCGCGCTCGCTCGATTTGATCGAGCTCGCATTCTCCCCTAGCGCAGTGACACAACTACGCAAGACTGTGTGTGGAAGATACGGGTAGTCCAACACGGTAGCACTTACGAAGGTACCATAGTTGCGGTCAGCTTGTAAACTGGTTCCACAGTTTGTCAATATAGACGGTCATTCTATCAAACTATTATCAATACTTATTTTGGGACCAATTGCATAAACAACTGTATGGGAGAACAAGATGAAGACTAAAAAGTATGAAATAAGGTGACATCACAGTTTTTAACAATCCGTACATTAATAGAAATTATTCGTTTGCATAGCACTGCCCACTGCTAAATGCAGAGGAAATTCAACATATATCTTGCAACGCGTTATAAAATTGGACAAAAGAATAATGTCCGCTATGATGGTTTCTCATAGTCTTTTCTGAACATGTGAAAACCTGTGTCTATTTCTAAATTTCTAAAAATTATTTTAAATTTCTTACAATTTAAATACATTTACACATACAACAACTTTTATGGAATAAAATTATTATTTTTTAAATTCAAAAGACTTAATCACAAGAAATTTTATTTTTCATCCCATTTCATATTAAATTCTAATCTACATTGCCAAAATTTCATATTAAATTGCGAAAATGATGTTATATTCAACACATCAAATCAAGGGTTAATTTCATAAAAATAAAAATAAATTATTGAATTAATAATTTTTATTGCATAGATTTAAATTAGATACAAATATAGTTATAAATATTTATTTAAAATAAATATATAATAATTAATGATGTATAAATTTAAATTAGATTCAGATATTCGAAAGTTACTCAATTAAAAACCATCAAGTTTGTATTAAGTTTATATTAATTTTATAAAGTCATTTGTAAATCATAAGACCATCAAAATTAATCAGTTATAGGAAAGCTCTAGGCAGTGTTATCAAAATTCAGTATATGAGTATTAGCATCCAACTTTGTGTGTTGAAAGAAAAACCGTCAATATTTGTTCTATGAAAAAATATTTTTTATCCAAATTTTTTAATTGATAAACTTTATTATATTGAACAACACATCATTATGTTTGGAAAAAATTTGAAATTTTATGAGAGAAATTTTGTTTAACAGAAAATTTTCATTTATGTAAATATTTCACTTTAATTTGAATTAATCAAAATAATCATCTCAAATGTGATTGATGTTTTTCAATTCTTTATTCTGTTCTTATTTTATCAACGCATTTTCAATGGATAAAAATTTCAAAAATTATGGACGGAAAACTTTCATTTTTTACATATCAGTATATTAATTTACAAATTTACAAAAGGATTCATGTTGAAAACTAACATGAATCATTTTTTTCTTTTAGCAATTCCTATACCAAAGGTTTTGTTATAGCTCTATGTATACAATTATTGCTCAATTATTTCATTAGATTCAAATTAATCAATTTTCTTTACATCACTTACATTGAACATTTGGGAATAACGTGTACAGCTTTTTTATATAAATTAATCACTCTACAGCGTTGAATTTTTTATACCCATGATAAAATGTAAACCTCATTCCACAATAAAAATTAAATAATATTCTATGATTTTTCATATGATCTTTTTTGTTCATCTTAATGCATTTCTGTATTTTGAAATTTTCAAATCTTTATTTTTTCTTAGAAAACTGCTATTTTTTGTAATCAAAAAATACTATGAACTCAATTTTATTTTTTTTATTCATATCAAAAGCTTGTGTTATGTGACATTAATCCCATATCTTCAGCAATTGATATTGTGACGAATATCAACCAATTGTATAACCAATATTTTGTAAACATATTTGCATAAATTTGCAAATAAAAAAATCATAATTTTTTCATTTTTGAATTTTGCCATTTTCATAACTCATATAAATATATCAGCAATAAATTATTATTTTCAAAATCAAAAGATGAAGTGAAAAAACATAAATATATTACGAGTAGATGCATAAAAAAATATTTAACCAATATTTTTTCAATATTGATTATATTTTAGATCAAAATATTATTTGTAGACAATTTATGTATAATAAGAAGTATTTATATCTATTTCAATTGATAAACAGTAGTAGTTTTAATAATATCAAACATTGTTCATTCTATATTATTTAACATCAGATTTTATTTTTATAGAAATAAATCATCTTCATGAGTAAATTTAAGTCTTATCGAACACTAAACAACATTGACTAGTTTTTCTAGTTAGTTATTAGAGTATATTTTTAATTATATATAGTTAATTCATATATTGTTCAACTGTATATGCTTGTACTTGTAGAAACTTAACCTAGTCTAACTGTTAATACAAGTGACTGTCAAACAATTCAGCACAACGAGTCCACGCAAAGTACACAAAGATGTAACGTGCTTCACCACATAGGGCTACGTCTTTGACCGAGGGAATACAACTCGTATGTATTGATAAGAAGAAGTAATAGTTATACAGTGAATCTATGGAGTTAAATACCCCAAATTAGGAGATGGCTAGCTAAACTTAGCTAGCAAGAATTCACCCCAAACACACGAATTAACCTCAAGAGTATCATACTTAATTAATCCATTAGATGAATACCATACAAAATGAATTGTGATTTTCATTTATGCAATTTATGTTTTTTTAAATGATATTCTATTTCATGAGTATAATCCAAATAGTTGAACAAAGTATATCATTGCAGTTTGTTTGTTTCTATTGTATGTGTGTGCATTGTGTGGATAAAATTATGTCCTTTGTGCAATTATGTGAATGTTTGCATCAAACATCTTTAACCATTTCATGAATTTAGAAAGTATAAAAGAAAATTAGTTGTAATATACCATTGAAATTTAAAATCTGTGTGTCTACAACAATTATATGTGGATGAGATTATATTAGAACAAGTATTTCAATCTATTTATGAAGATATATATATATATATATATATATATATATATAAGTTTAAAAAAATAGATGAAAACTAATTTGAAAATTTTCAGAATTAACTTGAGTTGAAAATGAAATATGTAATATTATCTTGCATATATTTTAATGCATATTTATTACAACATCAATCTTTCCAAAATAAAAAGTCAAAATATTATTCTTTCAATATATTTTGTATGATTATTGGTACAAAAATATAATTTTTTGTTTCAAATTAAATTTTTTATTTTTTTACAAAATTTTTTATTATCAAATTTATAAACAAACGTTAATCTTCACAATTTGCAATTAGAAGATAAAAGTTATACACTTTTTTACATGAAAAGAAAGAGTGTTTTCAAACTTTGACTTTTAGATTCAATCTTGTTAATATATTTCAATGTAAAGTAATATATGGAATAATTTTCTTCACCTATGAATTTTACATTGTGCATGATTTTATTGAAAAAAATATGTTCTCTGATGTGTCTGAGATTTGTTTAAACAAATAATTCCTTGTGTAGTTTGATGTGAAGTTGACATTATGATATTTAATTATGCAATGATTATAATGCTAAATTAAAATAAAGTTTAGCACTTAAAACTTATTATTAAAGTTTTTGCAATAAATATATTATTTGTCATACTACACCTGACATTATTTAAAAAATTGTACTGCATTATTTAACAAGAACAACAAGTGTAGCGGCAATTGTTGAATATCTAAAATGATGAATAAATTGATGAATTTTATCTTTCTATTTTCATCATTTTGATTATATAAGGAGCTTAATATATCAACTTTGATGCATATTGACACAATGGATCATATGAATTACAAAAGAATTGATTCTTTTCCCCTTATTTATAATCAACTACATAAATCTTGAAAATAATAGTTTTTGCAATAAATAATTAGCTACATGGATTTTCAAAACTTTTATGCTGATTTTTTTTAATCTTTTATAATAATAACTGAATTAACAATGTGTGCCTTCTTAGCACATTGCTTCAGTATTATAACTTAAAAAATATAATAAGTTATTTTTGGTTCTTTTCTTTAATGCAACATCTGTTTTGAGATACAACTCAACTGTACCACAAGTGCATGCCGTAAAACTTGTTGAAGAGATTTAAAATTTTATATTAAATTAATATTAATCATACATCCATGTAGCCAATACTTTGTGAGTATGTTCATTTCTAATATTTTTCAAATAAATTTATTGCATTTTAATTAAAAATTCCATCAAATTCTGACGACAGATTGTAGATAAAGTAAATATGATATCAATAACGGTGATTAATGATATTACTATTGGTATGTTTAGTTACATGAAGGTCAGGTGAGGCTAAATACATATGATAATCAATACTGTACCACTTATTTGTGTGTCTTCTAACATGTCGACCGAGAGACTCAAACCTTCATGTGAGGACTCACATGAAAAGCTCCAGAAAAGAAGGGGAAATCATCCAGTAGCCTTCTTGCATGCATTTTGATCACAGTACTGTAATTTACAGGGTTTGACTTACTGGACAGTGGATCTCACTATGAGTCGGTCCCACCAGAAGAATCAATCATAAACCGGGGCTCAAGATTGACGAGGACCTGAGAACCTGAAACTGGATAGCATAGTATAATGCATGTCCGTTGGTAGGCAGGACCCGTGGCGAATAAAGAGGATCTGGTACATTGTGGCCATGACAAACTTCCAGTTCCACTATTGGTCGACAGATCGAGCGGACCAATCGAAAGTGAGGTCGATGCTCCGAATGACAAGTTGTGTGGACTATGAAGGAAGCTTGACTAGACTTCCTGGCCCTGGTGGGGTGGATCTTGCCTCTGATCTAGGGCCTTTCGCATTTATACAGACGGTAGGTCATGTACACTAGTAGTAGAGTGGAAGTTGTGCAGATTCTGTGACATAGAAGTGAATAAAAAGACGAGAAATATCAAAACATGCAGAGAGAAGCTTTTTTTGCCATATTGCTGGTTTCTCCCAGTTAATATGGAAGAAAAGATGCAAAGACCCCATCAAGGAGTACGGGCTTGCAACCCATACCAAAGATAAGTATACGGTTTATCATTGCCCCAAGTCCTATTTCGAGCCTTCTCAAAGTATCACACGAACAGTGCACTAAAGGTGTAAGTAGTACCTACAACAGAAAAGATGGAAAGGCCCATCACACAAACAAGGATAGTAGATCATTGAAAGCACATCTTGCTTTGACAAACTGCAAGTCCTGATAAAAGCTGAGCATCATTGACATCATATTAATGAACTTTTTTTTGACAAGATCAATAAGATCGTTATCTTTCGAAACGGAATTTTAGTCTCCTTCATCGTTCACTTCACACATTTCCATCAAGTTTTCGTGCTCTTCGATCTCTTCTGCGGGTCAATCAAAACTAATGAAATCTCGATCTTTTGTCAGTGTTGGTATGTTTACCTCCTTCAGATCGGAATGCGTTGCAAACGATGTTCGGAACAAAGTTATAAGTCTTCTGAGAGATGGAGATGTTTGTTCGACCCTTGCAAGTGCATGCCCTGAAGACATGGTTTCAGACATGGTAGGACAATGGAACATTCAGCACTGTATCCATTTTGTACGCATGCACCTCGTGACAGTAGGCTGTAATTGCTCACATGAAGTAGGTATTTTGTAGCAGATTCATAAAACAATGCGATAGCGTATGTTACTGTACTCTTGCACGTAGTGCTTAAAATATGCAAAAGTATCAAAGTAACCTTGAAAATTGACTTCTCCATGATTTGGTCTGAGATATAATGATCATGTAAACTTGAGTGGTGGCTATTTCCACCACCTCCAATACGAGACTGACTCAGCACATGCATAACAACCCCAGCACAATCATAATCACTGGTGGAACAAAGTGATACACATAGTTAAGTTGGTTATAGGGATCTTTCATGACAAAATTTGACCCTGAATCCTAAGTGTTTACCAAGAGATTTATAGTAAGTTCAATATTTTCTCTAGTTTTGTATGAAGGACAAGACTTATTTCGGTAGAGAGGAAATCGAAATCTGCAATTGTGGCAGTCTAGGCTACTTGAATGCTCTTGGCAACTTTTGTCAATTTTCCGACTGTAATTGAAACTAGACTCATCCCTGGAATTTATGCTAGAAAAATAGATAATTTATTTTTTTTCCCAAAAACTACATACAAAGAAATTTTTTTTATCTGAAAACCTTGCTTGTAATTTGTTTTCATAATGAAATACTTATTAGACTAAATTTGTGCAGTCTTGTGATGGAGTGTCAATTACAGCATGCAACAAAAAAAATTCTTGATGACTTACCCATTTTAAGTACTACTAGAAATCCTTTACGCTTAGACTAGCATTAAAGACTCACATGCTTCTATGTTTAGATTCTGCATGTAGAATATCTTTCATATGCTCCACTAACTTCCAACTCACAACAAATACTATATCTACAACAGTTTGTGCGTCTTGGCTTGAGGAATCCTTTCATATCATTTTTAGGTACTCTTTCAAATTCAAAATATATCATCTGATTCGTTATGGCTTGATCAAATCACCAACACTTTAAATGCAACTGGTATTAGTTTATATGTAACATTTGTTGAAATTACTTGTTGAGAATGTATAGTATGACACTAGAGAGTATAGTTATTCATGATCCTATCCTGAATGTGATGCTAGAAACAATGACAATACTTTTACGTAAAATCTTATTTATTCGTGCGGTTATATAGAATTTAATGGATACCTATACTTTTATATCAATTTATATTGATGTGATAGGGTGATTTTTATGAATAATTCATTCGGAAGGGATGGAGGAAGAGTGCAACGGTAGCAAACAAGTTCTTCAAGGATATAAACATAGAGAGTTCACTTCTTTCTTTCCCAAATTTGGAGTCATTTGGAGGTTTGGAAATTGACTTTGACATGGAATGAAAGTTTTCTGTCCTTCCTTCAGTATTATTTCAATTCTTCTTCTTTCCACTACAACACATTTCTTTTCTATTGTTATACATAGAAATGGAAGTGGTGCGATTCATAAGAGGGAAGTTACTTCTTCATTTGTTCCTTTGTTTGTACAATGTTTGACCAATTATTTTTTTGTTCACACCTTAGGTTACGGATGACAAGTTTCACATTGTAATGTTACTTGATCCTAGCACTATGCAAGCTGTTTTTTTTTTCATCCTCATATCACTTCGTGAGGTCTTCGCATCTTTTCTGTTATTTTACTGGGCATTCTGTGGTTAAATTGGGTTGTCCATGTGCACCACCTATGGGAAAAGGTGTTGACCGAGAATTCTGATGCTGTCCTCTCGTTAATCTCCGGGTCAATTGACGTTTGATCATCGATTGAGGATCTCCAAGCAGGCGAAGCCAAGGCAGGTGACTTCCATCGCAATCCATTGAAACTTTCTCTATTAAACCGACCAGTCTACTGAATCATGATCTGCAGCATCGAATATACGACTGGCTCCAGTTTCTGGCTGTGCATCTTCCATGGCCATATAATAATCAAATATCACTCATAAAAAATAATCTGCAAACCTATAACCCAAGCAGAAATTAACTAAATAAATCTTAATTATTGAGACTCATCCTTTGAAGCCAAAGAGCATATTCGGGCACTCCTGCCATAGGAAGCTAGACTTCCCATTTACCATGATTCCAATCAGTAAGTCTTTCGAGAGAATGAACATTTGATTTCAAGTTTCTGATGCTAATTTTCAACAAGAGAATCTCTCCTATGATTTCGTTAAGTTTTTAACTGTAATCCATGGTTTCCTTTGATGAGAACAATGATAGTGGTTGACTGTTATAACCATGCGTATCCAATGTTTTCGGATATTACCATGATAACATCGTCTCTCCAACCTCAAACTGATATTTGCTCTTGTTTTCTTGTGCAAGATTATTGCATAGATCTTAGCTTTGTAGATCTATCCATCAATTGCAGAAAACTGTATCTCATCAACAAAAGAAAAGTGGCCAGATAGTGTCACGAAGTTTTACTAAAAGTTGGCCGAGAGGTTTCTTGATGATCGTGTATTGTATAACTCAAGGTTTGCCATGGTTAGATCTACAGTTTCGATTTCGTGGGAAATTATAGTGTTGAGGTTTTGAACTTTTCAATTTGGATTAAAAATTTTAGTAGGAGACGCATGTTCATCCATAGCTAGAGCAAATATGATTTGCATACTCTAAAACGTTGTACTACTAACCACTGTCAAGGCAAGAAACTTCATTGGCCTCAAAGTGACAGGAAGGCTTTTAAGTAGCCATAATATTTCCCAAACTGATGGCTTTTCCTCCTCTACTTAGCCCATAATCTAGAAACATACAAGATCTTTTGATGATTCGGAAGTATTATGTACCCTGATGTGGCATGATTTTCAATAAAGAATTCATTTCATTAAAAGGGAAAGTTTGGTTTATGAAAACGTTCGTTTCTAAGCTCTGGGTTTCTTTTGAAAATAAATTCAAGAAATTTCAGGACCATTTGCTTGCTTAGACTTGGTCAGTCTCTGCAACACCCGTGCTTTGCTACGAAATGAATTTCGCGGCAACATGTTCTCATAATTTTGTAGCAGGTGAGGGATTGTCTTCATTACAATCGTTCCAAAAAACATTATAGCTTGAAAAGGTGGGGGTTGCATACTGGAATTAGAAACGGGATTGATCTCCACGTTGATCTCCACGTGTTTCGATATACATGGTTTCTATCTTCTATGAATGTCCTTTATCCCGGATGGATTTTCGGTTATCGTAACATACAACGGTATAGACAAATCGTACACCTTTTTTTCCATTCCATCTTCGTTACATAAACAGCAGTTTTTCCATGCCTCGCTGCTTCAGGCAAGAATCTTCATACATAATAGGATGGACGCCATAGGTCTTGTATCTCCAAGATTCCTTAGTGTTGGCACAAAGTTACCGATCCGGAAAGCTAATTGATTTTCAAAATTTGCAGAACGTGTTCCAAAATTCACAGTATCGGATTAAAATCTTCACTCTACCGGCTATCATGTCCGGTCGATATTAAAAATAATAATGTAATTGTTCCACATTCTCGAATACTTATAAATGTAATCGACAGAAAGAAACTGTTTTTTTGTTGTTGTTGGTGTGGATGGAAAGAGCCTAGCATTTATACAAAAGAATGAAAGTGACATTCCAGAATAACAAGGTCTTCCGGCAGTGAAGAGGAAGATGAGCTTCTATCATTTGTTCATTTGATAAATCACATGGTATATGACTAAATTTACACAAAGCAACACGATTGTAGCAAACTGGGACAAAAAGCATGTGCAGTGCAGCGAAAGGTTCAGTGAGGAAGAACACAATCTCAGACTTGCATGTGTCGCTAGATGCCTCAAGCCTTAAGCCGCAAGGGAGAGAGTCATCAGCGGCGAAGTTGGCGTAATGAGAACTGCGTGCTGGACTGCGGAAGCCGAGCCAACTTATGGCAGGCACTCCAGCTCCGAGGGACGAAGTTAGGGAATCATCAAATTCAGGCAACTCACCGCCGCAACACTTTTACGGTTGCCCGCCCGAGAAGTCTTTACGGCAACCCTAAACCTGCACGCAGAGAATATTCCCTCAGTAGCATGAGTCGGAGGATTTTCTCGCGGACGTACCAGCACAAGTGAGCGTAGCATGGTCTTAGGAAATCCGAAGATTTTCTACATCAGACATTTTCACGTTAATTTCATCGCAAGATTCTTCTAAATTCTTTGGCTCCCAGGAGTTGGCAGACTAGAAAATCTTGAGGAATAATGAGCTGATGACTTGTCTTCTCTTGCAAGATAAGTATCACTCGCGTATCTTCGATCCGCGGCTCCTACTCAAGGACAAACGGGGCCCGTAGGGCGGTCAGATCTACGGGGGAAATCTAGCTGTGCCGTATTTTCGGTATCCGGTAGAGGTCAAAGTCACGGCGCGCACCGGACCCGGAAATGGACGTCATCCCTGGCGACGAGGCCGATGGCGTGTCGCAATACGCGCGAGCCAGCGGAGACGAGGAGAAACGGAAGGCCCGAAAGTGCTTCGTGAATGGAGTGCGGTATTAAGCGTTGGCACAAGAACTGGGGGCCGAGCGAGGGCGAGCGAGGGAGAGGGAGAGGGAGAGGGAGGTCGTAGAGAGAGGGCTCGAAGGGAATCGGTCTCACGAGAGGAACGTGGCTGGGGTCCATGCGCGCAATAGTGCCAGGGCTGTACACCTGGTGCTCGAAGATTGAGGGACGAAGGCCTTCGCGCAAAGCAATCCCTCATCTCTGCCCTCCCCTCCGCTCAGTTCTCTGCCCTGCCCTGCCCTGCACCGCCCTCCCCCCTCCCCCTCCCTCTCCCTCCATCCCCCCTTCCTCTCGCCTTGCTTTCCCTTGGCTCTTCCGCACCGAGTTCTCTTTCTCGCACAATCTTCTTCTCCTATGGCCCGGAGGCAAATTTGAGGGTTGTTTTTTCTCTCGCTCGCTCGGTCACTTGTTTCCTTTGGTCGGTGGGATGAGGAGGGAGGGAGGAAGGGAGGGGAGGGTAGGGGTGGGTCGGTCGCGCTTTGCATAGGATTTGGGTTCGTAATTTGGTGTTTGGGTTGTTCGTCTCTGACACCGATGCTTGGCGACTTGTGTGCATCTCGCGCGTGCTTACTTCGGGTTTCCGACTGATGGTGGTATGTAAACAGGGCGTCAGGTCCAAGTCACCGGAGCGGACGAACGGTCGCCGTTGAAAAGTCAGGCATCGAAAGAGAGACAGAAAGAGAGAGAGAGGGAGGGAGAGGGAGAGAGAGAGGAAGAAGCAGCAGCAGTGGCAGGAGGTGGCAGGAGCAACAGCCCTAGGGTGGAGGAGTTTGTGGTAGAAGGTGAAGCAAGCAAGCCAGCAAGCCGAGGACTGTGAGGCCTGATCCATCGAACAGCTTAGGGAGAGAGTCGAAGCCCTTCCGCCTGTGGATCGCGAAGGAGGTAAGGTGTTCGTTCGATCCTAGAGAGCGCGTTGCCCCGGTCGGGTTTCAGTGGTGTGCGATTTCCTCGCTTCTTTGGGCCGTGGGTGCCGCAAGGGTCCGAGGAGGACGAGGTGTGTCGAGTTGTGTAGAAAGATCAGGGATAGGTCGAGTTTTGCCGGAGAGGAGGTCGTAGGGCATCAGTATTCTTCGTGTGGCATCCGTTTTCCTGAGTTGTGAATGCTCTGCAGAAAAGATTGATCGTTTATGTGCGGATCGTTAGGACTCGAGGCCGGGGCTGTTTCCAATCAGGCGGCGATGGACGGTCGAGCCCGATATCCAAGCTGTTAGGAGGATCGTGTTTCGCGTTGTCGCTCACGAAGGGGTTGTAGAGGTGGTTACACGATTTCGCGCAAATTACCTGGGAATCGGGTAACCATGGGGAGGTCCGTGTCTATCAGAGATGTGATCTTAGCTGCCGTCGTGATTTTCCACACTTTGGCCGGCCAGACGTGGGCTCGATTTGTAGTCGAAAAGAATAGCATCAAGGTGACATCACCCGATTCGTTGAAGGGTAATTATGACAGCGCCATTGGAAATTTTGGTATTCCTCAGTATGGAGGAACTATGGTCGGCACCGTCGTGTACCCGAAGGAAGGCTCGAATGCGTGTGTGCCGTTCGGTACCTCTTTCAAATCAGGTCCCTCAGGTGGGCTTCCCATCGTCGTCCTGGTGGACCGAGGTGACTGCTTTTTCGCCCTGAAAGTGTACAACGCGCAGCTAGCCGGAGCTGCTGCGGTGCTCGTCGCAGATGACAGGTTGGAGCCCTTGATCACCATGGACTCACCGGAGGAGGATGCAGCAGTTTTGGATTACGTCGACAACATCACAATCCCGTCCGCCCTCATCGACAAGGCCTTCAGTGATGACTTGAAGAAGTCATTGAGTGGCGGTGAAATGGTGAACATCAATCTGGACTGGAGGGAGTCTTTGCCTCATCCCGACGATCGTGTTGAATTTGAATTCTGGACCAATAGCAACGACGAGTGCGGTCCCAAGTGCGATGCACAGGTGGATTTTGTAAAAAATTTTAAAGGCGCTGCCCAGATTTTTGAGCAGGGAGGGTATACTCTGTTCACTCCTCACTACATCACTTGGTATTGTCCTCAGCCATTCATTTTCAGCAAGCAGTGCCAGGCTCAATGCATCAACCACGGCAGGTACTGTGCACCAGATCCGGAACAAGACTTTGGCCGCGGGTACGATGGTAAGGACGTGGTGATAGAGAATTTGCGGCAGCTGTGTGTTTACAAGGTCTCCAAGGACAGCAAAAGGCCGTGGACTTGGTGGGACTACGTTACAGACTTTCAAATTCGATGCCCAATGAAGGAGAAGAAGTACAACGGAGAGTGTGCAGAAGAAGTTATAAAATCTCTGCAATTACCTGTTGACCAGATCAAAAAGTGCATGGGCAACCCTGATGCAGATGAGGACAACGCTGTTCTAAAAGCCGAGCAAGATGCGCAGGTTGGACAAGGCAGCCGAGGAGACGTAACAATTTTGCCAACTCTTATCATCAACAACAGACAGTATCGTGGAAAGCTGGATAAAGGAGCGGTGCTCAAGGCCATCTGTGCAGGTTTTGAAGAAACAACAGATCCTCCCCCTTGCCTGAGTGAAGAAGTGGAAACAAATGAATGTCTCACCAACAACGGAGGTTGCTGGCAAAACCCTAAGGCGAATGTCACGGCTTGCATGGACACCTTCAGGGGCCGTGTCTGCCAGTGCCCCATTGTGCAGGGTGTCCAATTCCAGGGTGATGGATACAACAAGTGTGAGCCAACGGGTCCAGGACGATGCAAGATAGACAACGGAGGCTGTTGGCAAAGTGACCAAAGTGACCAGAACGGTAACGGTGTGAAGTTCTCGGCATGTTTGGATACTGAGCTGACGGGCTGCAAGTGTCCTCCAGGATTCAGAGGAAACGGCGTTGACCACTGCGATGACATCAATGAATGCAAGGAGAAACTTGCCTGTCAATGCCCGGAGTGCACCTGTAAAGACCTTTACGGAGGATATGATTGCCAGTGTGAAGGAGATCTTCTTTACATCAAGGAGCATGATACCTGCATCAGCAAGAAGAACGCAACAGGCAAAGTGGGATGGCTAGTGATAGTTGTTGTACTGTCTGGTTTATCAGTGATCGGAGTTGGTTGTTACATGGTCTACAAGTATAGGCTCAGGTCATACATGGACTCGGAAATCCGTGCCATTATGGCTCAGTACATGCCTTTGGACAGTCAGACCGAGATTCAACACCATGACAGATCGGAAATCTGATAAACTGATTGTGCAATTGATTGATTTTCGAGGTGGCCTTTCCACCGGCATCCTCTCGTTCGAACTTGAGTATCTGCAGAGATGCCTCCACTTTCAATTGATGACCTCTTTTGATCGCGCGAAAGTCGTAGTTTCCAGCTCTCAACCATATGTGACATGTACTTTGTCCATGAAATGAAAAAATCTGAAAAAATGAAAACCTACAGCGATACCTGCTAGAAATGTGTCCAGGCCATTCTTCTCTTTGTCTGTTCAGTGGCTTCCAGGATTGCTGGTGGTTAACGAATCTTAGTCGTGAGCTTGGTGGTCTGTCAATGACTTTCGCCACACGCGAGACCCACGGTTGAAAGAATGATTATGAACAGTACAACCGCTGTATCTTAGTGGGTAGCATCTTAGCGTTTCTGTACATAGCAGTGCAAGTGTAGATGTTAATATAGGTGGGGTACAATGATCCAAATGGCTGAAGAGGATCTTTCCTGATGTAATTCTGGGTTGTTGCCCTCCGCGGATGCATTTGTGACTAGCTCTCCCTTGAGACTTCCACTGTGCCCGTATCGTTACGTTGTGGCTTCCTGCTTTTTTTTCGAGGCAAATGTCTGTAATGCTGTTTCACGTCAACTCTTATGTAAAGTTTTGGAGATATTGTTTACAGATTTCTCAGAAGCGCACACTGTCAGTGCCTTAGATGTATAGTGTTCCCAGTCTCATGGGACTCGTCACCACCTGTGACACGACCGATGTGATTGTGCTAATTTGAGTAGGGCGTCGAATCTGTGTGATCTCTGAATCTATGCTTGGAGTCTCGTGATGGATGTTCGCCATGATCTTTTTTTAAACTGATCAATATCAGTTGCTATTGTATTCAGGTCTGTAGGAAGTCGTCACACAATTTCTAGACTAAAAACTTGCGAGAGTTTGAGATGGAAGAAGTATTGAGAAGAGAAGAGTAGGAAAGAAGAGTGGGAACAATCAGGAAAGGCATGAGATCTTGAATAGACGATGAACTCAGTGTTGGTGATCAGTAAGTCTGTAGCACATGCCTAGGACAAATAGTCTCGTGGGCTAACATACGGAAGACGGTACGCAGTGAGCGGTAACGTCAAAGTTGCAGTGTACACTCTTGACCATGGCCGTATTGGGCCTCCTCACGGAAGGTGCGCCTGTGCCGGAGAGCATTGGTGATCGGTAGACAAACTCTCGGTGAACTTTCAGACGTCGTCGTAGCAATCATTGTGTCCATGCAGAAGTACAGACTTTCGCTTGTCAGCCGACAATGTCTTCCATGATTTGTAATTTCCATGAAATGCTGCACTACCTACTGTTATTGTACGTAGGACCTTATCTCCAAATTTGCCCAATTAGGTCTGGCGAATCTCATATCTTAACCTTTTACAAAAGTTGAAGACCTCGCCTTTTTGCAGTACAACAATGGTTACAACTGTATAATTGGACGACGTGAGATATTGTCTGTCTCCCAGCTAATCATTCCACGGTAGTAGGTGTCGGAGGTTCTGATGTTATCTTCGATATCTGGATGTTCCTTAATAGCGTTGAGATGCTGAGTACCAATTTCGTCTCCCATGCCCTCCTTCGAATGAATCGTTAAGTCTGACAAGTTCCACCAGGAGCAGTTCTGCCGAGACACTTTTGCTCTCCCTCACAGGGAATGCGCGTCCATGCTTTTCAACATATGTACTTGAACAATCGATCAGAAGAAGAGCGAAGAACATGGAGTAAGATTGCTGGTTCAGAACACGATACACTCGTTTGCTGGAGAGAGTGGTGAGAGAGACTGGAACCAAAGGCCCATTTAAATGCCAGTAAAGGTGTGATGCCAGTGAAGGTGTAAGCCCCTTATATCTCTCTCACGACTGCGCCCGTTGAGTTCTTTGATGTTTCGTCGTCTTTTGCACGAGCGAGGAGATTGATGTCGGGGATCCTGTAGATACAATACAAACGTGTCTGTTGTCGACACAGTCATTGCAAATAGCTCCTCGCCTGTCTCCTTACACTTGACCAATGTACTGACGTCTACAGAGCCTCATGGACAAGGACTGCTCAGGTCCCAGTCTTGCGAATCACAGTATGTGTAGGCAACACTTTTTGCTCCACCCGTATTTTCTGTCATGGTCCACGTGTGCTTCCTCGTACGTGAAGCGGTGATGACTTGGGTGGTCTTACGAGTTCTGTTCTGTTACTAAAGGGAAAGTGTGAACAACATGTTTCCTTTTAACACAGTAACGAAGTTTCAGTTCACCTCCAGCTAAAATATGAAAACTCGCACTCTGTACAGTGAGATCAAAGTCACGCTGTGAAACTTTCTCAACTTGTTCAGAAGCTGCTGCGTTGAGAAAAGCATAACGTTGATCTGTGAAAACTCACAAGTCGATGCACTGCACAGTGCATTTACTCGTACTGTCCTTGTTTGTATGCAATGTCTCTTTTACCTTACTCATGTTCTCCTACACCCCAACTTACCCCTCATGTGAAAAGGTAGTGGTGCGAGCGCAAGTTTTTAACGTCTTGGTTCTTGAAGTTTTTTATGATTATATTATTCGCCTCAGGGTGACAGATGGTTATTCCAAGGTACGTGGTTACTTCTGAGATTCGTCTGCTAAATTTATTATCCTCTAAATTGGAGACTTTGGCGGGAAGATCCAAAGTAAGACGTGTACTCCATAGAGAAAAGGTAGATCCTCCTGTGATTGATGTGGCATCTCGCTTAAAAGGTGGTGGTACCACATAATCATCGGTATGATGACTGGAGAAAGAAGCATAAAAAGGTGGCAGTCCAAGGAAGAAAGCTCTTGGATACATTGCTTTTCTATGAAACAATTGAGGATGAAGGAGCGAGCTGGTCAGATCTTATCGTGATCTGAACCTGAACGCTGACATATGCCAAAAGAGCTGAAGCGTCTTTTCATCTTAATCCCTTGACAAAGTGAACCAGTATATTTGACGAAAGCAGAGAGCTGACAAGATCACGACATCACATGTGTGGTGCACACCTTTGGAGGGGTTCTAGTTTTCTGCGTACGAACAAAACAGCGACTATGGACCCGTATCAACGCCACCTGGGCTTGGTAGTGCATCCTATGGAGGACTATCGGTTTGACAATCGCTAAACTATTCCCAAAGACAGCGGATTGCAATGGCTGTTCAAAAAGAGACCTCTTCAAATTATGGTTCGTACTGGCGGAAACAATGTGGAAAGTTGATCAGCATGCAAGGAGAGTATCGTCGCTATGATTATCGTTAGTCATGAGACGTACAGTACACCACTGACTGGGAATGAACAGCATTGCTTGAAGCGACGAGTCTAATATTTTGCGGGATGCGAATGATTGAAAGTTGAAAAGTACACCTTTGCACGAAGAAAGTATGGCTTCCAATCCGTAATTAATTTCATTTGCAAGTTCTGACTTTGACCGTGATCGAACATTGCAGCGGAGAAAACAAGTGCACACATTGGTTGATTGAGTTTCTCGATGTATACTGTTTTGAAAAAAGGAGGCATTTTTGCTGCAGGGTTGCTCCTGGTTGGAATGAATTTAGGACTCTGCCGTGGAGGATGCCGTCGACTTTAGACCTATCCCAAATCCTCCATTACAGAATTTTAGAGTTGCCAGGACTTGTTCCTTCGATGCATCACGTGAAATAACTGCTACAAAGGAAGCAGCCAACCAGCCCCGAGAGCTTTAAAGCACTCTTCCGCATGAATCCTGTAAATATGAAGAGGTTGATATGAAGTCTGATCATATTTACGAACAATATGAATGCAAGATTGTTGTATATAGTACAAAGTGCTTGTGAATTACAAGCACATATGGATATGTCATCCAATTGCATCCAATTAGATTACATCAGTTGCAATTTAGCAAGAGAAACTTATAGTCACCTAGTGATTTACTTTCGCTCTCAAGGGCTACAACCCGCCCATTGAAGTGAAACATGATGATCTATGTTGCAGTAACTGATTGATTATGTGTCAAGCGTGTCCAGGCCTATCTTTTTCCAACAATCATAGCTACTCCCAAACTCCTCTCAGAAAGTGGAGCCTAAAGCCTAAAGTAAAATTGTCTGTTTCTGTGCTTTGCCAAGAGATCTTGTAAACTTGCCTGAGTGATCACATCGGCGGCTAGCCATTCAACCAAAAGGCCTAAATCCTATCTCTTACTGTCATAAGACCTAAACCTCACTGTCTGCCTTCAAATTAGTCTCCCATCCAAACACAAGCTATCCAGATCAGCTCAATGCTCGAGAAGTTCCGATGATCCATCCATTCCTGACTCTTTCTTCTCACTCTGCTTGTGATCTTTGTAGAACAGTTGCCTTCAATTGAGTTGGGTATGTGAGAAAATTCAGCTTGCCCATCGACCACTGTGGCATCGAACTCCGCCGAGTCTGTCTGTCTGTCTGGCTGTCGAGCAGCTGCTACACAGCTGAGGAGAAAGAACACGAGGACTCAGGTCGAGGTTTGGATCCATCACCATAACCCAGCCTGGACTGGAGTGGAATGGAGTAACTGGACACTGGTAGGGCCTTCCCTCTAAGTGTTAAAGGTTAGGCCGGTAGCTTCATGTTCACTCCGAAGCTCTTGAGTGGCCAGAGAGAGGGTGCGCAATTGCAGAGAGCGAATGAATGACAAGTGGAAACTGCGGGGGTTCGAGGGACGGTTGACCGATCGAGTGAGTGTGTGCACATCGGAGGGAATTCGGGAAACCCGAATAGCTTCAGGATCCCCGACAGGACGCTCATCCTCGTAGCTGACGACAGGAATTCAGCTTTCTCCCTGCGATGCGAGGTTTAAGATTTAAGCTTTAGGGTTTAGGCTCAAGGCTCTGGAGAAAAGCAGCAGGTGAATTTCGCCGCTCGTGTGTGCTGCGCCTAGCTCGGCAGTAGAGGCCAATTGTAGAGTAGGGAAGGAAGAAGGTGGATGCAATTCTAGCCTAGAACATTCGCTCTGGAATTCTGTGTTTAGGGTTCGTTTGGCTGACAGCAGAGAGCTGAAAATTCCTGTTTTCTGGATTGGAGTTCGTTTGAGAATCCAGACGCATTTGCGTCTGAGGGTTTGGGGCAATTTCTTAGTCCAGCGAGCCAGAGGAGATGGCTTTACGTCCCCTCTCCTTGTCGAAGGCATTGGGTAGTAATGGAGTAGGATTAGAAACTATTAAGAATGTGGGGCTGCAGCGTTCTGGGATGCAAGCCAGACCTTGTCTTGCTCTTCCAGTCGTCGTCTGTGGCGATGGAGCACTCTCCGCTTCGTGCAATGGTCCTTCGGGATCGTTCTCCGGCGACGATGCTCGGAGACTTGGCAGGAGACAGGCGCAAGTGGTAGTAGCAGAGGCTGGACGAGGCAAGCGCGAAGCTCCAGCAGCCGACGTCGCGGATGATGAACCTTCTCCCTCTCGCGCCAGCAGTCGCCAGAAGGCTTTGGAAGCTGCCATGGCTGACATCAATAGCTCCTTTGGCAAGGGAAGCGTGACCAGGCTCGGCAGTGCGGGTGGCGCCATCGTCGAAACCTTCCCCAGCGGCTGCCTGACATTGGATTTCGCCCTCGGCGGGGGCTTGCCCAAAGGGCGCATCGTGGAGATTTACGGACCCGAAAGCAGCGGGAAAACTACATTGGCGCTGCATGCCATCGCTGCAATTCAGAAATCCGGGGGAAATGCGATGTTGGTGGATGCAGAGCATGCCTTCGACCCCGACTATTCTCGAGCACTGGGAGTGGATGTCGAGAATCTCATCGTCTGCCAACCGGACAACGGCGAAATGGCTCTGGAAACCGCCGATCGGATGTGTAGATCAGGGGCTGTGGACCTCATATGCATCGATTCCGTCTCTGCATTAACTCCTCGAGCCGAAATCGAAGGAGAAATTGGAATGCAACAAATTGGCCTGCAGGCTCGCCTGATGAGTCAAGCTCTGAGAAAAATGTCTGCCAATGCCTCGAGAGCCGGATGCACTTTGATCTTCATCAACCAAATCAGATACAAGGTCGGAGTCATGTATGGCAATCCGGAGATTACGAGTGGAGGATTGGCCCTCAAATTCTTTGCTTCACTGAGGCTAGAGATTCGTTCTGCTGGCAAGATAAAATCGCCGAAAGGAGAGGATGATGTAGGCATTCGAGCTCGAGTGAGGGTACAGAAGAGCAAGGTTTCAAGACCTTACAAACAAGCTGAATTTGACATCATCTTCGGAGAGGGAATTTGCACTCGAGGTTGCATACTGGATTGTGCCGAATCCGTCGGTGTTATATTGAAGAAAGGTTCTTGGTACAGCTTCGGAGACACGAGGTTGGGCCAGGGCAGGGACAGAGTCGTGCAATTTTTAAGGGAAAATCCTGAAATTTGTGACAACATTGAGAAGCTTGTCCGTTCGAGGACATCTGAGGAGCTTCAAGCGAAGAAGGATGCCGTCAACGGGGCATCGTGGACATCAGTAGCAGCAGAATCTGACACAGAAGACGAGGATTTCGTCACGGAAGACGAGGATGTAGAAGTTTTGGTCGATTTTTGAATTGTCGAGATATGTCGTGTATTATATCATCTAGCCTATTTTTTCTCCAAAAATGTACATTAAGGCTCTATTTGAGCAGAAATTTACACATTGGCACTGAAATGCATGTGCAAGTGGCCTTTACAGGCCGCTTATAATGAAAAGTGTAAGCGTTGAAGCCACTTCTCTGTCTATGGCACACCAGAGCCGTTGCTGGTGTTTTGGAAACCCAAGAAGAACTCCTTTCTCTATTACAATGGTCTTGAGTGCCAATCACGCGGGGATTTAGGAAAGCGCACTTCAGTTGGTGTCTCTGAGCTAGAACTGTAAACTCAACTTGGAAGTAACTTATAGATTCAACTTGGTGTCCGTGAACCAGTATTGTGAACCCATCTCAGGTTACAACTGCGATTTCAATTTGCTTGTGGAACATTTAAGAGTCATACTTGAGTACTTACAACTCGTTTTGGAGATTGATAAGTACCGAATCCGTTATTCTGAAAATGCTTGGTCTTCGTGACATGGTGAAATCTATGCTCTCTTTTGTACCAGCATTCGTTTTACTCAAATTATTGATTCGATAGAGCAGCGCTGTTAGAGCTGTGGATATGCCAAAATAGCTACCGTTTACCTCAGCGTGCTTTATGCGGAGAGAAAACACGTCAAGGATGAAAGCATGTTCACTTTTGCCACATCTGATTAGATCCCAGTCCAGTGAATTGTATGTGATTGCTGTCGAAACGTTAAAGTACAACACACAATAACGTCCAAGTCTAAGTTGGACCCCATATACTTGTGCAAGGTACCAAAAACAGCACAATCCAGCACATCTTCAGGCGATATTCTAGCAATGGGCAGGTTGAAATGTGTCACGATGGTAAAGCATGTGAAGCTCACCCAATGGGGGGCTAAACAAGACTCGTCAGTCTTGACGCAATCTGACATTCCGCTAGCACTTCGGTAGCGTATACCGTTTATCTCAAACCATGTTTTATGTCATAGCTTGTGCTACCTGTCTTGAGCTTGTGTCATACCCTGCGCCTCAAATCGAGTGCCTATACACTACTTTCATGATGAAGATGAGCTCTATTACAGGTAAGAAAGAGAAGACATAAAAGAACCGGAAGACCTACACGGTTGGGCGCAATGGCCGGAAAGAACAGGAGGGCCGGATTTTAATTTTCATCAACAACTGAATATAGCCAAAATCCTTAAATCTCCAGAGGTCTATTCCTATCAAATTGCCTGTTTGTACAACTAACCAAGCTCTACTACCTTTTCTATGAGTGAGAAATCTTTGTATGCCGAGTTGCAACTTTGAGCAAGTGCAAGATTACTTGCGTCCTTTGCAAATTAAATAGATTTCTCTTGAGGTAGGACGTGTAGCTTTAGGCCGAAACCAAGTCGCAGTCTTGAAACGACTTTTACACAGTTGCAGAAACTCTGCGGCGCACAGACAGCCAAAACGATTATTGTTAAGCAATTCAATGACTGTACGCTTGACGGAGATTGCTGATTTGAGACGTCAATAGTACAACTCTTTAAAATGTGACATGCATATCCTGAACACCCATAGCGCATCGTAACGAGATATGTCCACATGCGAAGGAGTCAGAGGAATTTCGGAGGACGATGCAAGATAACAAAGAAGAAAGATGCCCCAAGTCCTATTCGTATGGATGCCAGAATGAAATTTTAGGTTAGATAGAAATGAAAAGAGTATGAATAGCTACGTTGGAGTAAGGGGATGGACTCACCACTAGAGTCTTCCCCTTCTAAGAGCTTGATAACTATGCTCCCCTCTGGCAACAGCAGCCCCTCTTTACTTGTAAGAGGAGGAAGAGTGTCCTCTTCCTGCAGAATTTCTTCCGGATTCTCCGAAAACGCTAACTTCAAAGTGCACAAACCTAATTCGGCAGACAAAGCCGCATCTCTCGAACTAATGCCCGACACAGAAGGGCACATATCGGATAAGATCACAGAGAAGCCCATTCCCTGCATCGACCCACATCAATTAGATCCTTGACTGAAGAGACTTTTTTTGTCAACAAAACGTTGGCTTAGATAATTTACTCTTGCTCCAGATGGCAGGTGCTCAAAACGTTCGTAAATGTCATCAGTTTGTGTGTGGATACTCTAAGACCCAAAGAATCAGAAAACCAAATTCCACAATCAAGATCTGTACTACTCCGCTCGAAAGCAGTGTGCAGAGCTTCTGAATATAAGCCGCGCACATCAGAGTCATGAACGAGGAGAATGCATGCCCTAGACGTACTCTTTTTCTGAATCGGAAACACAACAGGATTGACTAGGTGTTAAAAAAAAAGGACACGTACTGTTGGAGAAAGCTTTGCAAGGTCTCGAGGTGAAGTTTTTAAAACGTCTGCAGATAAAGTTCGGACTCTTTCGTCACAATGGTGAGGAGGCACCTTCACTTTCTGCTCTGCAAACCAGAAAACTTCCATCAACTTTGACATCACAGAAAGAGAGACAACTAGCACCTCGAGCTTCTAAAGTCTGTTCCTGACCACAAAGTCCTCTACCTAGTAAGGGAGCACAAACGTGCAAGGACAAGAATAGTGTACACGTTCCATAAGTGCAACAACCCCAAAAGGATGGTACAGACCTTGATGTCAACACCTACAACAGCTCCACCTCTTGCTAGAGGTCCCAAGCATTGACATGCCACCTGCGATTCCACCCCAAGCAGATCATTCAACTAGTTAAATGACGGACCGCCGTTAAAGTCTTCGATATATTCCAGTAAAAATGAAACTTGGTCAGGGAGTAGTACATACGTTCATATAAGTTCTCTTTGAGTGAGACTAACTAAATTCTATGGTGAGATGAACGTGCTGTGGACATTATGTTCTTGAGCAACCAGGGTAAACTTACAACCAGGATACACTAGAATCACTTCTGTCATCACACTGAGCCATATAGAAACTCATCCCCACCCACAAATAGATAAGTCAATTTTTGTCGCGGAAAGCCTCATCCTAATTATAAACTAATGTTTACTCGTCTTGTGATCGAATGAGCAAGTGTAAAAGAGAGTAAGTGATCGGATGTCTGAGTGAAATCTCTGAATTCACTCAAAAATTCGATCACTTACTTTCTTCACTGCTGCACGGAGAGAGAGAGCCTACAAGAAAACTACAGACCTGAAGCCAGGCGCCGGGGGCGCAGCCGAGGTCCAAGACCGATGCCCCTCGGGTGATTATCCCATACTTCTTTTGAATCTCCAAAAGCTGCCATCATGCACCAATTCCAATTCGAATTTGGGAATATAAAAACAGAAAAATAATCAGTACAAAGATCGAGGTGAACTGAACTCTCTCCAGGTTTGTAAGTATGTAACAAAACACGGAACGTTCTGTCATGACTTTTTGTAAGGCAAGTAGGCATCCGAGACCGCATCGCGACGAGATATGACTGGCGTCCCGAAGAACGCCGATTAGCTAGAGTAAGGTAGATTCAGAAGTTTATAACTTAACAACCGGTGCTCTTGCTCTAAAAGTAATTCAGGCCGACCTTGAATGCAGATCGGGCTACAAAATTGAGACGCTTGGCCTCTCGAAAGAAGAAGTCTGGAGCTCCCGCACCATTCATGATGAGATGTCAAAAGAGTGTGATTTTCGCGAATTTCAAGTACATCGGTAACCTGTTCCACCTTCGCCAGATTCACCAGGTAAATGCCACCTCTAGCCACTAAACCCTATGACAGAGTGAGAATCGGAATGCGGAAACGTGCAAAATTTTCCAGACGTTTTCCCAGAGAGCCACGGAGAACAGCAGGAACACGACTCAGAGAGGTAGATTTTTCTCTCTCCAACTGTTCACGGATGTGCTCGACTAATCATGCAGCTCTTCATGAAACTCCCGAACTCCTTGTGATGCACATCCCTCGACTTGCGTCAGCAACATTCAACATTCAACATCGAAGTTCGCGCACGTCCATGCACTCCTACGCTCGTGCTCGTTCCTTGTGAGCATTACCTCCCTCGATTCGAGTTGGACAAGGCCTTCCCAATGAAAGCTCATCAATTACTGCAGTACTGTAACTTGCTGTAAATTTGCACGAGAGGGGATTGGAAACCTCGGTTACTCGGCGAATAGATTTTAATGAATGCGAGCATACTCTTCGCTTTCCCACGTCGAATTAATTAATTAATTTTTTTGTTTTGTTTTTTTTTTTTGTTTTTTGAAGTTTGATGCTCATGCGCATGCATGGATTTATTTCTCATGCAAAAAACTGCTGTTCTTTGTACTCATTTTTTGTTGCCGGATCTCAAATCTTTGAGAGGATATTCTCAAGAAAAGCTCTGAAAGTAAAATGAAAGGACAATTCGGTAGAAAATAAACATTTCGGCTCACGATAACACAAATGGGTGCAAAACTGGGTAATTGTTTCTGACAGAAGGACGACTGTATCAAGAATAATGTACAAATACAGAGAAATCATATTTGTTGAACAAACTGTAGATTTGCGTGTTTCAGAGTTTTTTGTTGGGTTGCATTTCAGTATTAGTTTGAACCTGAACAAAATTACCGCATCGGCAATAAGAGTTTATGCTTTTATGTCAAGACATTACTGAAATGGGTCACTCCCACCACTTTTCTTCCTGATCTAATTTGAATTCCCCCATAATGAACGCTTCGGGTGAAGAAAATCTCAGACTTTATTCTTGCAGCTGTTCATGTAGACTATATGAATATTGAAAAATACAATTTGAACCTTCCATCTTTGCTTCATACTCAAACAGCTTCCACCATGAGTCCGAAACAAGAATCATAGTTGATATAGAAAGAGAGTAATATTTGACTCTCTTTCTAGTTAAGAGTAAAGCCAAAACTCACTTGGATAGATGAGTGATTTGTATTTGTTTTATCATTTAAAAAATGATATGATTCTTTCATTGTTTCAGGATAATTCATCATATGCACTGCAAAGTGTCACTTTCTTGAGTCATATAAGCCGAAGCAGCTGAGGACATGGTATCTAATCCTACAAGCAATCTACTAAGAGATTTCAGTTCCATTGTTGAGAATAATTATGAACTTTGGCAATATTAAAGGTCGATATTCGTAAAAGATAATTAGAACATACACATAAACAAGAGCTTTCAATTCGCTTGATAAACACTACGAAATTTTACAATACATAACGTTGATATCAATAAGAGAGAATTCGAAAATGCATCGTAATTAGCAGAACGTGAATTGTGTTTACTATACAGTTAAATATGATTCTCTCAGCTTGATTCATTACAATTTTTGTGAGATTAGTGGGTTCTAACCCTGAAGAATCAATTACCAAAATTTTTTTACCTGAATGTTTTTTTCAACTAAAATGAGCTAAAAGTCACACAAGATGTATAATTGGGATTAAACTCGCCTTGCTTTGGGCCAGAATTTATTCAACATATACAAATCCAAATATTTTTTTGCAATAAATATATTGCAAGCAAAGTATAATATATTCATTGAACAACATATTAAGTTAATAGAATCTAATAAAATATCATTGATGTACAGTACTAAATTGATATGTCTTTCAAGGATTGGCTACATTTTGATTGCTCTAGAGTGTCACAATATTTCAAAATTTTTGCAAACTTCTTAAATATTTGTTAAACATCTTATTTGCTTTTTTTTTCTTGTTAAAAAACTAAAATTTCACAAAGATGCAACAAAGCAACCAAATAAAAAAAATAACATGATTTGTTTTTAGAAAAAATATGTTCAAAAAGAGTGTAATTGAAAATGCTTAAGTATGTGTCATTAAAGCTATAATCAGCTCCTTAATATAGTATTAGACTAGACTTAGTCGAACTAAATAAAGTTGAACTAACATGATTTACCAAGATTTAACTTAATTACTAAATTATTTCTTTTGATTCATGTATTAGAATTCGTAATCTCTATAACCGACATGATTATTCTATCAAAATTTATAAAAACTTAAATTAGGATCAGGAATAATTTTTAACTAACTAGAATTAAGCTATGTACAAAACAAAATAAAATCATATGCAAAGAATTTTTCTTTATAATAATAAAATATTATTTATAAAATATTTAAACAATTATTTAATTTATTAATAAAATTCATTTAAAATTTTTTCTATGAAAAATTTTTGATTTATCAATCAAATTGATTTAATTTAAACTCAATCATGACTAGTTCAACAAACTTTCAGATTTTGCATATTTGATAAAGTAATAATTATATTTGATGGCTTCATCAAACTATTTATCATTTGATGTTTTGCAATTTTTGATAAATCTTGACAGTTGTAATATATATGAATAACATACTACTTGAATTTTACCTAAATTTTATATTTATATAATAAATTTTTTTCTGCTAGTACATATTTAACATTTATAGATGACTAAGCTATGCACTTTTGCAAAGTAGAATTTTAACTAATTTATATACATCAAGTGTATTACTTAACATATTCCAACAATCTACAAGATCAATTTTTATGATTTTTTTTTGAAAATCATTTTTTTTTATCCAAATTTTGATAATCTTAAGAATCATAGACAAAAGTTATGATTAATTTTTATTTATAATTAAATTAGATATCACAACAAGTTCATTTATACTTCAAATTGATACATATTTCTCTTAAGTTGAAAATTATAATTGTAATTTGTCAATTTTCTTATGATTTTATCCACCAAACTCACTTTGAGTTTATTTTTTATACATTTGTTGAATTGTTGTTCAACTTGTAGATCAATGTTCAAATTGTACATTAATGAAAGTATTATTCTTTGAAATCTTCACTAGCTTTCACGTCTCATTGTTAGCAATTGCACAGTATCACGCTACATAGTAATATTTCATTCAAATGAAATGCAAAATTCCAAAAAAAATTGAAAATGCACAATCATAAACAATTAACACACATATATTCACGCTAAATATAGTTAACTAATTGAAACTAAAGAAATCATGTTCTTTGATAAAATGATACATTATGTAAAATACATTAGTATTTTACTTTTCAATTTATTGTTTGATTTGGAGCAAGAATGCATTATAACTATCACAATAAACATTGACAACGTAATGTGACAATCTCATATAAATGATAAGCTTATATAATTATGTAGTATATTTTGATATTTTTGTTATGCTTACATATTCAAATTTTGTGGATTGAATTCTACACTTGTACAAAATAGATCTTCAAATGCATCAACAACAATGAAATAAAGTTGATAAAAATTCATATTTCATATCTAGAAGACTACATCCAAGCGGTAAGATAGATATTTTACTGAGCATTCTACAATATGTGTTTTTTTCAATGCTTATACTAGTTCTTTTATACATAAAAAATATTGATGCTACTTCAACTAATTAGAGTTTAAAAAAATAACTTAACTTATAACCACAATCTGTTTTCATGTTTTTACTTTTTAATTAGTTACAATTAATTAATTAAAGTTATCAAATTTGGTTTTTTATGTCCAATTGCTATGAAAAGAAAGGAAAAAAATACAATACATTGATGTACTTAAGTGATTTTTTCTTTTTTTTCTTTTTTATTTCACTTTTGTTTGAATAGTTTTCAATGTTTGGCAATTTTTATACAAATTCAATTTGTTTAATGATCACATAAACAAATCAACACGTGCAACTCTGCAAAGCTTTTAATAACACTTGGGAATTTGAACGGTTTTCAAATTGCATTGGAGTGATTAAGTGGAATCACTTATGAAATTCATCAGTCAAATTCCAAACTTGCTATAATCTAGACCTTTATTTGATTTTTTTTCACTTTCAATCACTTCTTGATTATATAAAGTTAAGTTGCTAGTATTTTGATAACAGCACGAAGCCAAAAAAAAAAGAAGAAAAAAAACCAACATGAAATATTACATCATCACCAACATTCATACAATACAACGTATCCAAAGTTTATATAAAAAATAATAATTTGTATATGATAGATTATAATCACTAACATTTGATATTGAAAGCATAAATTGCTAGTATACTGGACAGCAAAATAACCAAACAAATATTGAGTGCAAAAAAATGAAATCAAAATGAGAATGTAATCACAAGCAAATGATTTATTCTTCATAAATTAACTACAACTCTCAAATTGAACTATGACATATTCTTAAGAATGTACTTAAGAAAATTACATTTGATTTTGAAGTTAAAATATATAAATTATAAGTAGCAAAACATCAATACACTTTGATATTCTAATACAAGCTTCAGTAGCTAATACATGCCAATTCTCTAAAATCCCAACTCTAGTAGCTTTAAACATTAATTTCTAAATTTGCTTAAAATACCGATGCTAACTGCACAGTTCCAATTTATTTTTTGAACTTCTTCATACATAATATCATTTTTCCAAATTGTTGGTTGTCGATCAAATGTAAGTAGTGTTATTTTCAAAGTTGCTAATGCTTGCACCCTTGTCATGAATAACCCAAACAACACACAATATGTTCATATACAGGGAATGCAAATTGGTTCAAAATATTTGTTCTTCTAGATGAAGTTTATGGAAGTATGTAAATTACTTTCTTAACAGTTATCCAGTGAATATGTGCATTGAAATGTACCAAATATCAGCTAGTGTAACACAATTTATTAGATTTATCTCCTTTCGTAGTGAATGTTCGAATTCTCGTCTAATGCGGACCTCTCACTAAATAGCTGGGAAAATATTCTAGATAATGCACTATTACATGTCTTGTTGTGAATCTGTTAAGACCTAATGGAATCCAACCCCATATGGTTTCATACATGCCCCATTTGATTGGATTCCTTGAAATTTTCGCTATATTAAATAATATCCTTTCAACTCCAACGTCCGTCACACATCCTAAGTAAATTACAATTAATCGCAGTATCAACCTCGCTAAACCACTATTAACGGAGCCTCATCCTCTCAAGAAGTTGAGAGTTATCCTTTAAAAAATGGACAACCAAGAACTCCAGATACATTGTCCAGACCATATGGGATCCAGAAGGTCTAAGACACCGGCATCTTCAGACTGAGCCAAAGGAATTCTTTACGAGGTAATGAAGAAAATGGACTAACAAACAAAAGGAACGAGGAGAAACGATGCAACAGTAATGAATTTAAAGAAAAAAATTCTACTATACTGCCCATCAAGCACCATATGGTAACTAGATATAATCTAGAACTCCAAGTTCCGATCTCGAGTATAGGTGTTGAGACACCAGAAAAGTATCTTCGTATGTACAACACACCTCCAAACATTTGCTCAAAAAAACACGTTGATACATGCTCAGAGAGGTCAATCTGAACTTTCCAAGCAACCCAAAATGATCAAACACCATTTCAAAATCAGCACACCGTCACCTTGTTGTCCGACAGGCAGAACTCAATACAACAATTTATTTACAAGGACTGATAGTAGTCCTCCGAAATGCTGAGAAGCCCCTTCTCTACTCTCTGTCTCTAAACATCTATCTCCCTCTCTCTCCCTCTCTCTATCAGCTCGAAATCAGCACGCAAAAACCTTAACTATACAAGTGAGCTGCAGAATCCAACTTATTCAAGTCAATTTCCAGTTCGTATCCTACGCAACTGTTTGCAAAACTGGAGTTACTAGTACTTTGGATAAAAGGCCGAGTGACACTTCTAAACGATGTCAGAATCACTGACGCTGAGATTTCCTATCAGTCAGATTCATCCCAATCTTATGGATGGTCTGCATCTGCATCATCACTTTCCCTACAAAAAATCACACAATGAACAGTCAGTGAAACCTTGAAATGAACAGACTGTGGACGTAACTCACCATTATAACTCTCGAAACTAGGCTGAAACAGTTCATTGTCTAACCCACAAGCTCCGTCAGGCTCCGTCAGGCCTGATGTGTCGAGCTGGACATTTCTTCCAATATATACCTAAGACAGGATTATTATGAATAAAGCTGTGGTGGAACATATGAGAACTCAATCTGGAAGTGCCCATATTTCATCATAGGTTCTGCCTTCATCTGTCTATAATTTTTTCCTAGCTAATAGGTGTCTCGACCGTTCTGATTTGACCTCTGTTCCAGCATGAGATCGATCGCCAGTGGATCAAGGTCCGGATAATCTTGTGCAGCTAACTTCACAGCCTACAGTAACACTCGCACTCTCTCTGTATAGATGCCTGGGAGGTTCACTCAGGAAGCTAGTCAGGATCATTGGATATCCTCTACAGATCTTAAAGAAGGTGTCCATACACGTACTGGATAAGAACGATTCTTAGCCTTTATACGAGTCCAAATATGGATATGGATGAAGAAGGCTGAGAATTTTCAGCTAGTTCAGACCATGTTTACTGATCTCGTCATTGGTGGACCTACACCAATAAGCGATCGGTAGGTCATTGGTATAGGTCCACCTAAAAGTTCGAAATCCTATGCGCAGCTTTGGGTTTGGCTGGACTATAGACTACACGGAAGGTGAACGGAGCTTCCTGCGTCTTCCAAATAGGTGTCAAGGGCATCAATGCTACATACTTGGCCTCACATAATAGTGAGGTTTTTGGTGGATTAAGGCTCAAAATAAATTGGCGTGCCAATATAAAACGGGGAATACTTTGCCCAAGCGTAGCGTAAGCCTCTTCTGCAGTACAGGACAGGCTCCCCAACCCTAACAGGATCTTGGCACTTCCAACCCTCCCAGAACATGACCACCGCATGCTACCAACCATACGACGAACATACAAAGCTTCATATTATCTTTTGTGGGCTCATGACCCGATGGAGGCCAATGAACGGAGTGTAACTAACCACCCACATCCTTCTTTGATCTGGTCAGGAGACCTAGGAAATACCTCACGGCAGAATCCGCCTTCGCTGTAGTATCGGGAAAATTGTAGAATGTGACCCATCCTAAGTGATATACAAGGAGTGTGCTTCTTCATTCGAGACTTGTGCTAATTGAAGTGAAATCGTTTGCACCAAATTGACCTCTCGAAGACAGTATCCGAATCAAACTCAGAGAGAATTCGGAGCCAAGAGAATCTACGTATGGTGTGCTTCCACGAAACTACGAGCATAGCACCATCTTTGGTCACGAGGCATTTCGCAACAATAGAACTGACGATTTTGATAGGGCAAGGCTCCCTGAGAGAAAATGAGTGTCGGGATGTGTTTGTAAGCCAGACGACGCTGAAGGAGCTCTGCTTGGTGGCTCTCAATTGGAGACACAAGTTTATTACCCGGACGTGGACGCGGTTTAATCCCAAAGGAAATCGGGACGTCGGTGGCTGACCTTGTCCTCATTGAAACGCCTCAATAAAACGATGAGGACCGATGGTTTGGAGGCATAGAAACGCTCCAACGTGACCACGTGAACCACCACTTTTCGGAACTATTACAGACCTGCGTTGGAGAATTACAAGATGCCACTGGGAAAGACCACATAGCTCAACCTCCAACCCGGCTGTATGGGCAATGAAGACCTTGCAGACTTCATCGCAGGAGGCTGAGACAAACTGTCTAGAGGTACGATTAAGGATTTAAACTGGCCAGAGGAGTTACAGCAATAAATTAAAGTGGGCCTGCAATGGTCCAATTCCTCGTCAGCCTCTTCAATAAGATCAGAAAAGCATCAATGACTGCCTTTAGGTGGAGGGTGGGCACCATTGGGTACAGATAAGACTGCATCCGAATAGGCACTAGATATTGGCTAAACATCTCTCTAGACAAGTTTTGAGCCGTCCTTGATTGCCTCTGGACCGGAAATCATGTGATGAGAAGCAAGAACTTCAAAGTCTCACTCTCGGAGGCGTGTGTGTACTATACGAGAAACATCAATAGCGAGATTCAAATCTGACTTTAAATCAACTCTTTAGCTTTCAAGGCACTATCCTCACAGGTTCCTTGTTTTGGTACAGGTTTTGAAACCAATTCAAGCTGGTGGGACCAATTTTATCTTCAAATTTTCTCGGCCTAGATTCAAAGCCCTACGGTTCCGCTCCTGAGGACTTTCCAGAGTTGTACAAGTCGATGATCTGGAAAAAGATTTATTGGCTGATACTTGACCAATTAGAACAAACCATAATTTTGTAAACTTCAAGTCCCACTATAAGCGAAACCCTCCCCTCTGTTAAAGAATTTCTCCCCTTTCCTCTTCTCACCATTTCTTGTATGTCAGCTGTTGTTACAAGCACCGCACAATCTAGGTCTTCAGGCTATATGAGGTAAATACTTGTGAGTACGATAAAAAACAAGTTTTCAGATCTGGCACAAATATTAGGATTCATATGAAGTGTCATAGAAGACTAGATACAAATGTTACAAGTTACAAATTTCGAAACATGGATCCTTGCAAATTGGAATCCAAGATTAGGCAGTACGTACCTCTAGTCAGAAAGTAAATCCCAGTTGAGGCATCATCTGCCGTGAAGCATGTTTCTACACTGTACATAGTAGCCTTATCAGACTCAAAAGGAGGGCCGTTGTGAGTCTTCTCATTCATTTGTCGGCAAAAAAATGATGATGATGTTGTGGAAGTACGCTCAACTCGAGTCTCCAGAATAGTGTACAAGTGCCAATGAATTTACGTTGCTCTCTCCTTTTCCAAAAGAGGACCTATATGACTTTCAAGAGATGGTGTCCGATTTAAGATATTCTCCTCGACCTGGTAATTGATATATGCTTTGCCATATCTACAACGTCAGACTTTGAATGTGAGTTGTACTGATCTCCGTGCCACATGCAGATGTTACATAAAGCTCCCTAACTTGGTCAGGTGCTCAGCTGTAATACAAGCGAGAACGATGCTCGACTTGATAGGCAGGGCGGATAGTCAAACATAACTTTACATACATGGAGGTCAATTCCTCTGCAATGACCTTCGTCTCCCGACAATGTAGGCGGACCCACCCAATATATTCGCGGACAGCCAGGCTCGTTGTGTAATTTGTTCTCTTTCGTCATCGAACACGCCCTGTATCAGGAGGGGGACCTGAATGTTTCTCATCAGATTCTCTTTTCTTCTCTGGGTCCAATCTGCAGGGCAATACAAGCAGTCAGGTCAAATCCAGAACTTAAAAAGGAGATGTGAATGACAACCAGGTCAGAAAGGAGGGTACAATAACAACTGTATACAATCCTTTTCCCAAAATATTGTAACCACATCCTTGTGCTCCTCACAAGATTGCATTACCCAAGATAGTGAAGCTTCACGACGACGGCTTGGAAAACTGATGTATGATTGTGACGCGGACAGGGAACAAAACCACGTTGTAGCAATCTACTTTGAATTTTAGTAAATATCAATGACTTGCTTGTATAGCTATAGAAGGCTTGTACTTGATTCTTGAATGAGCAATCTCAGGCTCTCTAAAGATACTCACTCATTCCGCAACCCAAGAACGAGCCGATGGACAGCTCCTGCGGCTGCGGATGCTGGCGCTACAGCAGCCGCAGGGGCAGCGCGTAGTGCACTAGCAACAGCCGGCCCTGCCCCACCGCGTTGATACAGCTTGTATGGATTTCCAACCAATGAAGAAGCTGTCCTCTCAAGTCCACGAGATATGCTTTCGCGGGCCTGTTGTATGCCTTCGCGTGTATCACCTGGCTGTACAGCCTTACTTCGCCGCTCCCCATTTTCGGCGGTAAATGTACACGGACTCAGCGTTCCACCGACTGCTAGTTCGGTTTGTTGTAGAAATTCATGTGCACCGGCAGCCAGATGCGCTCCAAGACCCAAAACCTCCACTGATATACTTCGAAAGAAAGCCATAGCCCCTAAAGAAACACATATCTTTATTTTAGAAAACAACGACTTGCAAGATCTTTTAATCTGGTTTACCATATTAACAAAGAAGTACTTCAACAACGATCTGGCACTGCCAGACAGTTGTTGAAGTATCCAAGAATTAGACAGTTAGAGTGTAACTCAATGCGCCTAAAACGCACAGTGAGGGTTCATGTCCAACTACAAAGAGCCTATTACACACGACATTTCTTGATGACTAGACACTCCAAACTTCAACAACTATCTAAATAAAAAAAGCTCAATGACAATTTTTCTACTGAAGCACAATAATACATTCTAGTGCTCGAGTTTTCCAAAAGTTGCAAAAAGGTACCTTTGCGCATCCCCAAGAGCAGACGACGATCTTTCTTGTAATGCTCAACTGGAAGCGCGACCAACTTTGCGGCACCAGAGCCCATTGCATAGAAGGGTCGTATTGGCGCCGCACCTTTGACAAATTTGTGCACCTTCGGAATTAACGGAAGAAGGTCAAAATAATCTCTACGGAGATAGTGAAAAGCATATCAACAAAAATCACCCAAAAAAATGACAACAAGAGCAAAGACATAATCTGCACACCTCCGAATAGAATCGCAATAACAAAATCGCAAATTCAGTGGAATGCAAGGTCATACGTATTCACTCCTATATTCTCAAGCAAAGACACAGGAACGTTCAAACAGCAAGTCGCTGTGCTGACTGACATGATATTGACCAATTCTTTCATCAATTGCGGAAGCTGACAACCCGCAGCGGGTAAAACATAGACACAGAAGGTGACTTCTGTCAACAAAAGCCCAATGTAAAGCTAAGTCGCATGAGCTCGCAGCAAGAAAAGCACAATCGATGACACAGGACGTTTGCACAGCTTCGACTTGGACCTGATTTTGCGAGATATCTTCAAGCCATTCTCCCACCATCACACCAGAGAGACTACTCCAGCCGTGGACCCCTGTCGCTTTGACATGCTTAAGATTAAGCTCTATTCCCTGCAATACTCCACATCAAAAACCTTAATTCAGGTATTGCGTCACCTTTCTTATAAAAGTTATATTATAAACCAAGAAAAACGCTTTACGATTGACCTACTCATGGTGGGTGAAGGAAAGAGAGAGGACCTTCCAAGATACAAAGTTCAAGAGCTCGGCATAGTTGCCCTTTCCTAACGAGCTGATATCAACTCGTCGAGGGACATAATCGACACGTATGGTCAATGGGCGCATCTCACAAATCTAATCTCGCACAAACACACACCAAAGCACACGAGGTCAGTGCTCTCTCGTGCTCATTGCAAAATGCCAAATTGCTCCTCACAACAATTACTTCAGATTTGGGTAAAAACAGACCTGAAAAAAAGGAAGTAGTTCTTCGTCGGTCATTTCATTGATATCAGACGACACATCAGATGCAAGGTTTGACGTGGAATCGGATAGTGGATGGACTGCTTCATCTCTTGGGGTTACATCAGTTGTGCCAGATCGGTGTTGAGAAAAAAATTGTATACAGAAATCGATGTGTCGCTGGTCCAGATGCAGACTTATTGGGAGCAAGCTAATTAACAATCTGCAAATCATGCGCGAAATCAATACGAGTAAATTGAATATGAATTCATACTGAAAACTTTTCAAACATAACCCTTCATTCAAAATCAGAACTTCTAACTAATGAGAACTATCATTACAGTGCACCCTTTCAAGAGCATATTAAATAAGTTTCAAGTATATCAAGTGGACTAGTCCATATGCCCTACTAGGCATGTAGTCACGAATATTCATTGTGAACGATTACGAAAGGTTATAAAATATATAGATGCATAGACTGGTATCTGCATACAAACTCCACTATCTTAGTCCTCTGAACATTCTAGGAGTTGAGATATGTCCATATACACACCTATATTCTTCCAGTGGGGCAGTAGGGTCCGGTCGAACTGCATCCATCTCGATTATAACTGCTTGCGCGGATGATTCCCGGGGACGACCTTTTGAACGATTGTAACTTACAACCTGAGGATCAAAAGATGACTCATTATGTACCGACACTGATGAGATCCTGTAAGCCACAAAATTCAAAGAAGGGCATATGCGACACGATATCTTCCATTCCACGTTATTTTACTCCTAATGGATAGCAAGCTGTGAGCGTGGTATTGCCATGTGTGAGCGTGACCCCTGGTAGAGGATTAAAGACCATAAGTTTCTCCATTTTAACACTGCTGGCCACATCTGACACCGCGAAGTGAAGGCAATCTCTTGAATAAGATCGTGCGATGACGTTAGTATTACAAACGACCAGAGCCAATGTGATGCATCTCTCGTGCCAATCTTCACATACTGCCTGATTGAAGACTTTGGTTACATATCTCTGGTTTGGATGCAAATTCCAGACGTAAATAGAAGGCTTGGAAGAAGGATGCTAGTGACGTTGAAATACTCACCGTCTTCCAAGGAGCATCGTTGCTCTCATCATAAACGGCTATGTCCCGAACGGTGACGACAAGTCTCGACGCATAAAGTCCGACTGCCGGGAAGGTATCGTACTGAACTCTCATTTCGTTCAACAAAACCTCCAGACACACGTTTGACTGACGCCCATTTTCTTCTATGCCTGAATGATACATCGAATCCTTATCATACGTCCTACCTGTTGGCCAATCAGAACCTCCATACAAGCGCCACTTCGCTTTGAGATCACTAAGCAGAACCCTCCCGACAGAATTAGGATACTTCTTAGGGAGACTCGGAGCTTTGTTAGGAGTTTGACCTTCCTTACTCGGATGTTCTCTTATAAATGCACCTTGTTGATCAGCATCCGAGCTAGGTCTCCCTTCAGAAACATGATTTTCCAGCACTTTCAAGACCTTTCCAGCGTACCATCCACCTCTTCCTTCCACCTCGCGTCCGCCCCCTGAACTGCTTGAGCCTCTCGATGGTCCACCTGATGGCCGTGGTGATTCACCAGATTGCTTGGAAAACCCGTCCCCGAGTAGAGACCCTTGTTTTTGCAGGGTAATGTAATAGTCCTCTATGAACTTCGGGGGGCCGGCGTTATTTAACACAGGGGGTTCCTCAAGAACATCTTGCTGATTCTCTGAAGTTGGAGTAGAAGGTGAACTTCTCTTAGGTTCGTATGCATCTTGTCTTCTGTCGATAGAATCATTTCTATCCATAGAGCCCACTCGACTATGAAGTAAACTATAGGCACCACTGGAGAGCTGATCATCTCCTCCTGCAACAGAAGAAGGTGAACTTTTTACACGTGAGAAGGCATCTTCCAAAACCCCTTCAAAGAGATTGATTTCACTGAAATTCTCGTTGACACTGTTATCCATTTCACCGGAAGCTCCTATCCTGATGGTCCTGGTACTGGGACTACCAGAGCTGGATCCCCTTCGATCTATGTTGTTGTTGTGCAGATTTACGCTTGTAGGGTCGATTTCTGGGGCGAACAGTTGTTGAAGTTGAGCAACAAGGCGACCGAACGCTGCTGTTGTATCATGACAGGTTTCAAAATGTAACTGAGAGTTGGCACACTCTACTTCCCACTGACGCCCGTCCTCACAGTTGATCCTCACTAAAGCCTCCATGACCGCTTCTTTGGCAATCTGCTTCCACAAAATATTATCTGTCAGGATATCAGAACATATGGATAGAGTCTAATTAAAATTGAAGACTGACCTCGCAAAGCCTGCATTTACAGATAAAACAAACGATTTGAAAAAGAAAGAAGGTTAATGTTAACCTGCACATATCCTGTACGCTTCATGGAGGCGGTAGTGTAATCTGATGTCAAGTGCTTCCTCAAAGTTGTATCCAGTAAGTGAAGTGCCACATCTCTGAGCCATATATCGAATTGCTCACCCTTCGCTTGAGGAACTGCACTGCTTGATACTCTTAGAGCTGCAGCTGCTAGAACACATGCTACTGGTGCATGCATTTGTGATGACTCAAGCGACGAGCCGGCACCTCGTCTAAGTGGATCTATTTCTGCTCTTAAGCCTGGACCGATCATTGCCTCGGAACCAGGCTCATAGCACAATGCTGCATCTTGAAAGTCGAGGAGAAAAAAGAGGTGGGAAGTGGAAGATGAGACACTTTGATCATCCGTAGATTTGTATTCAGCCGTTCCAGCAGACAAAGAATCAGTGCAAGCATCTTCCAAGTCTTGGTTGTTCTCAGCGGGGTTCAAAAAAGAAGAGACAGCTAGCAGCCAGTCGAGACGACCACCATGGGCTACGAAAGTGCATCCACGAATGGTTCCAGTAAATATAGCACTACCCAAAAGTTCGTCAGCAGGTTCTTGATCAGGCCATACCATATAGGTAAGGGACAATCCTGATGTCCCTGCAGCTAAGGCATTGCCCCCTCCTCCGTCACCTCGACCTAGTGCTTTGTTTCTGCAAGACAAAAGCAGCACCTCTGATTTTTCATCGGCACCCATAGTGCTATCTTCCCGATACGAACCAGTGACCTGACCTTCTTCATGATGAACCCATAAGTAAGAGATTTCAGAAACTCCCTCAATTCCAGTCACACAGAGCACCTGAAGCTTCTCAATGTCGAAGTTGATGACCTCCCAAGGTTTTGGACAATGGATGGAGGTAAGACCCAAAGACTGAGGTGGAAGACACATGTCAACATCGACTTTACCACATTGAAGAAGCACACAGATCTGAGGTCTATTAACCGTTTGCAAGTCGGTATGACGTTCGGTGGTATTAGCAAGATTTCTGGATTCCCCAGAACTCTTCTCTTCACTATCTCCTACGAGTGATTCTGTAAACCGTTTCAAAAGCTCCAACACCCGAGTATAGTGAGGTTCTGCAAGGTGCAGCTGCACTTGCGGGAATTGGACTCGAACCACCAACGAAGAGCTAGATATAAGCTCCTTTCGGAGTTGTGAGTTCTGCTCTTCCACGACTTCTGCCGCAGTTGTGGCAGCAGCATATTCCGAATTGCTTCCCCCTATGCCTCGGCCTCCATCAGCTTGTATTTGTTGAGCAGCTATCCCATCCCACGTCTTCTTAGCCAACCTGTTACCATCCTTCCCAGCGTAAAACCACTGGATCTCCACAGAGATACCTTGATCGGGTGGTCTGTCAAGAGTTGGTAACGCTCCCCAAATCGGATCATTATAAAAAACTGTGGATATCTCTTTCACAGAAAAAGGGGTAATATCACCTGGCATGGGCCTTTCTGATGGACTAATATCAGTTGATATCAAATTAGCTGCAATATCTTCAAAACGCAATAATACAGAAAAACCCGCTCCACCAGTCACAGTCATGTGCTTCTCTTCGACATGTTTGTACACAAGCATAGGTTGGATCACTCCATTATTAAGGGGAGGGCCTCTTAAATCTAGTCCAATGAAGTCTTCTTGTATAACAGAGCAGAGAGACCGAGTGTCGGCGGGAAAGCAAACAATGACACGGATGCTTGATAAATAAACGTTCAGCGGGCAAGACATTCTCGGAACAGCATGTGTGTCCTCATTTGCTGCACTTTGTGGCTGATAACTCACGCCCTCTCTACACCCTCCATCCGTTCCATCTCTTGGCCCCGTCATATCTTGGATGTTCAAGTCGAGTGCAGCAGTCCTTTCACAACTAGCTGCAGATTCTTCATACCTCCGTAGAAGTGACTCAATCCTTTTCAACGTGCGCAAATCAAGCCAAAAAACCAAAGGCTGCAAGAAGCAGTGGACTTCAGTTAAGCTGAAACTCGTTTTGGACGTAGACTCAAGCGTCAAAGTTACACGTGCACCATATTCTGGTCCAGTATGTATTGCTACCAAACGTTTCCTCTCGAGGTTTCCTGGTAGAACATTCTTCTCGACCTGCTGTTGAGATCCACCCACACTTTGTCTCCCCGCCTTCCAATCATCCGAGGTCCCCTTTTCGCAACTAGAAGTCGTACCTCCTACGGAAGAAGAGCCTAAAGTTGCGGGAAATGGAGGTAGAGCAGTTTCTATAGATGCTTGCAAAGATCGCGTATGGTTGAGATATGATTCTCTATCATCTTGCCAACTTTGTGTCCCGGTCGTTTTCAAACTTTCTCCAAGTTGTTCGACTTCAGAAATTTCCAAAGTCTTTATAGTTGTAGTGCAATCCACTTGATTTGGAGAAACCTGCAGAAAAAAGCACTCATACTAGGGTCAATCCTTGAACCTTCCCACCTAAACTACAACAGTTAACAAAGGATGAAACTTTGAATCAGGAGTTCGCATGCAAAGAAAAGTGACCCCATATATTACCGTAAAAATACAATAAATTCACAATCGGCTGATACCCATTTCAGATAAAGAATAACGTCAAGATTTTAGCGGACTCCTTGGTACACCATAAGGCAATCTGGGCTACTACTATATGAAAAGACAATGGAATTAGATTACTACCGTCGCAACAAACTGAATGTCTGACAAGATGGCATCCAAATGCTCTTCAAAAGAGCCTCCCAAACTTGACGCACTCCTTGGCTCTGATGTATCCTCGGGGTGGAAGAAGTCATAATACAGTTGGAATGATACTCCAGCCAGTTTCGCCTTTATACTGTACTCCACTTGTTTGAAATTATCTGTGACTGGCGAGCAGAACGGTCAGAACCCATCTGCATTATCTTGACAAACGAATAATCATAAAAACATCCAGCAGCACGCAAGCCCCATAATGGAACTGACGACTAGAGACGTACCAGGAGGAATTATTGTAGAGCCCGTTGCCAAGCTTGATGCAGCTGTAATTGCACTGAAAGCTGAGCGAGGCCAACTCCAGAGGCCACTAGCTTGACTTTGTTGGATGCTCCGAGTACCATCAAAGCACTCAAAAAATTCATCAACACTGAAATGTCCGAATCATAAAAAACGACGAGTAAGCATGAAGCTCAAGCCTTTCTTCAATACAGACAGTGAATCCAGTAAGCAAATGTCATTCGGTATCCAGACACTGACATGGACATCAACCAGGCACGTGAGGTTCAACAAGATTGCAAATTGGAAGAGTATAAAGTACTGGTTAAACCTCGCTGCCAAGTCTGCATCCCGTACTTCTACGTCCTTTCTTTGACCTTCACTTGCACCTGAGTACATCCAGTTCCAGGAAATGAACTTTGTAAAAGGTAATAATGACGAATTCGGCGGTGCTGCTTCTGACACTTGTCCACCATTGATAGGAAAGGGTTCAGCAAATGATCTGTAGATGTCCCTGCTCCTGTCTATGCTGGCAGCAACATAACCTCTGGTTTTGCTCAAGTCTCCAACACTCACCGCACCCTGAGTTGATGGACTCACAAATGGAAACGAATTGCCCTTATCCATATCTGTTTCCCCTACTGCTGTAAAAACCTGCACTAGACTGAAAAGCTGACGGATTTCATGCGGTGAGGCCTTCAACTTCACAGTGCCAATCATGATGTCCGCGTGGAACTTCGGTACATCGACTGTTCCGTCTTTCCAAGGCACACTAAGTTGAATGGTTCCAGTGATGCCATCAAGATCTCCATCGAGAATTTTTACAGGCTTGCGTAGAAATGAAGGCTGCGAGTGATCCATGGTTATCGACTCTTCCTCTACATCCCTGGACACTTTAACCTTCAAAACATCTGCAACCTCAACAGTCGCACCTTCAAATTTGACAACTTTGACGAGCATATTTGGCTCTACTTCATTGGAACCTTTTCCGGTATCATCTACCTCAGGCGGCGCAGTTTCGACTCCATATTCCAGACGTGGAACTCGAACGACAAGAATACTATGAAATACTGAGGAGCGGTGAGAAGACTTGCGTCTGTCCTGCTCATGTTCACAGGTCCCATTCCCAGACGCCAAATTTTGTTCCTCAAAAACAATAACCAAATTTGTTACTTTAACGCGCAAATTTAACAGTATTCTCTCTACCATCTGCGCAATCATCCTGACACCATCATCCACACCCAAGTATGCACCACCTCCTCCAGCACTCTGACAATACCCGTCTCCATCTCCGCCCAGATAGTCCTGGCTATCAACAAATCTTACGGCTTCGATTCCAGATGCTGCAAGTGAATCATCTGCACCATTTTGACTTGACGGGCGAGGAATCACGACCAGCTTCAAATCCTCCAACTCGATCATACAAGATTCATCCGTCAAGACTCTCAACGGGATCCTGGCCTTAACACTGCCAACGATTCCTTCCTTGATAGCAACTGCTGCATACCCGAGCTGGACACGGAACGTACTCGGAAAATGAGAATTATGTAGAATGTACTCAACCAAACCTTCACAAATCTTCAAATGGCATTTCAAAGAACAAGAACTACTCAGAACTGTAAACCCTACGTTCTACTACGAAAGGACGATCTCGTCGAGGTTCCTGATCAGCGACAGAAAAGAAAGAAACAAACATTGTTCATAGGCGATTCTTAACTTTCCTGATATAATCCTACTTAAATTACGACGAGGGCAAGAAATATTGCCATAATGCTCTGTATCCTTCGAAGATCAAACACCTGTGAACATGTCACTGCAACCCTTGTCCCACGTCTGAGAATTCCCAGTTACCTGATCATTTAGATAGTCCGTGTTAAGGTGTAGGTCCTTGAGTACAATTGTGCCCAGTCCTAGCTGCACGTCAAGCTGATCCAAGTCTACCTCGCTTCTCAGCAACCGCCCTAACAGGCGTTTGACGAAAAACTTGCAAACTCTCTTGAAGACCCATTGCGACCACATCTTGACGATGATCTTCGTCTATTACGTCGTCAAGAGTTCAAAAGTACTCGCCACCTGCACAACCACCAGGAGAAAAGGAGCCAGGGCGACGAGAACTATCTCGGACATGAAAAACTCGTCCTCTGCGTTATTGATTGCGCTCCGCTTCATTTTTTTTCTTGAATTCTTCTTATGGCTCCTCCTGTTCCTCCTCTGCTGCTTATGACGAGGACCTTCTTCCCGTTCCCACTCGCTTCCCCTTAAACCAAACGGGAGTTCCCGTCGTGGGGAAGCCTTCACAATTCACAGACGCAGAGGAAGTGCTTCAAATTCAGTGCGCGAAGAATTCTTGGAGACGACCGACGAGGCGGGAAACCAGGTGAACGACGGCCCGGAGGCGAAGAGCAGAATTTCGGTCCTCCATTCCTCAGACTTCTCCATTTGAAAATTCACGAGCCCCCACACGTCAGACCTTCAATTTACACGGTTCACGCGGTGAGGAAGAAGATCACCTGTGGCTTCATTTTCGGCCCCTTAGCTCGGAATTGGCACCGCCACACACTATCACCTTGCTTCAGCGGCCGGTCCTGCAAATAACACCAGTTTTCACAATCCATACCACCTTCCGTGCGGCTCCCCCGCAATTCCCTGCGGCGAGTATCTCCGAAAATACCACACTCATCGAAATACTCTACCTGGTCTGACTGATGCTACTCTAGGGTGCCTTCTCGTACAGACCGACTCTGCCACATTCTTGTCACCACTCACTATATACAGTACAACATTTCCCTCGATCTTGCGTTCCATGACATCTTCCTTCTTGTATTCCGGGTGATTCACCCTCCTGCGAACCGAAATCGTCTACCGGAAACTTCGCCGGTTTCCTTCTCGCTCGGTAGCACCGCTGCACAGGTGACGTACTAAAAATACGTCGACGTCAGACGAACCTTATGTGGACAAACTGGTGTCCAAATGGAGACAAGCGGAGCCGTGACCTTTAAGCTATTAATAGCCCCAATGGATTTCATATGGATTTCCCCATGGCTCTGTCTTCTGCGGTTTCGTGTAAATTCGTCTCTCCTCCTTCACGTCTTCGTTCGCACGTCGGCGGTGGATGCTCAAGGAAGCATTTTCCAGGCAGAATCAAAGGGTCTCCGTAGACGCAAGAGCTCGGTTTGATTATCGATCCGAAAATGGGGTGAGATATAAAACCTCCAACTCGCCTTACACAACTCTTTAGTCATCGGGTACGTGAAAAGTTCCGATCCTAGATGGAGTCTGCGTGGCAGTGACATGGCACAGAGGTGGCATACATTCGTTGCTTCGATCTGGACGTTGGGTGCTCTGCAAATTTATGAGCCGTGCCTGGATCGTTGTAATGAATGTTTCTGTGAAATTATGGGAGAAAGTGTTCCTTCGAGATGGGATATGCGGAAAAGCTACCTTAGCAGCAAGTTACATGCCTCTTCAACTACATCATTGGTTAATCAGGGAGTGTGCAAAAGTGCAATGAGCATCATGAGAACTCAACTGCGTTTCAAAGATTAGAGAGTTAACGCGCATAGTGATTGACATAGTCTGTGCTAAAAATCCATAGAAGTTATCATTCGCTAAGTTCCTGAATCCGGACTTTGTACTAAGAGTCTTGTAGACGTGCGCTGGGTACACATACTTTTCATGGACTGCCAAGACTGGCGGAATATTTGTAATTTTAGTCTGAGAAATTTTTTAAGATAGCATTCTACACTGCTGTCATCACTGAGTGCAACAGGTGGTCTGCAATTTATCCATAGGAATCTATTATTGTTATCCACATAGCGGAGTGCGGTCCAATATTGCGAAAAGAGTGCCTTAATAATTCAACTGCATGCTCTCGATTAAATAACTCCGATTTGATGAGTTCTGAGTTATTCTTTCCATTGTAATCTTTTGAAATACAAGCACAAGATGGAAAGAGGATTGTTGTGATGCAATAAGAATATTAACATCAGATTCACTTCGCCTTCCATCTGCTGTTCTTCACCAAAGATTTTAGCATCATTAGATGAACAAAAGAAATTTCATAAATCTCTAATTTCGTGAGAATATAGCGTTTTCGTTATGATTTATGAATAACTTTTTTGAAAATTGAAAGGCGTAATGAGTTAATTTGGTAAGAAAAGTGCATCATATGTCCATTCAAATTAATTTCCAGAAACAGGAGGTAATGATTTTTCATACTCACAATATACTGCAGTTATTTCCGAAGTTATCAGTATATTCTGGTTGCAATTAGTGTCTTGAAAACACTAATTGTATGCAGAAAAAACGACAGAAACGGAGATGAATTGTCCATTTTTTAAAATAAGATATAAATGCAATATAAAGAAAGAAAGATACATACTTGATTATAACCCTGTTCATGATATGGACTTCCTGTATAGCCTTCACCATTCGGAGGCTTTGCCTATTTTTTCGAAGGACTTCTCTGTTCTTATCTCTAGGTCTACAAGAGCTCTGTAGTTCTACCACATGTATTCTTTGCCGATATATTATCGAGTACACCCATTCCATCAGGAGTAATTACCTTTGAAGCAGGTATGAGCTTTGGGCACTTGAAAATTTCTAATGTCTTGCACCCACACGTTATTGTTTCTTCTCTTTTGTATGCAATTGTTGCCTTTCGCTTAAATTCTTGTTCAAGAGTCAATGGTGTGAGAATGAATCCATGCAGAACAAAGATGCAAAGAGAGCATATGGCTAACGATAATAATAACGATGACTTCTAATATCCATTAACGTGCTTAATTTAGAGACTACAGTATTATGGTCGTGGTAAGGATATGGCACTAATATACATGACGTGAAATCCAGCAAACTTGGAACGCAACACAAGCCCTGAATTCATCCCGAAGAAAGGACACATTGCGCCTGGCCCTGTACAAGGGACACACCACAGAACTGTAACTTAAAGAAAGGACAAACTGTGTCTTGAACATTCCAGCGCGGTGAAGACAAACTCACGGAATAGATAAAATAGCCGAGGACGTCCTGCACACCGTGGACAGTATCTAAATCCCGCGGCCTAACTTTCTAACGTTCATAACTTTGCAGGGAATTTAGAAGTCAGGGATCGGCGACTTAGCAGCCGTTGGCCAAAACCCGCTGCCAGTACGTCGTCGGCTTCAGGAGAAGGCAGCCTCCACGGTCCAGTGACAGTGTGACAGAGGGCTACGGTACGTACGAGACTGGTCACGAGTGCAACATTATGACGACTTTTTGCTGCTGACCAATGGACCGAAGAATCTTTGACTGGTAATGAATTAGCAGGATGATGCAAGTCTCGCCCACGAGCTGCGAGGCCACTTACTGCTTTGTTTGTTTCCCTATTCTTGAAGGTTTGGGCTTGAAAAAGGCGTAGGGAACGAGATTGGTGATGCTGTCGGTGCTGAGAGGATGTGGAAGGTGCGACTCTGTTTCCAGTTGCACGTTCGTGCTGTTCCGTTTTCTGGCAGCTATTGGAAGCTGACTTTTTGTCGTGCATTTCGATAAGTCTAGGTCTGTATGGCGTTTGAGATAGGCTGGGGGGTTGTGGCTTTTGCTTTTTGTTTTTGTGAGGGCTCTCATTTGAGTGAAGAGTTACGGGAAGCTGATCTTTCTAGGGGAATTTTCAGACGAGCCTCTGTGGAAATATCCTTCCCTTATTTTTGTGGATGCGTTGTTTGTGTCGTCGATTATCTAGCATGATGCGAGAGTGTGTTGTTCAGAAAGTAGACTTGCACATTTAGTTTTTGGGGGAGATGCCGTCAGATATGAGTGCTAGTTTTGGTCAGAAGTTTCAATTTGGATAATGAAATAGAAAATGTGAAACCGGAGAGATTTCCGAGTAGTAGAAGTTCGATGGTTCTTATTGTCTGATCTCGACACTTGACGAAAGCTGGAAAAAACGCCACATTTCTTGCGCTGTGAGTGGAGGAGAGTCTGCATTATCACCTCAAAAATGCCAAAAAAACACTACAAAGGCCTTTTCTGGCATCGATTGTTCGAAAGGTTGAGGACGGAAACTTAGACTGACATAATGCCGGTTGGTAACGATGATGCAGTGAGTAGGTTTGACGGACGATGGTGGGAATGTGTATAGCGCTCGTTCAAGGTGGTTTTGTACTGCAGTAGCGAGGACAATTTTCAGTTTTTGTTCCACGTCAACTGGAATACGAGGTGTCAGGCTCTTGGGTTTGAACCCCAATTGACAGGAAAGACGGAGAGGTAGCACTGCGGTGTGCGGATTCAAGCCAGCTTTTAACCTCGAACGTATTTCCGTACAGATCAGTCCACTGCCGTTGTCCTGGTTGCTAGGGTACTGATAACAATCAAACATTCAATCAAATCTGAATTCTTCCGAGAAATCAATGTACTTTGTGATGTATGTTTACAGACGCTCTGCCACTGCGCGAGGTCTATGGACTTCTGATTGTGACAGGCACACAAAAGTGTAAACAGTATTTAGGCGCGCCGCAGGAAACTTGAAGGTTGGGACGTTTAGATCTAATTACATGCTATCGAACCGAATATTTCTTGGCCGAAGGTGAGATTATAATGCCGTGTTTTTATATTGCAGGTTGCCCTATCGGGTCAGAGAATTGCGTTTTGTTCGAAATTGATTCCATGCCTGGCCAAGCACTTCCACCGCCTTGCACCTTTTTGAATGTGGGCCAGGTATGTCAGTTAAGTTATCGCAAGCTGACCACAATGAGGACGAATTCAACTTTGATTACTGGTGCCAGTTCTACCAGGAATAAATTCTTAGGAAAGTTCTTTCGCTAGTGCGGAGAAACAAAAGGCCGGGCGTTTATTAGGGTTTTCTCATGAGAGAGTATATATTTTGGTGGTCTGTTGGACGAGTGTTAACATATATGAATGTCAAAAGTTTTCTAAGTGTGGATTCGCATCTCCCTCGCTTGATCCGGTATTCGCAGGCCTTCACTGGTACACAGAATGTGTCCAGTGGACAGAAGGACGAGGCATGGAAAGTGAATGTTAGATTACAAGGATGTGACATACAAAAGGGTTACTTGTGTGGAAGCATGGAAGCTCTGAACGTCCCATCTGCCGAAACACCAGTTAATGTCCGAAACCTAAATGACCTTCTATTGTGTTTCTCCTCCTTCCACGATAGGTCCAGTTGGGCAAGCCTTTTGTTTCAAGAGGCAGCCTGTGTCTACATTATGGAGATTTCACATGTGATCCTATTGGTTCCAAGATCTAATATCCTCGAATCTCTGTAGCTCATCCAGGTTTTCTTTTGTTGATATTTGGTTCATTTCTAGGTGTTGCTGTACTGCCTCGAGATTAATCGAGGTTTGTTTAGATTTTACAGTTGTATATAGCAACAGGTTTCCTATAAATTATAGCGTGCTTACATAATTATTTGGCCTGAATTGAGAAGAGCATATTGTCAGAGCTGATCAGTATCCATAGATTTATTGTTCGTATCACAGCAGCCACCTTCTTTCTTAATATTTGTAAGTAGTCAGAATTATGAATTTAATCGATTCTCACCTGTAATTAAAGCGTTCTCCAGTTCCATCTGCCTTCGAGGTTACCTGATCAAAGTTGAGGGGTCTCACCAAACGCGGACGAGTGGCAGTTTTCAACATCATTTTTAGTAATTCCTGGAAATGCTGACGGAAGTCTGTAATGTGCAGGTGGTGACATTCTGGGAAGGTGAAATTGTGGATAACAAGAACTATACATTTTTCACCGGCCAGTGGGATGCGACGTAAGTCTTGATTGGCTTGCCGAGAATTTCTTTCAGAAGTCGGATGTCTTGACCGACGATCCTTTCTTCTAGAGGCAAGCTAAGTCTGTACATATATACTTGTTCCTTAGCGTTAGGGATTTCCCTGTGGTAACTAAAGATCATCAAAATTGTACTTTCAGGCGGGACACGGATGTTAATCACTGGGACAAGTTCCCTTCCTTCGCTGCTCTGAAGGTACTAAAATTTTTCTATTATGTGACTTCCCGTTGATATGGGTGATTCGATTCTTTGATTATTTAGAAAATGGTGACGTTCAGGTGACTTGGCCAAAATAGAAAGGTGGGCATGGTAATGATGACGGTCAGCAATCTTTTTTGAGCGTGGTCGTAGGTTGCCTCTGAAATTTGAGCCTGAACATGATGTTCCACGAAAACCACAGGAAGACGTAAAGAGAGATGGCGGTCGCTCCGTGGATCTGGCAAACTATCCATTCATGTTTATGGTAATGTCTTTGAATTGATAGTCATATTCATGGCGTTTCGTAGCGTAGTATACACCTCGTTCATGAACTAAAGTGTTCAATGTGATATTGATGCACTGATCTTGTTTACTGTAGATCTGAGCAATCAAAGGAACTGTTCTTAATTGTCTTCTGTGAAGTGTTTTGCTTATAATTGTTTGTCGTCTGGTTGCCGCAGAGATGGAAAGAGAAGTTCTTTGTGAACGTTGGTACCGATTGTGGGTTGACAATTGCAGGGTTCTACTACGTGTGCTTTTCCAGGAGCAATGGCTCAGTCAATGGATTTTACTACGATCCAAACAGCAGGTATGTAACTGAGCCATTAACTGCGTCTGACATGCTGCCCTGGTTGACATGAGTTAAATCGAATCTTGTTCATTTAGAAGTTCGAAGTCTTCAGCTAACTGAGCCTTGAGGATTCAAGGCGAGAATGGTAATGACTCGACGTGCTGCCGTAGAATTTTTACTCTGGAGAGTCGTGCAGAGCATAACACCGATTCTAGCTTTGGTTATTCTGCAATGCTAGTGTACTCCTCCTTTTCTTCTCCATCTGACGACACCAAAAAGGAGATAACAGTATATTTCGCATGATGTATAATTACACATCGTATAAAACCCGAGCTTTTTAGGCAGTGGGTATTTTTGCTCATCAGTATAATCGGGTGTTATACAAATGCCCCTTCTGAGGTTTAACTTTGAGTTATTCTGCAGTCCCTATCAGAAGCTTGAATTAATGGCAACAAATGAGGGGCGTAGTGGCTACAGCTTTGCTACCTATAAATTTCAATGAGGACGTTTTCTTATGTCAACAGGTAGTCCATCATTCCAATTCTTTTGAGTCTCAAGTTATATATTTATGTACACAGTGGGGAGACTCAACAAGCAGCTTCAATCCATTACCTAGACTGACCCCACATTGATGCATATTCCAGGAAGAAAGTTGCACTTGAAGCTAGATAAATAGCTCAAAGATTCGCCACAACACATACCGAATCGACTGTGGGCTGCTTTTTGAGACCAGTAGTTGCAGCGCTGTATTTCTAGATGTACCAAATAGAACCAATATCCTCTTTGATCGACTGCAGAGAAGCTTGCGTCTCTCAGCTTGTGTTCATCATGATCTCCGTGGTGAACGTGTCTTGCTGCAACTCTTCTGGTTGTTGGTAAAGTTTTCCTTTATGTAGACCAGTTAGTTGTATCGCTGGGAGCAAGCAGATGCCAAAAGATCTGCACATATTCGCTGTAAAATGTTCCTTTGTTTCCTGCACTGGAATAACTGAAGTTGAATGTGTTTTCCGGGTTGAGATCTGGCTCACTGCTTTCCTGTGTTTAATAGCAGTTGAGATCAAAAGCGTTTTCTATCTCGAAGAAACGTTCTTGATTGCACTGGCAGACTGCTGACTTTGTGCAGTCATTCATGTCAGAAGCCAGATTTGTACATAGATCAGCTAAAGCCATGAGTTTTTCACTGTCAAGTTGATGCCCCGCAGTTGGACAGTTGTTGTAAGACAGGGACTAAGTGATGTCTTTTTTCACCATGACAATAAATCATCAGGCGTTGTATAGGGCTTGTGTCTGCCTGTCAGATTTTATTTATTCTTTGAAGGTCTGTAAGTCCCTTGACTTCACATAATGCGATTGGTGGTTGTCGAACTCATTTTTTTCCTATTCCTCATCAATATGTCGTCGATGAAATTGGGTTAGGAGCGCTGTCGGAACATTTCTGGAAAGGTCCTCGGTTTTCGGTCTATCATGAGGTGTGACTCTAAGATGCCTACGCTGACAAAGCAGCACCTATATCATTTATGGTTTCACGAAAGGAGGCACACATATGTTCTTTCGCCGTGCAGTAAGCTTGTCAGCAAACGCAGTCCAGAAGTTTCGCAGGATTTGAAGTAGGAAGAAGTTTTGTTCGTTGGAAAATATTGTGCAAAACGGCAGGGTACTGAAAACATTTCACTTGACTGATCCTTGTAAACTACCATTAGCCCGGGAGTGAAATCTGGCGAATAACAGCTGGGCTTTATACGTATTGAGCTACTAGACTCATTAGAGAGTTTGGTCCTGAAAGCTGTGATAGGGTAAGCTACGTTGTGGGCTGTACTACGTAACCAAATCTAAGAGGACTCGCCAACGACTATGTGGCGAGTCGTAGGCGAGTGACGGAGGCCTTAATCTTTGTACCATGTGCAAATCTGAAAAGCTTTGTATTTATAAATCTTGATAAGACTACATGGCTCGATGTAGTTAGATTCAATGTATCGATATCCATATGTTGTCAGGTGGTATGATGATCAATTAGCTAAATCTATATCTGCGGACCTACAGATCTTGAGGAAAAGAAGTTGGCCGTGAATTTGTATGTTCAGAAAGATGAATTGGGAGAATCTTCAATGTTGTCCTGTTCCTTGGTTCAACGTTTACAAACCACCGAACGCCAGGTGTTGATTAAAAATGCTTTTGGTTAAAAACGCTGAAAGCAAGAATACCTTTTGATCCATTTACAAGCAGGCTCTTAGCGATTATGATTGACATACAAGTTGTTATTTGCAAACTGGCCAATCTGGAATAGGTTAAAGATGAGCAAATAACCCATTGACCATTCGCTCCCTAAAAAATCACATTGAGTATGATGTGAAATACCCCATGACACGTCATTACTGATGACTCCCCCAGTTCCCGAAGGAGAACTAACGAATTTCTTGTACACTTAAAGGGAGCATGATCAGCATGCCTGATTGAAGAAGGTAATTTTTTCTTTCATTTTAGCTGACTCAACAACCGTGCTTCGAATCCCTTTCTATTGTTAATGATGGTAATGTGAAATCCAAAGTGTCCCGCCTCATATAATATGAGATAACTCCACACTCATATCGTCGAAGTAACTTGTTTAAATTCAAGAATACTTTGCTGCAAAGTATATTATTAAAAAACACTTGGTGTGATGAGTTAATTTTTTTACTTCGTCACCCTTTAGATTTGATTTTGTAACTGTAAAATTGCATCGTTAATTCTTAGCCAAAATTAACCAAATTTTAGTTTCTCAAACCTTCTAAAAAAATAATAAGACATCTATCTAATAGTATATCATATCACATAATAGTATATATTCACATATTTATCTAAATCATTCTATGTTATAAATTCAATATTTGTAAACAACCAAAAACGAAAAATTGTGTTAATTTTTACAAAATCAATATGAAGATTGTAATCTTTGTTACGAATGGTTTGAATCCATCTAAATGTGAAATTTCAATCAAAATTTATGATTATTGAAAGGTAAAAGTTACTTTTAAGATGATTTTAAACTGAATTTCACAACCAATAAGCCACCTAAAGCAAAATTCAAAATACGATTGCAATCAATTATCTTTCAACTCAATTTAAAGTTCAACGCAAGTATGAATTGTACACTCTCTCTTGGTTAAAAATCTCCGAACCCAAGTGATATTTTAAAATATATATATATATATATATATATATATATTCAACATTAATTTATTAGAGGGTATTTGAGTTTTACTCCTTTCAATATTCCAATTTTATTAATCTTCTATATGCCCTCCCCTCCACTTCTCGCCTTGTAATTCAATCTACAATAATATTTCACAAATGCTTTGAAAACTACTCAAAATCTCATAAACTTTGTCATAACTCGAACCCAAAACCAAAGCTTTCATACCTATGAATTCGATTTGAAGAAATTCGTCACACTGACCACATTTCGTATTTGATACGATCCAATATCCTGTTCTTGAATAATTTTCAACGTACAGTACTGAAACAACAAAGTTGATCCAACGGTGTCTTCTTAACCAACTCTTAGTCGATGATAAATATGCATGCAAACTATAGGTTGAATTATTTAGTGTTAATCAGATGGTGGTCTGTGCAGGTTTAACTTATGCTGACATGGATGCCAGTGCGACATGAACAATCCAGTGAAGTGTGTCCTCTTTGGTACCAACACACCTGACTGCAACTACAAATTTGAGACAGGGTTGAACAGAGAATACACTACCACAAGAGATCGAATCTACCTTTCTTTATTTGGTTGATATCCTTTGTGCATTTCGAGCTTCCCCATTACTTCTACCGTTGCTGTATTATCTAACATGCACATCGCCACATTTGGATTGGCAACCTGTACAGTGGCCAGAATACACCCACAATGATATTTTTGTATTTGTATCCAGAGACAGAGTGAGCACCATGTTTACAGAACTCCCCATCTTAGATGTATGTGCAAGTAGATCAGAATCACATACAGATCTGTACCTAACTTCTTAGTAGACATCTATGCATAGATCATACGTGTAAGGTGAAGTTGATCTTCCATTGGAGCCCGTTCACTGTGATTGCACCCTTGTAAAAGGAAAAGTACATTGTCATTATATGCTAGATATTTCTGTAAAATCTACAACTCGGAAAGATTACGTAAAATCTTCAACTGTGCCTTATGATCTTTTGCATGACCCACAACAGACTGGTACACGACCGCTAGATTTTACTGCATGCTTGCAGTTTCGGGAATTAGACCGTTACGCAGATTTTGACACAATCTAGTTACAGCTTTGGGACTAGCAAAAGTTCATGCTGAAAACACTCACTCCTAGATCGCCAAACTGGGTGGATCGCATATAGAGAACACTAGCAGATTTGTACAGATGTTAGTTAACGATCAGACGATCAAACACCTATCTGGACATGATACTACGCGATTCATGTAGTAAGGAAGAACACAGATCCAACTAGTAAGAATATTTTGATGTCGATCCGGACAGGGGAAAGAGTAGATTTTCTCAAGCTAACATTAACAATTTTTGTCTCAACTTTGTGCACTTATCACTCAGATGGAGACGGTTCTCGTTGTGAGTAATTTCTTACTAAGTCCCGACATTAGAAATTAAGGATGTACTTGATCTAACTGGCTGCAGAGAAAACGTGTAATGCATGATAAGAGCAACGTTTTGATCCTATTTTTGCTACATCAAAACATTACGACCAGTATCAGAGTGCAAGGTCTCGTGGATCGAAATTTGGGAGAGGGGGGATCCCTCGGCTTGTGGTGTTGGGTATTTTCGGCAGTGTTGCGAGTACTGACCTTTATGTTCGGTCTCTGAACATTACCCGTGTCAACACAAAATGATTTACGCACACGGGAAGCATTAAATATGTTTGGATCTAAGAGGAAATATGGCGACAACCGGTAAGAACTCCATTCTGTTACCGGAATTTTCGTACAATTTTCGTACCCCCCTCCCAGCTTGAGCACCGGACGTCTTCTCTAATCAGTTCAAAGGTCTCTGTTCTTCTCATCTTTCCTAATTCAAAGTAACAAACATATCGAAAAGGATGGGAAGAGCCCATCGAGCCGTCTGTTCTTCCCATCTTTCTGGTATCTTAACTCTTCTTTACAATCTTCAATGAGTCTCAAACTATCTCAGCGATAAGCTGATTGGATAATCGTTTTACTTGCTGAAACGTTTCTCTACGCTGACAATGAGCAACCAAGTTCTTAATGAGGAGGAAGATGGTACAGTACTTGATTTGATGAAGTTGGAAAGTCAGCACCAAGAAATATAGAGCCACATGTAGTGGGAACTTTTTGACAGTTAAAACCCTTGAATCCATGCACAACCAAGACTGAATCTGTGACCCAAGTATAGCGCGAGGATCCAAGCCAATCCTAAAGAAGCAGTTGAAATACTGATGATAAGGTCAAAACCATTACATCGAACGTCCATGATCTTGTCAAAACATCGCGTACCTCGCTAATCGTTTACATGGATCTCATCATTATCTTCATGTAACGAGATGATCATAATGGTATGATGAGTTCAGTTGACTTTTACGACTTATATAACTGCACAGTATTATACAGTACGTCCAGGCCTCTCTATATAGGGGCGGATTCCTTATGTTCCGTATCTCAACAAAATAAATATAATTCTCAAATCAATATACGAAACTTGACAGTTTTAGGTCGAATTTTGACCTAACTTTCATGTTTTCGGCCTAATTTGTCGATGATGTAATACACCTTCGAGATAAATGGATGTTATCTTTAATCTCTGAATATACTCTCCGCACCGTTGAAATGGTGAAACTAATACTACGAAAAACTCCATGAGTTGAAAAAATCTATTCTTTAAATTTGGAATCAGACTTTTCAATCAACAGATTTTTGTGCACCTAGTACATTTACTTCGTAATGTTATGGATTCACTATTTTATCTATGTAATTTTGTTTCTGAGAAAATTTGAAACTATCTTGATATTTTAAAACTACTTGAATAATTTTTTGTGGTCTCAAAACTACAAGTGATAGAGATAACTAAGGAAACAAAATACTAGAACTTGGTTGAACTCATAAGGTGTTGCCGCAAAGTTTTAGTCAAGTACTCAGTTAGTTTCTCTAGTAAAGTAATGGTAATCAACAAAGAAATTTTCACAAACGATCACGACAAAGATTTAGCTGAATATTTACGTAAGTTTCTCTAATAAAATCATCTACATCAACAAAGATTTGTCAAAAATTGTCACTCCAAAATTTTATCTAAGTGACTCTGTTAGTTTCTCTATTAAAGACACCTA